TGACGCAGCCGCCTGCCTATGGGGAAAGCCAACTTGCATAGCAAAACGGCACTCTGCAGAAGGTGTTCCTGCTCGGACGTGCTCTCGGCATATACAGGGTGAAACAAAGAGACGCCAGGCTCTTTAAATCGACTGGAAAATTCGGTTTCTTAACCTATCGCGCAACGACTTTGTGCAGCGTTGCCCACAGATGGTGCATTTTTTTTGTAAAATTTGCGAAGAGCGAGCTTACCTGAGGAAAAAGTAAAGTAAGGAAAAGTCTTAGCCCCTACGGAAACGCAGCGACGCCACCGGTCTGCAAAAAACACGGCGCCATTTCGCACGGGAGACGAGATGGCGCAAGCGGTCGCGACGCCAACTGCCGCCATTGAACGAGCAGACGACGCCGAGAGCCGGCCCTTTTGCAGACAAGGAACTGCAGTTCCTTGTTGTTACCGCGCCTGCCTTTTTTGTTTCTGCGACTGTCGCCGCCTGTGAAACGCGCGCCGCTTTTGAGTCGAAAAGATGGTCTGCTAAAAAGGCCTGCTCTCGGTGCCGTATGCTCGTTCGTTGGCGGCGTTTGTTGCGCCATCTCTTGTCTCCCGTGCGAAACGGCACCGTATTGTTTCCAGACCAGTGGCGTCGCTGCATTTCCATAAGAGCTAAGCCTTTTTCTTTGTTTACTTTTTCCTCAGGCAAGTTCGCTCTTTGCAAATTTGACAAAAAAACTGCATCTGTGGGCAACGCTGCACAAAGTCGTAGCGCGATAGGTTAAGAAACCGAATTTTCCGGTCGATTTAAAGAGCCTGGCGTCTCCTTGTTTCACCCTGTAGTTCGACGCTAATGCACGAAGATAGAAGGCAGCGGCCTCAGCAATTTGGGGTCGGTCGATAGTGCAGAAAAATTTCGTTATCGCGAATGCAATGAAGAAAAACCAGCAGAAGATGCAAGACTATTTCATTGTGTTATATGTCACCAGAAAGTGGATTTTTGAGTCAAATTTATTAGAACTTTTATATTGAATTCCCCACAATATCGAACTGGTAGACTTTTTTGGCGAGTTCGATAAATAGGTTTGACTGTACAGCAATGCTGGTTAATTATTAAGTTCTTAGACATGCACACTTCCAAATGTCCAGTGCACAGAGAAACAAAAAAAACAACAAAACATGTAACATTATAAGAGCTTAGGGACCTGCTCCTCTGGCATCTGTTGCTACCCATCATGCACGAAGATCCTTGGACAGCTTTCCAAAAAACCATTCCGAGAGATTCTCGTATGCCTTAGCAGCTACAAAATTTCTGCCATCATCTTGAGCTGTGGAAACCTGCTCAGTGCCTTTCTCTACCAGTCTTGTGCATACCAAGTTTCCCGGCCTTTCTTGGAAGTTGCCACACTATTTTTCCTATTCATGCTGCACATCCTATAGGATGAATGGTTAGTGGGATATCGAGCTTTCTTTCTTCCATGGACAGGCATGTTTTCTAGCCGTTCATTCTGGTTTTTCTGCACGTTGCCTTCGTAGGATAGTACCCTTCTACGGCGAACCACCCACGACCTTGACAGCTGCACACTATCACAGTTGTTACTTGTGACCTATAACAAAACTCGGTCTTCTGCAAGATAATGATTTGGGAGCGTTGGCAGACATTATACATGATGAAAACCACTCAAACGACGAAGATGTTGTAAAGACAACAAACAAGACGGGACGAAGCTGTTCTCGCAAGTTTTATTAGTGAAAAAAACAAAGAAAACAGTGAAGCCAACACTGATTACATCAACACCTACTCAGTTATCAGACACCACACAATCTTTGGAGCTGAAACGGTTCACACACTGCTTTAACTTGCCAAAAAACAAACTTCTTTATCCGACGGAGCTACCGTCAAGCTGTCATTAAATTTTTTTCTTTTTTACGAGTGTCCCATGTTCCGATTTTATACTTGCGGCATCATAATAGACAGAATGGGTGATGACTAATTTCTGAGGAATCAGTAAATAAGCCCAATAAACTTCAAGAATATTACAAAACAGGACATTTACTTTTAATGAAGTGACAAATTCTTATTGTGTTAAAATGCCACGTGGCGCAGAATCCGCTAAGCTAAAAAAATAAACAATTCGGTGAGCTTTTCTTTGCATCCGCTGAAGGGCCGGTGAGCTTTTCTCCAAATCTGCTGGTTTTTGCGGTAAGCTTTTCTCCGCCGCCCATAATGTGGAATCCACTTTTTTGTATCTTGTTGTTGAAATCCACTGAGGGTAAGATGATTTTCAACAAGCTTGTTTCAAACAGACATATTCCAGCACACTGAATTTGGGTGGTTGACTCACCCTATAATCAAGCCAGAAGATATTGATGATAGAGCCTTCTAACCAATGTTATCTCACAGTGAATATGCCTACATCTATGAAGTAAAACACGAGAAAGCATTGGAATATTTTTTTCTAGTATTTTAGAATACAAGCAAAAGCCTTAAAAGTTATCTTTGAAAGAATAAGGCTAGAAAAACAGCCATTTTATCATTTTGCCGATGGGTAGTTTCAATGGACTGATTTTGTTTTTAGTAAACTGAATTCACTGCCAAACACATTTTCCAGTGGCTACTCGTTTCATATTTTGTATGCACAATTTCAACAGAAAACCTTTTAAAATCTAATTGGGCAAAAATTGTTGACAAATAGGACCTGTTTTCAATCCCAATACAGGCATATGCTACTACTTAGTATATAAATAATACATACAATTTGTCTCGAGTCAGAGTTTAGAGAGTACAACACGCCAAAATTTACACTTAGGTGAAGCATCTCTTGAATCTGCATTTCACAGATCCAATAGAAAATATTTCCTTGTCCATGATAAAAGTAATAAGAAACAACCAAATATCTGGCATAGTAGAGTGTGTCCCCCCTAAAAAAACAAAAACCTAGTTTTTATTTTTACTGCAAAAATGAACTGTGCATTGCTGGACGCTTATTCTCCGCCCAAACGTAGCACTAGCAGTCCGCACCAGATTCCAAATTTGCGAAACTATCCGTTACCTCATTCAAAAGTTATAACTGATCTTCTGAAGATTTATGGAAACTGGGCCCATTTTCGGTAAATGGCGCCCCTCTAAGTGTTTAAGAGCTCTGTTGGCCGCCATTTTCACCATCGGAAATTCAAGAAAATCGCCTATGACTTTTGAATAAGGCAACTGTTAGTTCTAAAACTTTGGCAGTTTGTTCGGACCACTAAGGTCACATTTGGGTGGAGAATGGGTGTTCAACAATGCATAGTCCATTTTTGCAAAAAAAAATAAACAAAACCCTTGTCACTTTTTTTTTTTAGGGGACATTAAGCATTGTTTCTGGCTTCTGCGAAATAAAGACTCCGTCACATGTACGGTACCTACCGCAACGTTTGAATATGAGAACCACTGAATAAGCTACGCTTCAGAGAAACAATGCTTTGGTCACCTTGGTGTCTGAAATCATTCTTGCCAGTTATCTGAAGCTCCATCTAAAATTGTAAGAAAGACTTTTCCATTTCCCAGGAACGTTAAAACAGGCGGCGACGCTGCAACAGAATGTCACCGAGGTTCCCGATACTGTATCTAAAGCGGTACCAAAATAGTGGCACCCACAATAATAAGCACCAAAATGGCATCGCCTAGAAGTACAAAAATATCGGGGAGTGAGGTGCCGCTGCTCGCACAGCTTTAGTATTGGCTGTAGTGGATGCCACACACCCCTTCCTAATCACCACGTTCAAGAACTGGCTTGGTGCAAAATGTGCACCAATGTAAAACATGCACAGGTACGTCCATTGCACGCTTGCCCTCGTCTCCCTAAAAACTCGGAGAAGTGAGTGTAAAGAGTAGAAAAAAGGAATGGTATTTTGTCAGTGTATGGGCTGCGACAGAACTTGCTGAAACAGGCCCAGAGTCCTATTTTATATGGTCAGCGAAAACCAGCATCGCAAAGGTAGACAATGCAATTTTTCACAAGAGGCACTTGTTACACTCCATTCATTGCTAATCTGATAGTGCAGTGAAACCTACATGCTCGTTAGACCAGTCATTCGTTGGTTGATCGATACGGCGAGCATGTAGCTACCATTGCACTGTTAGCTTGGGCGTGAACGGGGTATGGTTAGCATATATCGAATGCATCGAGTACGATAAAACTTTTGCTTACTTGATACCACCATGCGTAAGGCACTGGGAGAGTAAAACAATTGTGACATGCACTCGTTTACAGATATGTCAATTAAAGGGCAACTCCGCTTCATTTTTGATATTTAGAAAACTATGTAGCCCTCTTCAGTATCATATAGGAAGACCCCATGTCAAATATTACGATCTAATTCCGTCTATATATTTAATAAACTGGCCAGCGAACCTTCAAGCGAGCCAAGTCGCCAAAATCTGCCAACTCTAGCGTGCGGCGCGAGGCGCAATCATCAGCGCAGTCAATGCCACGGAGTTGGAGCGGCCAACGTTGAACCACTACGTCAGAGGCATGCATACTTCGTTCTCACGTTTTGCTTGTTTTTACTTTTCAGAGCGAAATTTAACGATGACGTCATGAGTTTCTCCTCCCGGTGTTGGCTGACCGGGCGTTCACGTGATCACCGCTGCCCTGCGCGCTTATCGGTCTGTTTCTCCGCTCCCCTTCTCCTCTTTCGTCTTCTCTCCTTCCCCCTCTCCCCCGGGCCATCACCGTGCACGCCATGCAAAGCAACCTGCCCGCGTCCACAAAAAAAAAAAAAAAGGACCTGCCCGCGTCGCGTGTCCTGTTTCTCGCTCCCTCCCGAACGTCACAAGACCACGTGGTTCGAAGTGAGGTGCTCATGACTGTGTTGCCTGACGCAACCGAAGTTTCGGTTTCGGTATCTGCTGATGTTTAAATTAGGATTACACAAATATTATTCCACATTTCGCGAATCCGAAGACGTAGAGTTGTTGAGTATTACTTTGTGAATGTGAATCACATGGAAGCCTAAATTTTTCGGAGTGAGCGGAGTTGCCCTTTAAAGCCCTACCTTTGACCATTACCCGGATGCAACTAATATCTTTGGTAAACCTACATCCTTTATCAAATCGTTTCAAAGCATAATCTACCTCGCTTTTATGACCTCGAGGGGCATTCATCTTGACACCATTCACCCTTCGAACGTGAACCTGAGTTTCAAATCAACTTTCGAAGACCCCAAAAAAATTGTGTTTTTTGGTTGCCGAGCACTACGTTATGCTGCCCGATCGCTTCCCATAATTTCCAAAGGAATGTTTTTCACTAAGAAGGCGCTGTGGTCCCTCGATGCGGTCAACTAACTGCATGAGACAAATGCATTCAACGAGTGCTTTCCCTCTCATTTCCAACCATCATGTACAGTGCCACCATCTCCTCAGTCTGCGGAGCAAAAAAAATGGCTGGCTCGGTTTATAGCTCTACCCCTCGCTGCCACAAACATCTCTACTACACCTTGCAGTCATAAAATAAATCGCACTCCAAAGATTGTGTTGACGCCCCTTTGAAGCAAGAGGCGGCAACCCCTCAAAGGATGACGCAGCACTTCCACGCCCTTCCCGAGCTCTGCGTCAAAGGGGCCTCGTCGCTCATCGCGGTGTCTTCGACGTCGTTCGTCTCCACGTCAACAACGTCGTTGGACGGAACATCTCTAACAACGTCGTTTGATGCAACAATTCCGATGTCGTCCGACATGACGTCTCCCAAGACGTTTTCCAACGGAGCCTGGCCCTTCCACTGGTCCTTCAAGATGAGCTCGCGGCACTTTTCTGGAAACAGCCGCAGCTTGCGCACGATGCGCTTGATTCGGCCACCGATGTTGTCCCTGGTCACTCTCGTAACCGTCTCGGCGAGGTCCACCTCTGGGTGGAAGAGATATGGAATGGCAGGCCCCGGCTGCACCAGGGCAAGTCCCAGGCGATCCAGGACCTTGCATGGGACAAAGAAACAAGAGCCCAGTGTTCAAGCAGACCCCACGATCGCCCCTTCCGGCTGCGAGCCGAGAGGATTAAATGCCGCTCATTTTTGCTCCTGCTAGTACATTGAGAAAAGCGCAATTCATAGGTTGCGAATAGGGTTATCTACCCGTTTTTTGGGGGGATTATCTTTCTTCTAATTCAAGGGTGTTTTTCAAGCCTTAATTTTTCTCAGAGATTTTGTGTTTTTCAGAGTCGATCTACCATATTATGGGCGATAGTAGGGTAGTAAGGTGTACCATATTTTCTGGCCTATAGTCTGCGGTTTATAGATGTTTAAGAATTAAAATTTTAGGCTGTGTGGAATACAGTGATGGAAGTGCAATTTGACCTTTTGGAGCAGGCCTTGTAGCAAGCAAAATGTTGTTCTGGAGCAGTTAGTGGCCCTTTTGGAGCAGGGTCCGGCATATGTTGGCACATTACTTGAAAATGAAATAATGCTGCATTGCTATAGAAAGCCCATCTCTATTATTGGAACACAGCGCCTGTCACCTTTTTAAGACTATAAAATTCAACAAAGTAAACGCAAAAAAAAAACATTTTGTATATAAAGTTTATCTGCTCGTCAGATAAAAAAATACAATTAAATATGTCACACTGAGTTCTGATGGTACAGGATATTAAGTTTTATCAGCATGCACTTCTTTTAAGGTATCTGCAGCAGCATCTAACGACCCTCACTGTTGTGGAATGTTTTAGTTCAGATTAGAGTTGTCTTTCGGGCAGCAGCCTCAAAGATTGCGGTATCTGATATTCGCTTCAAAAATTCCAATTCATTTTCGATGTGCTGGCGAAGTCACGATCGGATCACGGCGAGTTAACCCGTTGAGCGCCCTCCTTGGCATGCACCGACGCGCTGCAGAGAAGCGACACCCGCAAAGCAGACACCGCAGACGCGCGAGTCGCGCAGTGCTTTGTGCTCCGAAAAGGACGGCGAGGCTTTACCAGCACTACATCCAGAGTTTGGTGCAACTCATCTATACTTTGTTTCAGCTTCGGTGCGAGCGCAGCCGAAGCTACAAGCGCGCGCATGGAGCCCGTAACGGTGCCCACACTGCACGAGCCCACGCGCGAGTCAGGAATGCACAGAGCGGCTCGCGCTAGCTTTGACTTCGCTGGTAGCTAGCGCACGGGAACAGGGCGGGCCAACATTAAAAACATCCACAAGCTCGACCATTTTTTTTTTTTTTTTTAAATAGGCTGTTTAGTGGGATGGTTCTCCGCTTAGTCTCTGCGGCTTTGGTCTCAGATGTTGCTAACGTTGCTCCTTTCAATGATGATAATGATGATAATGCGCCCTCGCAGTTTCGGTTTGCGTAACAGCTGCGGCGCGGAGAATACCGCGGTACCACCACGCGCTCTGATAAGACTTCAATTTTTATTTTTTATTGCTACATCTCATCTCGGAGCAGGCATGGCGCAATTCTTCGGTAAAATGACGATTTGGCGCTACATGTAGCAGGATTGAGTCCTTGGCGCAATTTGGCGCAGTTGGCGCAGCACTTCCATCACTGGGAATATCTAAGCATGCGCGCGGACTATACAGGAATTTAGTTTTTCATGATCGTTTATTATGACGAGATGTGATAGACTTTGTGAATGATGATTTATGTATAACACAAGCTTCTTCGTGAGCTAAGGAAGCAGACATTTGTCAAGGTACGCTGTGCATGAGAAGATATTCGTGTCAACTAAGCACCAGGTGCGGACTATGCATGGCGTGCGGACTATGCACCGGGTGCCGACTATAGACTGGAAAATATGGTATGTTGAAGGAGATGGGACACGGGTGTACAATTCCCCGACCCCTGGAAAACATGCACATGACCCAAATGTTTGAAAAATATCATATCTAGACGCCAATAAAAGGATTCCCAAAGAAAGAAGAGACCTTGCAGACTGAGCCGTATTCAGGGTCGAGGCAAAAGAAATATTCTATTCCCCCCCACCCCCATGAAACTCGTGTTTTTACTTGATCAAGAACAGTTCCAATTTGAACTTTTTTGTCTTTGTCCCCATTCGACAAAATCGGCCCAGGAGTTACCTTTCAGGTTTGTCGGTATATGGAGAACATGGAACCCCACTTATGAATGCCAAGGATTCGTTCCAATCCTGCTTTTAGCAAAAGAAAAGGTGGTTTCGTGGCCTCTTTAAAGTTCACAGCACCTGGGACCCGATGAACCAACCCGAAAAGCCCATCGAGGCCTCGGTACAATTCTGAACGGGTATGCGAGACTGCTTGTTCTAGCTCCCGAATATGTTTTTACACAACTTTTAACATTAGTATCACCACGTTAATTTTACTAACCTAAGACTCCATTTTCGTCTCTTCCAGGGTGTGTTTTAATATACCTAGACTGCCTTCGTAAGGCACTGTAGACAATAGTGCCTGACAAGTTGAGAACGGCAGGGTGGTTCTTCAGTTGTCCTGCCCCCAGTGATGTGATTGGCCTTAGCCATTTTGGAGCAGCCAAAACAGTGTTTTGGAGCAGCAAAAGTGGCCTTTGGAGCAGCCGGAACAGTGTTTTGGAGCAGAAAAAGTGGCCTTTGGAGCAGCCAGAACAGTGTTTTGGAGCAGCAAAAGTGGCTTTTGGAGCAGATATTCTTAGAAAAATAAAATTATTTGTTTTAATTGCTGGACAAACGAAGGGCACTTTGTGGTGTGTTGTGACAGAACTCGCTGTTTGTGTCTTACTGCTGAGACATCTCACAAGTGTACAGTGTTATAGGCGTTGCCGAGCAATTCCGAAGAGGACGCTTGCCACCATTTTACTGGTTCCCGACGGGCCAGATTTTAGTCAAAAGTAAGCAAACGCAAAACAATGAATCGCAAGCGTCCTGGCTGGCGCCTCTGTCATGCAGTCATGTTCACATGCACGTGAGGGCAACTTCAGCAGGCTTGCAGTGGCATGTGCTTTGTTGTGCGAGCGGAGACAACGGCTGTTCAATCGAAAACGAAACAATGCCACTCCCCTCCGTCGCCAACTGGTTCCCAAAATAGTATGCAAAATGTAACTGTCCAACATACAAAAAAAAAAAAAAAAAAAAAAAAAAAGAACAGTCGAGCGGCTTGTATTTGCCAGGCCGGCAGGCGATGTACAAGCTAAACACACAGAAAAAAGAACCTGAGCGCATCGATGCATGTCATCGGGAGCCAGGGTCAAAAAGTTCTTGGAGCGCTTTGTGCAACGACCAAACTCAAGACAAACAAGCGCGATGTGCGGGTTCAACGTGCACACATTGCCTTCTTTGCTTTAGCTCAATTCTCCTCACCAACTTTCTTTCGCGGCAGATTTTTCACGTACCGGGCTGCGTGTTTGAGCAGTCTTTGAGTTAAAGAGGGATTTTTGTTGTAGTGTATGATTTAAACAAGGACAGGATTGTCGATGAACAAGTTTAGAAAGCGCCATATCTGCAGCGACGTGGGGACGGCAACACCTGACGTCGCGCGACCACGGTGACTGTGGTCGAGCGAGCGTTTCAGCTCACAAAGTAACTCTCGCTGCCCAAAAAACGTGGTTTTGTTTCACAGCATGACGGCATGGCTGGCACCTGGCACGCTAGCATCGGGGTGTCCACACACGCCCGCGCCTATCGTCGAAAAAATTTTAAAAAGACTCGAGACGAGATTTTTGAGACGACGAGGGACGAGGACACAAGCAACGTTGGGCACGAGGGCGCGAAACCAGCGAAACGCGAGACGGCGGCAAGGAGGTTAAGCGCGAAACACATGTACGACGAAACCGTCGGATCCGACGTCCGACCAGGCAATACGGCGGTCATTCCGGCAGTGCGCACGTCGGATTGGAAAATTTCGTCGTACATGTGTTTCGCGCTTTAGGACCAGTTAGGACGGCGGCAGAAAACATGCAAAACCGGATGGACGATTAATGCAGGGTACTTTGTGTCGGGCGGCCGGTTGCACCACCTAGCTGACGCATGCGCAATTATGGTTGTCAGTCTACTTTTGGTTCTGAAAGGCGACCGAAATTGCTCCTTTGGTGCAGGCTTGGCGCAGATTACCTACATTTTGGCAAAATGTAGCAGGATGTAGCAGGGTTAGCCCCTTGGCGCAGCTTGGCGCGATTGGTGCAGCAATCACATCACTGTGCCCCCAGTGCGAGCTTCCTGCCTTCGACAATGCTTCAGCATCTCGTGAGCCTCAGGTGTGTTTGCGCAGCCGAAGCATGGTGGAAGGCAAAGAGCCTGTCCTATAGGTCAAACTTTGGTAAGAAAACCAAACAAAATGCGCCCAGTTTTTGCCGTGCACGTTTGTGCGTGCCAACGCTCACGGTAAGTATGAGAAAACAGCCCACTCACCCTGACAAAAAGCATCCCTTGGTTGTCGGGGTGCCAATATTGCACGTCGTAATTTTCCACAAGCTGCCTCATGACAAACGTCTTGAGGGAATAAGACGAGAGATTCCACTTGTATGAGTCTCTCATGGCCTGGGGAAAAATTTATCAACAGTCACACCCTCGTTCGCCAGTCTGGCACCACGATCTGCCAAAGAAGCTGGCTCGCAAGACGTGCAGTGGAATGTGATGGACTTGCGGCGGTGCTTTTCCCCGCTAAATTTGACAAGAAAATTTTGGCATCGTGTCATGTGACATTGATGCCACATGGTACCCCGATGACGTGCGACACCATATCGTGCAACACCATATCATGCAACACCTTGATGCACATGACACTCTGATGTCTTGTGATGCCGCAAAATGCCACGTGACATTGTGACATTATGCGGTGGGACCAAGATGAGCGAGTAAGGTTCGCACCGATTAACCACCCATTTAGTCCTTTAGGAAAACTATAATCTAAATTTATCAAGAAAAGCAAAGAGAAAAGTAATTTGTCTGCAACCCAAACAAAACCGAAGTAATGATGTGAAGAAAAAAAAACAAGTTTCAAGCCTAGATATATAAATAAATTTTAAAAAATTCCGAGGACACCTAAGCATTTCTTATGAGTTGTGAATGCGAAAGCATGAATGTCGTTTTTCCGGCCCCTTAGTTTGTCTGCAGTGTACTGGCGTGGACATCAATGTTTCGCCACTGCCAAGGTTGCAGCCGCCGACAATATAGATGCCTCGGGCGCTGCCATGTTCCATGGTGCCGAGAGGTGCAGAAACGGCCGCAGCCCCCCATCCTCCTCCGGTAACGCCTACCACGAGAGCGTCGGCTCAGTGCGCGGTCTCGTGAAGCAGTCGAAGCTGCGATGCCCATGGTTGCACTTCATGGGCATTGCAGGCATTTTAACTGCCTTTAGTTGCCCGTTTTTCACGGTCACAGCCAACGCCAGCTGTGCTCCATGGAACAGTTAATGCTTTCGCATTAAAAAAAACTTAATAGACCCCCTCTTTTTTTTTAAGGAGTCTCTTTTCTTTTTTTAAGGAGTCTCTTTTCTTTTGCAACGTCCCCACATCTAAATCCACTTAGCCCCTAATCCCTATAGAAATATTTCTAAACAGAAATGGTGACCAAACATATTTTAGAAAAGGGGGTGGCATCCCCTTCACGGTACCTTGAGTAAGCGAATGATGGGCTTCACACAACCGTAGTCTTTGATGAGCTTCTTTTCTATGTTCGGGAAATGCAGCCGCCACAGGTGGGAGTTGGGCGTGGGGGGCTTAGGAATCAAGAACCAGTTGAGATCCTTTCGTAGGGAAGAAGACAGAATCGTAAACACTGTGCACACGAGAAACTCCAGGTAAGAAAGGTTAATAAGAGAAAACAACAGAGCATCAATCCTAATCAAGACCGAGGGAACTTGTAATGCTGGAGTCAGCTTCGTCTAAAAAGAAAAATGAGTGGTCTGGTTGCTGGACTACATGTACTCACAATCTCAGTCAGTGATAAGCTCCACAGTTCCAATTGGAGTGTACCACATATTCTTATCATCTCTATAGTCCGTTGCAACTCAAGAAGGTAGGGCGAGGGTAAGACAGGCTGGGGAAGAGGAAGCAGACAAAACGCTAAAGAGTGAAGGAGGTTTCCCCCTCTCTTCTCCAGCGATCCATCTGCAGCCTTCTCCCCGACCCATCTTACCCTCACCCTACCTCTGAGTTGCAACGGACTATGGGTCCTTTTTTTTTTTTCATTTTAAGGGCAGTCAAGAACAATAACAAAGTTGTGCGCATCTAGGACTAAACGCCAAATGTTCTGGAAACGCTCACCTTTGAAAACATATTAGCCATCCAATCTTTCTTCTCAATGCCTTCGGGCCAACTAGGGTAGCAAAATTCTATTACGGGCACAAGGTCCACATCAATCTGGAGGCCATTTTTGAGTATAATATAAAATGTCTTGGCAGGGCCGTGCTGGCTTGGCTGTATCTGAAAAAGAAAAAAGCTCCTCTCCCTTCATTTTCTTTTCACCAGCGAATATCATCAATGGCTGAATCTTCCCCTCAAGAAATAAAACTTTGAGCCTGCCCATGCTGGAAATCCAACTCCCATGCATGCATAACTTCAACTAAGTTTTGAAAGCCACAAAACAAAAAGAAAAGAAAAAGATAAAATGAGGTCACTATGGTTGGTTCTATAAAACAGTTCCGTCCAAGAGTGACAGACTACGTTGAAACTGCGTGCGACCACTTGTGACAAGAGAACAGACTGCCATGCCATCTATCAGCTTCAAAACACATCCAAGCTGCCCATATGCCTCACACATCTATCTACCTTTCACCGAGCACTTAAAATGATTGTTACAGTGTTATAAGTAGGGTTCCGCGTTTTCCGTAAATACTACAAGCCCCGACAAATAACCTCCAAAGTGTTTTTCTCGGAATTGGGGAAAACCGAAAAACCTTGATTCAGAGCTGCCCTTGAATAGGGAAATCCGTCGTTTGGGGTGAAGAAATCTGCAGCATTGTTTTCGTGACCCTACCACAACTTGTACCACCTGTTCCTGAAGTTGTTTTTTTTTTCTCTGGAAACCACGTCTCTTGCCCAGAGTCGTATATTGAGAGAGTCCAGCCAAAGGGTGTGGCAACGAAGGCAATGGAGAGGAGAAAAGTGGAGGAGAGAAGGGAAGCGCCGAAGGGAGCAAATAGGAAACGACCGCCATTTTGACACAGAGCTTTTGAGGCTATGTGTCGTTTGCTACGGGTCGACTTCTTTTTCACCTGAATTAAAGTTTGCGGTCAAGTGTCGAGAAAACTTAATTCATTCGTTTCTTAACCCACCGAGGAACAGCAGTGTATCATTTTCTTGCCAGAGCCAGCAATATAGAAGGAAATAACTCAAATCTAGATGCCGATCCCATGCATTACATCGGGCGAATAAATGAAAACGGCAGCCCTCCCAGCTCAGCTCGGAGCAGCCGGAAGTTCACGCGATGCGCTCATGCCCCCCCCTCTGCACCACGGGCTGATTGGCTCACTCGGGAGAGGGGGCGTTACGGCGGCGAAATCATAAACTGGCCGAACTCTTCCAATATATGGCTCTGCCTCACACCAGGACCCCTTGTCTCCTGTTGTCTGTACCGGAATGATGTCTCTTATTCGAGTATTTGGGTCATGGGCATAAGTTCCATGGACCCTCGAAGGGGTCACCAATTTATAGATATGCAGTCATTTTATAACATTAGTCCCGATAAAACCTTGATTTCTTGCCCAGCGCTGAAAATAAACACCGACTCTAGAAGAAATAATAAACCCCCAAAACACGGAAAACACGAGAGATCGCCCATTCTGTTTTTCTGGCTAAATATCCGTAGCATAAAAATTCCTAAACGTCGCCCGCCTGCCCCCCCCCCCCCCCCCCCCCCCCCCCCCCCGATTCCTGTCGGACATTGCATGATGCTTGACGGGAATCACAACTGTGTGATTCGCGGTTCCTGCACATTAATCCCTCGTCATAACGAAGGCAACGGTATGGCAAAAAAATTTGATAAAAGCGATAGACTTAATCAGCGCCAGCAGCCTTTAAAGGGCAACTCCGCTCCATTTTTGATATTTAGAAAACTATGTAGCCCTCTTCAGTATCATATAGGAAGACCCCATGTCAAATATTACGATCTAATTCCGTCTATATATTTAATAAACTGGCCAGCGAACCTTCAAGCGAGCCAAGTCGCCGAAATCTGCCAACTCTAGCGTGCGGCGCGAGGCGCAATCACCAGCGCAGTCAATGCCACGGAGTTGGAGCGGCCAACGTTGAACCACTACGTCAGAGGCATGCATACTTCATTCTCACGTTTTGCTTGTTTTTACTTTTCAGAGCGAAATTTAACGATGACATCATGAGTTTCTCCTCCCGGTGTTGGCTGACCGGGCGTTCACGTGATCACCGCTGCCCTGCGCGCTTATCGGTCTGTTTCTCCGCTCCCCTTCTCCTCTTTCGTCTTCTCCCCTTCCCCCTCTCCCCCGGGCCATCACCGTCCACGCCATGCAAAGCGACCTGCCCGTGTCCAAAAAAAAAAAAAAAAAAAGGACCTGCCCGCGTTGCGTGTCCTGTTTCTCGCTCCCTTCCGAACGTCACAAGACCACGTGGTTCGACGTGAGGTGCACATGACTGACGACCCGAGACCAATGTTGCCTGACGCAACCGAAGTTTCGGTTTCGGTATCTGCTGATGTTTAAATTAGGATTACACAAATATTATTCCACATTTCGCGAATCCGAAGACGTAGAGTTGTTGAGTATTACTTTGTGAATGTGAATCACATGGAAGCCTAAATTTTTCGAAATTGAGCGGAGTTGCCCTTTAAGGGGCACTGATACATCAAAATCATATTTTTTTTTTATTATCTGAAACGATTGAAAACGATGCCGGGACATTACCCTCAAAATTCGAAAATTGGAAAGTCAGTATTTGTGAAGTAAAAAAACAATTTCCAAATGCCGAATTCGAAGTTCCCGCGCTATCCGTGCCGGTGCGTTGACATAAAATATTCTGGAGTCCTGAGAGTCCCACTTTCTTTCACGACTTCCTGCTGTTGCCATGGCGACCCAAAGCGAAGAGGAAAGAAGCGAGCGCCGATGGACCGGTTTTGAGTGGTGTCGCCTGTTTTCCGTGGGAGGATAAAAATCCAGGAGACGGCACCACAACGAACTCCCGATTTTTGGTATTTCAAAAAGAAGGCCGTAGTGCGTTCGCAATTGCGTTAAAAAACATGTTTTATGGTTGCCGTTATTAAATGTTATAAAGATGTCGCCTACAAACCTTCTAAATTTCATGATTCTTGACGTCACAAATCAAAAGAAGCGAGGCGAGAGAATCAAACGCCAAAAATAAAAAGGCGCACGCACGCGCGGGAAGATTTTTTTTTGCAAGTCTATGACTGCAACTTGCATTGTTTTAGACAATAAAAAAAATACGACCTTTGGGGTGTCAGTGCCCCTTTAAGGTGGATGAGAACATTACGGAACACTCTCACCGTATATTTACTCAGACAATCCTTAATTATGAACATCTTGCAGCAGCTTCACCGAGTAAAAAAAAAAAAAAATCTGTGGAGTTTGCCAGTAATTTCATCCAGGCATCAGCTCTACCCTGACTGCTCCAGGCATCGCAAGAACACTGCCACTGCTGCTGCTCTCCAGTATGTCTCGAAGCAGCCGTAGGATGTTTCGCATCTCTGCAGTTGTCGGCGTTTCTCGAGGTACCTCTCAGACGTTGCTTCGTGTTTACCCAGGCCGCATGCAAGGTTCACATTCGCAGCACCCGTGGCAGGAGCAACAACAGGAACATCCGCATCAACAAGCGGAAACGAATCAAAGTTATCCTCAGTGGCTTTGCGAACATGTTTTCACACACTCTTGTATAAATCGTTGCAGCTATGGAAATCGTGTGCCGGCTCGGCAAGCATGTTAGTGAAAGAAAATCCGATCTGTGCAAAGCTGTTGGCGATCTTTCATCCTCAGGTCATGGGCGTGCTTTCTCCTGCATGAGAAACTTCTCAAACCCGTCCAATGTGCCTTGCTTATTCTGCAAAATGATGGACAGTGTCGAACAGCCGATGCCGAAATGTAGAATTCTTTGTCGATTTCGGACTTGGGCTGGCCACTTTTGTCAACCTCGCAGATCTAAGCGACTTTCGGTAAACACTCCTGATCTCCCATATACAATCGCCGACCGATTTCTCGGACGCCAATGATTCAGACTTGTTCCATATTTCTGACCTAAAGAGGGAACCGTGACCTACCCGATAGAAGTAGTGCACATTCATGACCGATGTTTCGGACAGCTTGAAGTCGGAACGTTCGTCTAGAGCGACCGGTGGGAAACACCACCGCGTAGCAGCCATTTTGAATTCTATGTTGGCTGCACATGGATTGGCTTGGTTTGGCAGGCCTAAATGAGTACTGCTAAGTCCTACTGCTAGGTGACGCTGTATGGGTCTTTTTTTTTTTTCTAGCTGTGTGTCATTATCATCAACATTGTTTTTACAATTTTGTTTTCTTAATTCACCAACGCAGTCGTGGACTTGCGCCTCATCTCGACCTCGTTTCGGAGAATTCTGTTTTCGGACTATGCTGGCTTGGACGTCACTGCCTATCTGTTCTTCTGCCGCTGCAATATGTCGCTAAGAAGCGCAGAAAGTACTCGACCATAACGCTAGAAAAGAAGGCAGCGATTCTCAAGTTAATAGAAAGTTACCAAACACGAACGGAGGCGTAACCTGAAACAAGGCAATACTTATGGCTTTTTTAAGCCTGCTTAGACATAATAAAGGCAGGTTTTTTAATCTCCTGATTTTTCGGACTGCTCCATTATTTGGACGTTTTTTCGGTCCCTGCAAAGTCCAGAAAATCTGTCGGCGACTGCACGACGCACATGTGCGTGCAGTATGCCACAAGGGCACCCGCATAGGCAGGCGCGTTGGGGGCTCCCGAAGGAGTGATTTACTCTGGGCTCCATTGCTTCCTTGACCAGATTCCGACAGGAGTCGACCGCAGGCGCCGTGAGTAGTGTCGGAACGTTGACGCTGCTCCCTGCCTGCGCACTCTGCCCTACGTCACCTGTTTACTCTGTCTTCCCAGTTTGCCGTTTGCCTCGGTGGAGAAAGGGGAGGGAATGCAAGGGTCTCTGTGCGCCTTTGTGTAGGCTTGCATGCTATCGGCACTGCGGCCTTCGTAATAAGCGTGGTCGGCCGCAGCTACACTTAGCATAATTCGGCTAAAAATGCATCCATTTCGGTCGGGACCGTGTTGAACTTCGATAAAAGCAATAATTTGGAAAAATTAATTTTGTTATAACATATATTACTTACTTGCAACAAGCGAGTTTGCAGTGGGGATACCCTGTTTTTGTCCATGATCTATGCGACCAATATTGGCTCCCGCATTTTTTGTCCGCCCATGGCACAAGAGTCTGTAGACGGTTTCTGCATGTTTATCGCACCGCGAAACATGATTCTGTTGCATCCGCAGTCTGCGTTACCCTTTACCATGACACGGGAGTTTGTAGCGAATTCCCACGCGTTTATCGCGTCGTAAAACGCGAATTTGCCATGTGCGCGATGTGCGGTATCAGTTCCCGTGTCACATGGTTTGTAGCGGGTGCCTCTGTGTTTCTCATTAATTTTTTTTATTAAGTTTTGCTGTCTCATCCCTAAAGACATCCCATTTCATGTTTTTCGCAGAACCAATCAGAACCTTCAGTCTAGCTATACACAGGTCGGGGGCGGGTGGCACCAGTGAGCTAGCGTGTTCTCTCGTCGTGAATGGTCACCAGTGGTTTCAATGCAGTTGCTCACACTCGCAGAAATCTGTGAACCAGCTTTGGGAGAGCTTGTAGCTTAGATTCCCGGTTTCAGGTACACATTATTGATTGGCCGTAAACCTGCCAGTTTCATTGCTTTACCCCTCTTCATTTCTAGCCATTACAGCAGACATTTGGCATCCTAGCACAAAAAAAAAAACTAGCTAGTGGCTTGAAATACGAGAGCTGGTATTGTGGGCTGCTGTTTTACTTTATCCAAGCAATGTTTTTTTAATGGGCTGTGTTAGGAATAACCCACGCTTGCACGGCGGGAGAAGGTTGTGCATCCATGCTACTGGCATAAAAACACTGGCTAGGAGCCTGAGCCCTTGGCTTCAGAAGTTGCCACCACTGCGGCGCCCTCCAGAGCTTCCACCACATGCCCGTAGCCTTTAAATGCTCATATCTTTACTCCGTTTTACCTTAAGATAGATCGTGGAGGGTGCCGTAACGCAAGCGTCAACGTGACCTTCGGGGAGGGCGCAGCAATGCGCGGGGCTCGCAATCATGTGACGTGCTCGCAGCGTTGTCTGCTCCATCGTAAGCTACAGAATTAAACACCGTCACTCGGCTTATTTCATATTTGCCGTGTACCTCTCGCTGCTGGTCTTTATGTTTCTGCGTTTTTATTGTGCAATAGATTATGCAGTAAAAATCGTACACATTTCTTTGTGTGTTAGCCTCAAACCTTACAAGCCACTTGAGCCAAAGATGATACACCTTTTTCCTTATCTCAATAGGTGGTAACTATGCTGTCACAAACTTTCACCTCTACATCCTGCCCATAAAACATAACAAAACATAAATGCCACTAAAATGTTAGCCTTTCTATAGAGTGCAACCCAGTTATAACAATAATGAGAAAACCCAAAATTTCAATCATTCTAACTGATTATTGTTGTATCTGGACTAAAAACTCATTGTTTAGAGTCTAGAAACTCTACGAACTGACAGTTATGGGTGGCATATGATTGCATGTGGTATCGTTGTAAGTGGATTACACTGAACTACGTTTCACCTTACAATAGACCGCAAAGAACACTGCAAGCCGCTGAAGGCAATCCAGTGCCGTACAAACGTCACACGACCTTTCAGAGGGATGCAGCGACGTGCGGGGTGCGTAGTCACAGGATGAGATGAAATTTCGTTAACGGTGCAATAGAAGCCTTTTAAAATTCATCGCCAGCTGGTGGCTCAGAAAGCAGTTTCACTTTCGACAAACTAATGGTGGTCATGAAAGTGCATTTTATTGGGCACCGTCCCTTTCACATCAGTGGCGGGTGACAATCGGTGCTTCAATCATCTTATAATTCTTTCTTGATTTGTTTCAGTTTCCATGATGCAAACGCAAGAACTTTTCCAGTATCAAGCCCCTCGATTCAACTGACGCCATCAAAGGGACTCAGAGCCGAACTTGTGCCAAGAGATTGATTGGACCACCCTCCAAAATAAACGCTTATGCAGCCATCGTATCTAATTTGTGCATTCTGTTGTACTCATATCTCGCGTGTAAAGGCCTTGTGTATCCTCCACTTGGTAGTGCTATCTTCAACTTCTTTCTTCATCAGCCTCAATGAGTCTGCCATTAGTTTGGCATACACCAATAGGATGATAGTCATCAAAGCTGCTAGACTAAATTTTGCAAAGGCAAAAAGGGTCTATTGGATGCGTCAAAACCAAGCCTTGAGCTCTGAAGCAAACCAGAACGCACTTAAAAAAACCGACTCGCGGCTGGAGAAATCCGACGAACCAACCACAACTACAGCAGACACCCCTCACCTTATCCACAGCCGAGCAGGGCCCAGAGGGAACGACGTAGGTCTGGAGAAAACGGTCAAAAACCGACTGCAGCCACTGCTTGACCCTGTCCGGCTTGAGTCTCTTCTCGGCGTCCCTCCACTTCAGTAAGTGCGGAACCCACTTCACGTCCCCTTCCCGGAGCAGCCTGTGCTCGGCCGCCGGACCGATTTTGTAGCAGACGTAGCCGGGACATCCGTCCGACACCTGGAAGGTACAATTGATGTCATTTGGAGGACGTACCCGGTGCGTAGTTTCGCAAGCTATGGACACTGACAAGGTGAGAAAGGAAGGGAGGAAGTTCGGTTGTCTCGTCTCCAGTGCGTGCTTCCTACCTTCGACGACTCTTCAATGCCTTGTGCACTTCGAGCGTGCACGCACAGCCAAAGCACTGCGGAAGGCATGGAGCATGTGCTGGGGTTTGGGCATTCGAGCATCACGCCCTGACATTCTCGCTCTGTCGGGGACAATAATCAGAATCATCGTCACCAAAAGACTCGTGAAGGACTAGCGACATTGTATGTATTTTGCGGTATACGGATGTTTCCTTTAAATGGTACGTAGCTAGACCTTTAACTGGATTCTTTCGTGTGCCTTTTCCATCGCAAAAAAACCTTTGAAAAAGGCAACTCTGTCACTCCATAGCCTCCATAACTCCATAACTGTCTGTTATGTCGAGTCTAGCTAACTTCCTTTGTTGTCCCGACACGTGACGGGCTGCAAACGCAAAATAAGAAAACTGAAGCTAATGAAGCCGACACTTGTTTTGTCGACTGCCATGTTGTTTCGTCGTGCAACGTGGTACAAAAATGTGAGACAATAAGTTACATATTAGTATAGGTTAACCTACACCAACATCTAACTGCACACCAGAAAACAAACACGTCAAAGGACAGGCAGATAGTTTATATGTCGACTCAATAAACATGTTTGTAAATGACGGCAATATTTTATATAAAAAAAAAAACAACCACCCATCCATTTTATTACTTGTGACCATGAATGGCTTCTAGGCTGACCACATTTCTCAAGGTAGAAAACGGGACATCCCAGCCCGGAGGGGGGGGGGGAGTGAGTGAGTGAGTGAGTGAGGGGGAGAAAGGAGGAGGAGAAAAAGAGAAAGAGAGAGAGGAGGGGAGGGAAGGGAGGGGAGGGTATAGTAAAGGTTGAGATAGGGAGAACAAATTTAAGGCCAGAGTTGCGATTTCAAAGCGTTAACATATTTCATGCGTGCTGTATTCATTAACCAAAAAAAAATATTTCTATTCACGAGTCTTGACAAAAATACGTGTTTGTGGGCAAGAACAGTTCTCCGAATTTTACTGGGTAAATGTTTTAAAGTACCTACCTTTTTTTTTTTTTTTTGTAAAATATATTTGTAATAAGTGGGCATAGTTTCCGCTTGTTTCAACTCGCTTTGTGCCAAGTTCGAAATTATGCACGCCTGCGAAAACGGGACATGATTCCTTATTGGGACAAAAAGACAGGACGGCCCAAACGGGCCTTAAAAACGGGACTGTCCCGGCCAAAACGGGACGTCTGGTCACCCTAGGCTTCACCCCTCCCTGCTTCAGTCTCATGTCACTGTAAATGTACGCAAAAATTAATTAATAATTAACTATGGTTGGCACAGCGCTATGATAAGCACCGAGACAGAGTGACCGGTGCAGCTGCAAAACTTACGGTGAATTCGTCCTTCTCGAAAGGTAGGTTCAGCACAAGGTTTATGTCAAACTCGTCTGCTTTTTTGGTCCGCAGCCCGTCGTAGTAGCTTCCGGTGTATTCGAGCCTGGGAAGCAGCACGTGGAAATTTAAGTGTACACGATTGTTAGTGAGCTCTCATTCAATGGTTCCCACTTGTTTTTAATCCTTTGACGATCGTCGCCGTACATTACGCGGCGATTTCACATTTGAAATTTCCCACACAAACGCCACACCATGTGCAACCCGAGAGGTGCTGCTTTCTATTATGTCTTTGGGGAATTATAAATGTTATATTTTCACGGCGTTTTGCTTTGCTGGGGCTATTTGTACTAGATTCGACACAGTGCACGAGAAACAAAGACTAAGTAGAAGGTATACACAGGACGAGTGCTTACTCTCAGCTGAAGTTTTTATTGAAAATAAACACCTAAGTAAACAGCAGCATTCCACACCATCAGGCCAATTCAGCATGTGTTCAGATAACAGATCTCTTTGCTATGTGGAAGGACCGATGTTTGGTTTGCACATTGCCCAGTCCCTTTTTTTCTGATCGTGTAAGCCTCTAAAATTTCCCGTCACCTGATCTCCCCTCCTTCTAGCAATCGTGAAATGATGGAAGTTGGGCTGGCATCCACAATCTGCACAATGAAGCGGCAAGTGTCCCCCTGCTGTCGACCGCAAGGACCAACCATGCTCACACAATCTTCCATTTAGTCAGCGTAAACCCCTACACAATGCCTATATCGCACATTCCACATATTTGTTCCTATGTTTGACTGAGCAAATGTGCTTGGATCCACATTTGTTGGCAACTCTTGGGCACAATTGCGCGAGTTTGTCAAGTGCAGAAAACACGATAGGCATGTTGTATCTCTGGGCCATATTTTACAGCAAAGCTGTATACGCCTAGGGTTCCATGCATTTTTGGTATCCGTGTGCAAAAACAAATTGCATGTAAAAGTGCTCCATTGTATGGAAATGCATATACGCCCAGTCACCTCGATATGCATTTTGACAAGGGAAGACGTTGAAATGTGTGATAATGGAGACACATCCGAGAACAATGGGCCTTCTCCCGCTCGAGTCGGGTGATGTCGCTGCTTTACTATATTGATTTATTTATTTATTTTATTTTATTTTACGTGCCCAAAAACAACCATGCAAGTCTCTTTTTTGGCACACAAATATATATTTATATATATTTAATAAATAAATACATATATGAAAGCAGCAGCTTTTATATATGTAAAGCAATATATGTATAGATTTAACTTCAGCAAAGAATCTCACCAAAGTTCTAATGGACCCCATTAGTGTATATCAGTGATCACAAAGCAGTAGTCACTGCCATTTCAAAATGATTTAGATACCTACATATACTGTAAATAAACATTTGATGAAGTGCTTTTGTGTGGCCCTTGGTGAACCATTTGTGGTGGTGCTCTACAGCTTTGCTGGCCAACCACCTTCGCAGAATGGAATGGCTCACAATTTTCGAGATTGTAGAATATTTGATGAAAGTAGGGAATGACTATTGGTCTCTTGCTTGGCCTATCTTTTTACACTGTAGCCCTCCCCTCAACTTCTTAAGCAGCGACTCTGCTATTTATAGTTTCAAAGCTACATGCTTCCCACACCTGATACGCACAAAATTGTTGATTCTCGTGTCAACTGCTCGGACGATGGTGGCAATCGGAGCGCCGGCTCTCCAGAGTATCAGCCAATGAGGAAACTCTGTGAAGAACCTCGGGTTCAGAATCGAATATTGCCATAATGTTGCAGAAGCACGCATGCCAAAGTGAAACCGAATAAAAGAAAGGTGACATTTTCCCCTCAATATTCGCATTCAATGCTTCTCAACTTGAACAGCTTTAACGGGAACACTGTGCATAGTCCCGATAAATAAGATATAAAGAAAAAACTGTACATTGACTCTTTCATTGTCCTATCCCTTAGGAAACAAAAACCCAACCACTAGAAAAAATGTTTTGGGGAAAAAACAAAAAAACTCTTAACTGTGAAAGGGTTAAAAGAAAGAAAAGCTGAAGGGCCCTCAATAACGCACGGAACATTCTCAACGACATGGAAACCACAGAATCCTCCCTGTATAAGGAGAAAGTGTTTTATGGAGATTACGACTATCGTATTGTGACAAAGGCACGAAGTTCCATCCTCCTCAGGTAGTCTGAATAAAAACCAAAGCTTTGCAATTTATGAGCCTTCTCTCATAACGAGAAAGCAGACACTTCCTTTTTACATATTTGTTGGTTGTAAATACGGTGGGTTTGATTATCAAATTGCCTAGTTCCACCGTCTCCCTGAAGCCCACTTAAGGAAAGCATTTTCCTCACCTGTTAAAAAGAAGGTTGAAGAGAGCATCCTTCTGCTTCATCTGAATGCAGATGTCGTCCAACAGGGTCTTCAGAACGGCAACATTGGTGGTGGTGACTTGCTTGTTCAGTTTGAGCGACGCATGAATTGAGTGGAGTTGAGGCTTCAGCTTGGCGTTTAGCTCCTTCTCGGCGTGGTCGAAGGGCAGAAGTAAACCCATTGTTTCAGTCTACCGGACTTTGGTCTGTTTCCTCTGGATCCCTGCATCGTGACATAGCAGCAACACTTTCAGCGGACTACAGATTGAGGTGGCCATCACTGCCCTTAGCACGTCCTACCAACACACCGGACATCCAGAAATGGGGATGGTGAACCTAGAGCCACGGAATGATCCAAGTGTACACAAACTTCATATGCCTCGGTTCTGAACGGCGTATCAGTGTTGGAATTGACGGCTACGATCTGGCGGCCCTCTGCAATCAGATTGAGCCGGGCAGAAATACCTTAAATAGCCTTTTTTTTTTTTTTGCACAATCGCTTTCCCAGCCTGATCACCTTCCGATCAGGCATACGTCACCACCTTTTCAAAGTTATAGTGCGCACACATTTTTTTTTTTTTTTTTCTCGTTTCGTTCTTTTAGTGCCGATGTGCCCGGCCACAGCCAATGGAGTGTGGAACTCTGAGAAGATTCAATGGTTTCAGGTGAATTCACATCCATGACAAAATATCCATAGTGTCAGAAAGTGAAGCAAATGGAGTTTTCTGAAGAAACAACAAGTGGAGGGTGGTGCAGTTGTGGTTAGATCCATGCACACCTGCTTAAAAGCAGCACATGCTAACCACAACGTATTTCAATGGTGCTCGTGGTTTTCGAAGTACTAGTACTTCTGCTGCATGAAACATCAAGAGAATAGTTCCTAGAAGGTTAATCACCAGCATGGCAGACCCAACTATGTTGGTGCAAGCTACCGAAGTTCATTATCAGCTTCCGAAATATTAAACGAAGGCATCTAGGACTGCTGTAATTGTGTTACGTCTATGTTTACACGGTGGGAAGTTAGTCAGCCACGACGGGTGCCTGGTGTCACTGCTGTAGAGGAGCAATTTCGCCAGTGCAGTACGACTGCTAGATCTTTAACATGCAACACGCAGCAGTGTTACATGGCCCCGTGCCGGTGTGTGCTCATCCAGATCGAAACGGGCAGGGGTGGGTGGTTAAGGCTAGGGCCTCTGGGTCTTGCAGTGCAAGCTTTTACGCCACGTGCTCACAGCTGCATTGCATTAACACACTCTCGGCGACCAATCTCCTAGTGGCTTTGCGAGACTTGTGTCCACGGAAGGAGCTTGCAAGCATGTACCAAAGCTGGAAATTGTACAAAAAAAAAAAAAGTTTTGGGCTGCAGGTACTATTTTTTTAAGGCAATAGACATATCAAGTTTAAGATTTACTTGCATAATGAACATACTTTTTTTCCACGAAAAATAGGCACATATTTGGGAGGGAGGGAGGGGGGCATTTATTACACGGTGTAAGATTTTTGCATTTTCACACTTCGTGCAAATGCCATATTGGGTGCCAATATGACACGGCACGGTACTGTGGCACGTCTTTACTAATGGAGGCGCACCCACGGCTGGTGGGGGCACGCCACAGTAACCATGCTTTACAAGTGGTGCTTAACATCTGCCTGCTGCAAATCTTCCTAAATATATCATGGCAGAGTGCCAAGCAGCCACCACCAAATTTAGAGGTTGAAAGTTGGACATTACGTGACATGTCATGTGTGAATCACGTGTAACAAATTCTGATGAAGTTTGCATATAATTCAGATATATTAAATCAGATATCTACCTCTACATGCTTTGGTGCCTAGATTGTGTTATGTTTGTAATGTGTAGTTACAAAATATTTTAATGTTTTGCAGCTATGCTCTGGCAACACCAGGTAGTTCAAAGAGAAAGATCCACAGGAGATAAATTGCGAAAATCGGCCTTGCAACCTACGACACTAATCTAGCATGTAAGTGCAACCAGGTGGCACACTTGATTTCTGATACTGTCAAAGACTTGCCCCAGTTCAATGGTACATGCAAAAACAAATATTTCTATGGACTGACAGAGGTTCCTAACAGAATTAGAACCATTCTGTTTACTGGGGCATTTGGTTCAACAAAAACAGAACGAGATCAAAGCAGGGACTTCATTCCCTTCCCAGTTTTTGATGAAACAAACATCCCAACGGGCGACATTAATGCTTTGTAACTTTTATATGAAATAAATTTACTCATGTCAGTCTGTAGACCTTGTTTTTATTTGTAACTTTCGACCGGGAAATACCTTTTTGTCTATATTTACAGAAATTAACTGCACCGCCTAATGTAAGGTGACCACCTTCCTGCAGGCGATATGCGGGGCACCCTGACCGGGGAGGAGGGGGGGGGTAAGAAGAGGACAGTATTTTCACGACTCAAGAAAAAATTATTTAAAGAACATTCACCATCACGCACACCCCGATACCCTGCGTTGTCCGAAAGCATATTATACACCTCAAAATTTTGTGGCAGCAATTAAGCTAAAATAATTTTCACTTGCAGTGATACATTTTTTGTGTAATTGTAATGGTAAATATTTTACTATGGGTGTCTAAGTTGAAAACATAAAAATTGACTGCAGCAGACCCCAATGCATGAAAGGGAAATAAACAATAAATCTTTTTCGGCGTATACACCTTTCCGAAAAACGCTCCTAGGCTGCTGCCATGTTGCTGATGCCGTTGGTGCGAATCCCGCGCCCTCTACCAGCTAGGAATTTTCTGTCACTCTCTTGGACTGTGAAAACCCGCTCAGCGCGATTCTCTACCTCCGTTTTTTTGGTTTTGCATTAGCTTTCTGGCCCCTCTTGAAAGTTTCCACTTAATTTTTTTTTTACGCATGCTGCATATGCGCAGCACGTATGCAGCACTTACGTGCTGCGTACGCACGTGCGCAGCACAGGCACGTGCGTATGTATGCAGCCCGTGCGTTTGTGTTATCTTCCACTGTGAGAAAACAAGGCTGGTAAGTGCCTGCCATTCGAGCGCTTCTGCTCGACATTCACGGGAAACTAAGGAGGAGAAGGACGTGAAACGGCCCTCGACGTGATTTTGCGAACAATGAGAATTGTTCTCCCCCCTCCAGAGATAATCCACGTAGAATCCTCAGTCACCTCCAAAAATAGTTGTCCGAGTTGGAGTGGGAAACGGGTCAGTCGTGTTCGTTCCTTTGCCTTGGTGCTGTTGTGAAAAAAGGAAGCTCTCCCCAAAACGAGGTCATCTCGGATTCCGTCCCATCGTCAAGATGTGACTGTCGTCGACTGTGACTGTGTTATTTGAGATCTTTCTCAAATGAATCTTTTTTAGATAACGCTGCATTGTGTGGTACAATGCTTTCCCAATGTCCTCAGCAAAATACATGCACCATGAAACGCAAAATACAGTGGGAAAAGACGAGAACTTAGCCGCCAGCAGTGTTGAAACTACGCCTATCGAAACCACAGTCCACTCGGTTAGGGTTAGCAGGGATGCCGGTAAGAGTCTAGCCTCAAACCCAGTCACTGGGCTGGGCAAAAACAGTTTGCTGCCTCTGGGGTTGAGTGTTTCTTGGAAAGGTGTATTGTTTCCTGTTGGTACTATACTAACATGCTCTTACACAAAATTAGAATCTAATGTTGTTGTTTCTTCGACCCTTGTGAGTTACAGGTTTTTTGCCTCGTGTGGCCGTCTTCACTAAAAAAAGCTTTCTACAACAACGCTTTCGCATGACGCATTATGATTTGCAAATAATTACAATAGTTTATTTTTCAGCTTTTGGCGAGCAATTTTCGCTCGCAATATTTTGGCATCAAGGGGAGAGGCACAACGGCACATGGACGTCTTCTGCAAGAATGACAGTCGCTTCCTGCAGTGCTTGTATAGAAAATGGCATACCATCAAGATTCACATGTTTATCAGTGACCTCCACGCTACCCCGTGGCTTGTTCAGAAGCGCCATAATTTGCGCAGCGAATGCTACAACAATGTGAAATGCGGGACATTTTAAAGATTTTGGTATTTCTTATGGGACGCGGGACACAAGCCTTCAATGCGGGACAGTCCCGGGAGTCACGGGACGGGTGGTCACCCTAGCCTTGTGACTTACGTGATAAATTAGTGCCGTAGGTCGCAAAGCCAATATTTGCGGCTTAAAGTGGGTTCTCTTCCAGTGGACAACCTGGGATTCCACATGTTACGTGAATGTGTGGAATAGAACAATTGAACAATGTTTTAAGAAAACATTGTTTGCTATGTTATAGCGAGTTCGTTTCACACGCACTGGCACCGTTTGAGTTATCTCCCAGAATGCATCGCACTCGCAGGGTGTTGCACGGAGAGCTGGACACAAACGAACACGCGAAATGCACCGAGTGCACAAGACTGATGGTGCCGCCATCTATGTTGTAGAAAAGGTACCAACCCCAAACCGAAACTAGCGCCTTTCTGTTTGGAGTGATGGGTGGGAATGCGAGGATGCAGTCGCTACCAAGGTTTATCTACAAACGTCGGTCACTGCAACCTGTAGTTTATATTTGCGATGACTTTAAGCAACTCGGTTGTTGTAGAGATAGTTACAGTTGGCGTCATTTTCCGCAAGCAACTGTCTGCAAAGCAGCTGGTTGCGATCTCTTAATAACCGCTTAAACTGAAGAAAAGTGATGACGCTATCCGAGCAGAAGCTTGATCCGTTTGAGCGTGGTATTATGTGTGAACCACTGAAAGGGTAAGGCTTAAAACTAGTCTGTTGGAATATCCAGCAAAACTTTTCATGGGACTTTCTATTTCGATCGTCATTACAGGTGGATCAGGTATTAGCCTTGGTGAGGGCGTCGAGAACGAGAGTTTTCTCGAACAAAATACGACGGGGAAAGTTAGCTGACGTAGGTAAATGTTAAACATGATGATGTTGCCCAAGCCTCGCGTAAGGTCACTATGTTTAGCTTTCTCTGGTGCTTATCAGGCAGTCACAGGTTTCTGCTGGGGGAGTTTTGTCGACAAAAGTTAAATTTTTCACCCGGACGCGGATGGTGATAAACATCTCGGGGACCGCTGATGCGTTTGTTCTGAGCATTTCTTTACACACTGGTATATTTCAGCGTCTCTAAAACAACAAAGCGACTTCAAACCTGCAAATAAAGCACGGTTTGTCAATTGCTTCCTTTATGAAGTAGCAGACGCTCACAATTCAAGCTCGCATTTGATTCCATTGCCCGCGAGACGCGATTTCTATCTGAAAATCTCCTCTTTTTCCTTTCGGTTCTGCGACTCAGCGTAGCAGACAAACTTTCGTCGCCTGCTCCCGCTCCTCGCCGGCCTCGCCGGAGCGAGGAATGACGGGATTGCGTTTTGGCGCACTCCCGATTTTCTCGGTGCAGCGAGTGCATGCACGCGTGGGAGTCGGTGCTGAAGCGAACTCGGAGAGTGTAACCACTCGTGGAGTGCCGGCTGAAACGAACCCGCTCCACGCTGCGAGTGGGCACGCATGGGCACGAGTGCCGTGAAACGAACTCGCTATTGTATAAATATACACAATAAGTTTTATAACTTTTTTTTTGTGACATTTATACAACAGTAATTCGGCAACATTTCTCAAATGATGTTTTATAACATTTTGGAACATGAATTCATAACATTATTGGCGAGGTGTTTTGCATTATTACTTTAACATTTTTTACAATATTACCAGAGCGTAAAAAAAAGTGTCAATGAACAACATATCTACTATCTGTACCCATGCGTTAGAGCGCCGTGCCGTAGCGTACGCAAAACTGAATTTTGATGAGTTTCATATCTGGATCACCCGGTGTACGTACTACATACATCTGCGCGCGCTTTTACAGATCCTTGCAAAGCTGATAGAATTTCTGATCCAAAACAAGATATCATACCATGTGGAGAAATTCTACAAAGGTTATTCTGCTGGGCCTTATCACGAATGTAAATGGCGCTGATAAAATATTTAAAAAAGAAAAGTGCAGGGGGCGATTAGAAGAGGGACCCTGGCTGATCACCGTGCGGCAACTCCAGAAAATGTATGCCAGTAAAGGCGAAAAAAAAAAAAAAAATGCAGTGAAACACCAACCAGGTACTACATAAACGGGCCTCACAGATCTCGACCCATAGGCAGTGCAATAAATAATAAAACTGCACTTACGTCGCTCCCGCTCGTCGTCGATCGTTCGTACACCACTTGAACAACTGTTGATGGAAGGAATCTTGGATTTTGTAAGTGCTTGACAATTTTAAGCGTGGCAGACGTAGCCGCGGTTAAAAAAGGCGCGAAATGGAAGAGCTACAGTTGCTACACTGTTCTAGAACATCGTAGAAGAGCACAGCACACGGCTTTGGAAGAGCCAGTGGCAAAGCCAAAGCCAAAGCCCGAAAGTTGGCAAAGCTGGCGAAGCGGGCAAAGCACGGGATGGATGGATGATAGATGCTAATGGCTGTACCCTTACAAGGCGCGGTAGCTTGCGCCACCTAGCCTAAAAATTAACAACCATACGTATGATTTGTTTACTTTGCCATTTTTAGCTGAACCAGCGTTCATGCAGCCTCTAAAATTGAAACCGAAACCGAACAGGGAATAACCAAACTGACCCGCAACGCTCTCAGCAACCCGCTGGAACTCTGTCAAAGCCATCGGCGCGCAGGCGCAGTAGCGGCGTCTTCGTTGAGGAGGGCTTAGCCGGAGAGAGAACCGCGGTCTACGAATCGTGCTTAGGGAGGAATTTGCGAATTTACTGTGGAAATGTCCGCGTGGTTACCGTTTTTATAACAAATATACGTATGTGCCCTGCTTGAGCCCTGTTGAGTGCGCTTTTCACCAAGCACTGATACACCGCGGAGAAGCAACACCCGCGGAAGCAAGCTCCGCGGGTGTTGCTGCCCTGCAGTGCACTGGTGCTCGGAAAGGAGCGCACTCACCGGGGCCGCGGGAACAAAAAGTACAAATTGCGCGAAAATGCCATGCTAATTAAGCGTCTCACGAATACATTGAAAACATAACGGGACAACCAACATTTTGAAATTTCTTTGAATTAATCAGAAGTAGGGAACATTGGAATTTGAATAATCGCGAGCCTACTGTATATAGAACGTGGCACTCCGAGCGATGGATAACTATGACATATGGGTGCGTCTACAGCAACCAGGCAAATGTTTAGAAAGCGGTCCGAGAGCACTACTATCGGTGGAGAGGTTTCCCTCAAGCCAATTTGGACTTTCGTTGTGATAGATGTTCTCCTGAATTTTATAAAACACCGTAGGTAAATTTAGGGGCAAAACACCAAGAGAGATTTTTGAGACTTCCAATATCAAGGTGCAGGGTGACAAGCATGTCGGTGTGCCCTCACTGCACCTTTCTCATAAGGAATTTGAATTTATTGTGTGGGCATTTTGAGAAGATGGTACTACCCACGTAGCACGAGAACGTCCTGAGAACATTCCGGGAATGTTCAAGAGAATATAGACAACATTCTTGGAATGTTGGAAATTCATGTAAGAACATGTTATCAACGTTGTCAGAATGTGGCGCAGGCACTTATCGCTACATTCGGGGAATGTTTTCAAAGGGATATTCTTAAAACGTTCTGAGAACGACATAGAACATTACCAGGATATTCAACCAACATTCAAATATCCTAACAAGGTTCTAAGAACATTTTCAGAACATCCAAAGAACTTCTGCAACTTTCATGAAATGTTGCAAATTTATGCAGGGACATCCTTTCAATCTCCCCGGAACGTGCGTGGGTACAACCCTACATTCAGGGAGCATTTTCTGAGGTTTATGTACAAATATTTTACAATTACGGTTTGATTTGGAAACAGCACTAATCAGCCGCACTACATATATGGATGATGGTAAAGCTGCTCACGGGGCGATGGATATTTTTTAATCAAAGATATTTTTAGAGAGCGGAGGCACAAGATTACCGCTTTCCCAGCTCACCAGCACGAGCATGTACTAACGACAGTTTACTCCTACCCATCACTTGTCAACTTCTTTCATTCAGAATGTTCTGCGTAGATGACCGATTACTCACTCCGAGCTTAGAACAGATTCACATGGCATCCCACACTCAACTGCAGGATATACCCTTTTCAAAGTTTTCTACCCCACATGCGAAAAATCGGGTCTATTCAAAACTGCACCTCTACATACACAGCGAGTGCCAAGTTTATTATGAAGTTTTGAAAACCATTGTTTTTCTCCTACACCTTATATTACATTCCTCGGTAGATTCATATAAGATAAAACTGATCCCTTATGCTAAGTTTTCAGAAACTCCACTTAATTTGCATATTTTTGGCACAAAGTGGCATATAGTGGATGGTGTTTAGAACCACAGGTTGCGTGAGAGCTCCGTAAAGTTGGCTTCACCTGCGAAAATTTTAGGAATGTTCGCAAGTGAACGTCCAAAGAATGTTCCGCATATAAATATTCGAAGGTGAATGTTCTGAGAACATTAGGCATACGAATGTTCGCCAACAAACGTTCCTAGAATGTTGAGCAGCTTACCTTGTGGTGAATGTTCGCATACGAACGTTCCTAGAACGTCCTAAATAATGTTTTAACGTTCCTTTAACATTCAGAACACAAAGGGAATGTTTGCACAACATTGGGTGCTACGTGGGTACTATCGGGTAGGTGGGAAATGCAAGCCGCAAAGCACGTGGAGGCCCAGTGGCGTAGCCAGGAGTTATTTTCAGAAGGAGGTTGAGTTTTCCATGACCAGTAGTCGATGTCCTGTAAAATTCATGGGTACGGGCACGGCCGTCCCCAAGCCCCTCGGCGATAGTCGTTCAATATTTGTCTTCCTTTACTAACCAAAAATAAATAATAAAGTGATGATTTCGGGGGGCTTTGACCCCCCAAACCACCCCCCTCTGCCTACGCCACTGTGGAGGCCCCTAGGCAGCGATGAAGCTGCACCGTTTCACCAGTTCCAAGGGGCCTCCAGGCAGCAAAGTCTGGGCAAGTTAGTCCACAAGTTAAAAAATATAAAAGCACCAAAAACAACAAGGACCCTGACGAAGTAAGAAAACACGTGCAGCCCAGCATGTATCGAAGGCCACGTGCACTGCCGTTTTCGTATCATTCATACCCGACAGCGCATATGTTTGGCAACCGTGTTTTTACATTTGAAACATGTGGTGCATGTGTATGAAAACACAACAAAGGTTACATTCCCAAACAATCCGTCAACTGTTTTTCCACCGAGTAAGGCTTCAAACTATGATGGCTTCTTGTCTTCGTGGCTCTGTAAGTGCCGAAGGAGCCGCGTCTTATGGAAGTACTTGCGACCACACCGTTCGCACGCAAATGTCTCCGTCACATGAGTCGCATGGGACCGCTCGTGAACTGCGAAACTGGTCCAGTCGGAAAACGTGAGCCCGCACTTCCCGCACGTGTAAACCATTCCCGCGCGGTGGAACCGCAAGTGTGCATCCAAGTTCTGCCTCGCGGTGAACGCTGCCTCGCAGTGCTGGCACTTGTACGGCTTCGCGACGGCGTGGCACCGCTGGTGAACCCGGAGGCTGAGCAGGTCGCCGAAGACGCTTGGACAGTCCAGGCACGGGAACGGCCTGTCCTTTGAGTGCGTTCGCCCATGCCTCACCAACTGGGGCTTGCTCGAGAAGGTCTCGCAGCAGAGCCGGCACTCATAACGTTTCTTGTCCTTGTGAATGCTGACGTGATTTGCCCAGAGGTCTTGCGTGGGGAAGAGTTCCAGGCAGAACCTGCACTCGTAGGACTTCTCAGAGTCATGTTTCTGCATGTGTGCCGCAAACGACGCCTTGGATCTGAAGACCCTCGTGCATGGGTTGCATTTGAATGACGTGGCGGATTTCGAAGTTTCAGCGGGGCCCGCTTGGCTTTCGGGCAGTTTGTCCGACAGTTCAACGCTTTCCGTCGTTTTTCGAAGCGTGGGGTTGATCTCGAGGGCATTGGAGAATTCGATTTCGTGGTTCTCTCGGGTCTGGGGCAGTGGAGCCGCCGTAATTTGCAATTGTTTCTCTGCGGCTGGAGAAAAAGAAACACGGAGGATCACTTTGTAGTCATCCTACCTTCATCGTTCTTGTCAACAAAGTTTTAGATGATTCCAATAAAAAACAAAATAAATAGACTAAAAGGTCACATAGGGCTATGTTGACAATCGCTGTCAATTTAGTGTGCATAAGGCAGCATATATTAAGTCCCTGCAAAGCAGGCCACTTCCAAGGTTACCGTCCAAAATGGACAGTAACTTTAGAAGTGGCCTGGTTTTCACGGGCAAAAGATGTGCTGCCGCCACACTTATGCATACTGGATTGACAGCGATTCGATAACATCACATTCAGGACAAAAAGATTACTCTATCTCTACCGACTGAAAACAATGATGAATGACCTAGGCGCAAGCTCCTTGCCTTAGAGTGCATCTCGCCTTTATGAATGCCTGTGCAGCAGGAGCACCTATGAAAGCTACGTGCTCGTGCACAGATGTGCACTTGAGTGTGATCGATTGCACTGCGACCGTTTGAGACCACTTATGAGAGATCACGCTGGCACGCTGACACCATCTTTGAAGTGGCCTTGGAACTGCATTTCACTATTGCAAAGGTTTTGCGGTATTTGCGCGATCAAGTGTACATACTGTTTACGAAAGATGGTCGTTTGTAACATTGCCAAAAGTTTTTTGAGCCAACGGTGAAAAAAATGCTGCATTAAAAAAAGAGGGAGTATATGGAAATGTAGTGTTCCACGGCCGTCTGACAGATGGCGCTAGAGTGTTCTCTTGTCGTAAGAGGTCCCAAAAGGTTCTAAAAAAAGAAGCTGAAGCACTTCAAAAAAAAATATCTGTTAGCAGCGGACTTCTATAGCCTTTTGTATTTTGTTGCGAACAATACATGCAGTGATTGCCGCAGGGCGCATGCGACGAGCCTTTCTGCCGCCTGTTACCTGTCCAAAGCGTCGTGACGTCATTGTCAACATCTCCGTGTCAGCTTAGTGGGGAGCAAGGGCCATCTGACCCCGCTGATAAATTCACTTTTGCTAGTTTTTCTTTCTGCTCTTGCATTCTTCTGCACTCGGTGCACCGCCACAGGCAGGGCTACACCGAAATTTTAATTGACGATTACGACGCTCCTACCAGTAATTAAAAAGAAAGAGAACTGAAAGTGTAACATTTTTAAGGTGCCTACATTACACCTCTCAGTTTCTTTTCAAATTCAAGGACTACTACAGCGTTCCTTTAAAGGAAATATGGAAAGAAAACCTTTTTTTTCTGCTAAACAGCCTGGATGAAAAAAGAATGTCATTAAATAAATTCATGATAAAAAAAAATATTTAGCGGCGTGAAACGAATTTACGGCGTGAAACGAATTTGTTTTTGGTGCCTGCAGGATCCCGTGGAAAAGTGTCAACTAGCAGTCACGTGGCTGGCCACTATAATCACATGGTGCTTGCACTTTTTCGGGAGCTTCCAGTGCTTCGTTGAGCAGTGGTGTCGTTCCAGGGGAACCGACATGTTAGAAACTAAAACATGCGACACCGCGCCCCTTTGAACAGAAAATGGTGAAGCCCTTGTTTGTTATCAAACGAGTCAAAATGAAAGTGACGACTTCATTATACTTGTTGTTGCTCAAACATCAAAGTACAGTAAAACTTCGTTATAACAAAGTTGAAGGAGCGGTCGTAATTATTTCGTTATAACCATTAGTTTGTTATAGCCAATGTCCATTTCTTCCCACTATTAGCAAGCAAGGGGAATTATGGTTGCTTTGTTATATCCATTAGTTTGTTATATCCCGTTTTGTTATAACGAGGTTTTACTGTAGTTTGTTAAAAAAAGAAGTGCAGCAAAAATACAAAGATTAATAAGTAACTTTTAGGGCCCATAGGAAGCTCACAAAAGAGCGCAAGCACCACGTGACTATAGTGGCCAGTCATGCAACTGCTAGTCGCCACTTTTCTGTGAGATCCCACGAGTGCCAAAAACAAATTTGTTTCGCGCCATAAATATAGCTCTACAAAAACTTTCTATTGTTGTAAATTAATTTTATGACATCCTTTTTCCATCCAGTCTGTTTATATATAAAAAAAAAAGTTTTCCTTTGCATATGTTTTCCAAGGCACTCGGTCGCAAGTTGCTGCAAGCCTGTAAACCAGCCTTCAGCCGTTGCTGTAGTCCGAGACGGAGTGTAGCAGTGCCTACCCTGCTGTCCTCCCGCCTCTGTGAGCGAGGCCAGACCGTCATTCCCAAGCCGTTCTTCCATGGGGCCAGATGCTGACATCGATCCACGATCGGGCCAACACCTCAAACGAATCGGCCACCTGAAGTCAAATAACAAAACGCAACACATCAGCACATCCTCTACTACAGTGTGGATCTCTGTCGACCTACAGGGGGTTCGCGAAACATCAATGGATGAGAATCACTGCTCTAGTAGAAAAACGCGTGCCTCTGAAGAATACAAAGGGGGTCACCGCTCCCTTCCAAACGATGTACAGTGTGTCCTCCAAAAAAGATTAGCATTCTTTTTAGCCGCAAAAATGTACTACTTTATATGCATCGCCGAACGCTGATGTTCGCCCAAATGTAGAGGTTCGAACCAGATGCCAAAGTTTCAGAGCAAGCTCTTATCTCATTCACAAGTTATAAACGATTTCCTCAAATATTTTTAACGAAAATGGTGGCGGACAGCCAGAGACACATGGGGCCGAATGGGGCAAACTACCGGGAATGGGCTCCATCTTCCCTTAGAAAGTTTCAGAAAATCTTTTTTTGAATAAGATAGAGGTTAGTTCTGAAACTTTGGCACTGGGTCCAGACCGCTAGCATTACATTTGGGCAAAGACAGAGCATTCGGTGATTCATAGTTTAGTTTTGACGCGAAAAAGATGCTGTAAATCTTTTACGAAGGTTCACCTTATAATACTTCTTAGAATGTTCCGACACATGCGATAGCACGTTTAACCCCCTTGGAACAGCTGAGATATGATGTACTAGAGACGTTAGGATACTGGGCGGTGGTGGCAGTAATATTTTACAGTACTGCTCTTTCCCAAGTCTCCCAGAGGATGGGTAAACAGAATTGACCTTCTTCAAAAGAGCGTCCTTTGTTGCGAGCTACGGAAAGGCTGAGCAATGAACTGAAAACCACAAAGATATTAATTTCATTACATTGTCATATTATGCGGTTTTAAGCTTGCGTGTTCTGCAGTGCCAGTTGTTACATCATTGTGCAATGGTTCATATTTTCTAATAATTAGCATGTGTGACCTTCGAAAGGAGTAACTGATTTATTAGACGAGGGCCGAAAAGAAAGGAAAATGAGTGACCAATAGATTGAAAGTAGAGAAAAGAGGCAAAGGTAAAACCCTTAGGTGAATATGTATATATTTATTATTTATTTTGCCTGCTGACTGTTGTAAAGGGTCCGATGGCTACATCGGAGGACTGTCTTCTTTTGCCGCAGTGTCTCAGACAAGCGTAAAAAATTCCTGCTTTTTCCTAGGCACAAAAAAGTAAACGAAAAAAGAAAAAAAAAAACAAAAACACCTATGGTTGATGCAGGAACTTGTAGATGGCAGAATCTAAAGCAAAAAAGTGAAAGCTTCTTTGCTAGTGCATTCCGCCCGCAGATTTGGAGCACACCTTTTGGGGTGAGCATCTTTCGTTGGCAGATCCGGCTCAAGTTGGTCATCTCCCGTTCGCAGGTTTGTGGCAGTTCCCGACCTGTGGAGCGCTTCTAACCCCGCCTAAGTTGCACCATTGAATTTGGAGGGAGCGCGGCAGACGTCGACAGAAGCGCGCTACTTCAGTTCCTTTCACTCGGCGGTGCGCATGAGCGTTGCGGTCTCTGGACCTAGCCGGACCTTTCAAGTCTGACTTGTTTGGTAGTCCGGTGCAGTTCAGTCATGTCGGTTGTTTGCACAGGGTTGTGACGTTTTGAGTGCTCCTATCTCACAAAAAAATCGCGGGTGCAGAGGCGGGACTGGAGTGTGGCATATCATAAGCACCGATATCGATCCCGAGCTGAAGAACGAAAGAAGGAACAACAGAAAAGCTGAAGGAAGAAGCAGACGCAAGGTTAGACGTGTTCACTAATTTTGCCACAACACCACATGCCGCCGCCGTTTTCTCGTGCAATAAAGCAAGAACAAACTAGGCAACGACCATACATGTTAAGATTTGCCACCTCTTTGTGATTGCTGAATTCTTATCAACAATCTGGGCTCCACCAAAGGCGATCGCTGCGCGAGGCCAACCGCTCAGACGCGGTCGCAAGCCTCTGCCTCTCCATTTCTTTGCGACGTGAATTCTGTGGATGCGCGCGACCCGTGTCGTGTGTTGCTTCTGCAGCTAGACAGCGACGGTAGTGATGGGTCATCGGAGAACTCAATTGCCTTGAAAGGTTGAAGCGCGGGCAAGATCGAGCGGCGGCCATTTTGAATGACAGATCGTTTCGGCTGGTCACTCCAAAAATGTGAGTCCATCTACTGCTTGTCACTAGACAATATACCAAATGCACAGCGCCATCCAGTGGGGCGTGATGAGCATGTTTCGCCTCACCAGTTGGCTTCAGCACTGGCAAAGACCAGGGTGCAAAAGCGTAGTTGTGAAGAATCCTTCGCTCGCCCAAGCACTTGCGCAGTGCTCGCCCAAACACCTGTGCAGAGAAAGCACATTTTAAAAGTGGGTATGTGTGCTTGTGCCTTGGCCGGCACTCAAAGCCAAATGTCGAGCTGAAGCGCACGTCCGCCAGGTTGGTTGCGGAAGAAAACAGCGACTGGCGGGGCGATGAGCAAATACATGCGCAAGAAGAGCATAAAATAATACTAGCCCTTAGCTCGCAGGTATGGGCGAGGATCTATGACGGTGCGCAGTAGGCCTCAATTGTTACCGACAATGCTACGAAATCGACAAACAGCGGAGGAATTGCGATGTAACAAAGTTGGCAGAGCACAGACTGTTGACAGACTATTTGGAGCACATCCCATGAAGTGGATTTTTGCCTCCCGCAAATTTTCGATACTGCTTCGGATCTACCAGTGGAATTCACCACGAGATGAACACCCAAAACGAGGTTCAGCAGATCCAACTGTGTGTGTGGTACCAGAGCCGTATATGTAGAGAGTTTGGTCAATGGGAGGCGCGGGCAGAGTCAGGGCGTGCGGCAGAGTCGGAAAGAGGGCTTGGCATGCTCTCCTGACCAACCAAAAGCCAAAAAGAATCCCCTAGCGGTGGTAGCGGCAAACAGTTCTGATCAAAAGTCTATGTTCGTATATGATTTTAATAAGCGCGTAAGAGTGAAGTGTAGTAACTCTTTGTGGCTGAAAATAGGATGCACGTGTTGTTTTGATCATGATCATGCAGAAAGATGTAAGAAACGAATGCGCCGCGCAACTCTGTTTTGCGCGGACAGAGTGTGACCGTTCGGACGGCAGATTCCCAGCCCTGGGCGCTTGGCATGCGGATCATGTCGATCGTCCCGCTGATCGCACTCTTCCACCATCATTTTGGATTACCGTGATTGAAACATCACGTGTACCATATTTTCAGCCATTGAGAGTTACTCCAATGCAGTTATCAGGTTTGTTTCTCGCGACCACCGCCAGGGTATTATTTCCGGCTTCTGGTTGGTCACATTCAAACTTCTGAAGACGCCCTGGAACACGCCCAGCCCGCTTTCAGCCAATGGTGCCTCCTCATTTGTCTCCTATACTTCCCAACGAATGGCCAAACTCTCTACATTTACGGCTCTGTGTGGTACCACCCGTGACTAGCAGCATGAACTGGATAATTTTTACCGTTTTCCTCCCTGTGCATTGATAGAAAAGCAGATTATTTTTAGGCTTAAGTTGTTTTCCTGAAACCCACAATTACGAAATTGGAGTAGGATAAATGTGCCTCCAAGACACCTCTGTGGTAAATTTTGATGCACTGCTTCTTAATTTATATATAGATTTTTTTTTTTTTTTTTTTTTATGGCTGAATAGCGCTCAAAAACACCCTGCACGTCTGAAATAAATATTATGGTTATTATTATCATTACATGGGCAAGGAGGAGGAAGAGCAGCTCGGCTCCCCATGGGAGCAAAAATGAATAGAACCTTTCAGCATCTTTATTCAGTCCTACAGCAGTGCAAGTGCAGAGTTCCCCTAAAGATAACCCAAGCTGCCTCACTCTAGCTTTATTTTGTATACATTGTACGCTTCCTTTTTTCTTGCAGTCTGCATAAAATTTGGCGTACGCATCTAATAAATGTGGCTAGAATATATTTTTAGTATCAATTTCTTAATTTCACTGTTCACATATCATGCGCAAATCAACATTCACAGGGCCTTAGAAGAGGCGCCGTGGAAGGAGCGAAGACGAATGTTGCTCGTGGGAACAATATTCGTCCATCAAGAACAAACCAGCGGATCTGTTAACAGTGCATTCGAACTTACGAGGTCACCAGCTTTCAGAGAATTCGGGTGGGGGGGATTCCGCGGCTTCCGCGCACCGCCGCCATCGCTGAGAACGTTGTGGATTGGATTGATATCTGACATGCATCCTTCAAAACGTAACCAAAACTAACCAGAACTAGTCGACCAGACACATCAAAGGACAAATATTGTTCTTCTTATTTTAAAAACATGTTATTATTGTATAATAATACATCTTATAAAATATTGTTTTAGTTTATATTTGAAAAGCCTGAAGTTGAAGTGACTGAAACCGCTGAAACGGCTGAAGAGCCAACCCATCCGGTCAGCAACCTTCACCAGCGTCCAATATGGCGCCAACTTAAATTTTTGTCCGTCTTCGCGTTTCGGGTCATAGAATTTTCCAAACTCAGCAGCGCGCCTTGTCTTCTCCTTAATAATATGTTTTTATGTGTACTGAGGTAATGACGGAACGCAATACCTGCACGATAACCGCTTCTTATCTTTGATTGATCGCAGAGCCGACGTCGGAAAACAACGGAAAGACCGCAGTTATCGTCATCCGTGCGTGAAAAATCGATACAGTTCGATGTAGGTGGCGGGGTCAGTGGCGCTTTGCGGGGCCGATGTCGCGCTTGGTCAGTGCACGTGCTGCATCGAAATGTGGCCTTGGCCGCCTTGGATCACGATCGACGGGAAACGTACTACCGGTACTACAACTAGGACGGACCAGCCCCGGCGAACGCTGCTCTGCGGTGATGTTTGCTAGTGGCTACTCGTTGGTTTTCCGCGAGTTTACCAACAGTATTTGTCGCGTTTCGTGACTAAACTTCACGAAGGCACCCCTTTAGTCGTGACTACGTGTGAACCTCTTGAAGGGCAGGTCGTGACTATAGTGGCCTCGAAGTTGGAAGTCGTAACTACTTGTGAACTTCACAACGGAGAGAAAGTCATTACTATATGCAAGCTTCACGTAGGGGAAGTCGGGACTGCTTGTGAACTTCGTAACTGAGAGGAAGTCGGCACTACGTGTGATTGTCACAAAGAGTACTTGTGTTGTGGCTTTCAACCTCGCGAAGAACAACGCATGTCTGTTCGGCAATTTCATGAAAAGGGAGTCGTGTGTACTGGTGAACTTCACGAAGAGTAAGCCATGACAGATTGACCGTTTCCACTCAAAGACATGTAACTACAACTAGACTAGCTACATTTTGTTTTCCCCTTGAGTGTTTACATTTACACTGCAGGGGACATGGATTGGGACTCGGACGATGACGTGCAGTGCTTGATAACGAAGCTGTGTGTTATTCTAGCGAGGGATGCCGATCCTGGTGGCACTAGGTTGGGGAACGTTTCAGTGAAGGAACTCCGTAAGACGGCATTCTCAATACTGCTGAAAGTGGGCGAACAGCATCAGCAAGTGTGTGGTGAGTGCTGAATGTTTCTCTGAGCGTCCACGAAAAGTCTTATTACCCGCCTTCTCAGCAAGCTATAACTTCAAAATGAGGTTTGAGGCGAAAAGAGTACAAAGATGAGTAAGCTGTGCAGATTCTCTAAATAAGAGGCTGCACAGAAGGTTGCCTCATACGAACAGGCAACGGTCAAGACACCACTTTAAGCATGCTGCACGTATATTGAGCTCACCATTCCTGAATGCTAAGCATCTTATCACGTATGTACCTGCACGAGCAACCTCCCTTCATTGGGTTTTTGAAATGGAATATCTGCCCTAGGGATAGTATCTCTGAACCACTGCAAAATTGCAGCCTGTAAGCTGCCTTCCTTGTCTAACTCGTCCTTCTAAGAAAGCTGCAAACGTGAGGTCTTAGCTCGCTATGCTTTGTTTCTTCTGAAAGCGGTAATACAATGACGACTAGCGTGACCACTTCGGAATCTACCTCAGTTATCTGATGAGAAAACTTGCCAGGGCTGTGAAGGCACACCTTTGAAGTCAAGGCCGCAGAGCCCACTGTTGGATTGTGGGGCAGGAATTGTGCAACTGAAACTCTGACACCTTAAAGGCCTGTTCACACATGCAGCGGAGCGCTACAAGCATAGCGCTTACCTCGCGTTAAGCACGTGCTTACGGGAGCGTTCATCAGCTTTGTACGGGAGCGTTCACCAGCTTTGTATCGCACCGTCAAACCTGTTGCTCTTGGCAAACGATAAGTAGCTGACGGCACGTGAGGAGCGCTACATCAGCGCTTCGCTGCATGTGAGAACCGGCCTTAAAGAGACAGGGCATTAACACTCGCCGAGGTTTCTATTTTAACTTGACCTATAAGGGTCCAACTACCGAGAACATTACTTGTGGCTGAAATTTATTTTCTTTACGCCCAAAAACAGCCAGTCGAGAATTGGCCGGTTTCAGTCGCGCTCAGTCTCGTTTCCATGGTCAAGTGGTGTTCAAACTATGTGTCAAATATATTCAAAGTCGTAGCTTAACTAAGACGCACATTCAATATTAAAAAGAGAAAACGGTATGAACCCCCCTTTTTTGTGACCTCCAAAAAGCTGCAAATACGTTGATCGAAAAAAAAAAAAGAAGAAAGAATGTTGCACAGATTACAGGTAGTGCATGTACAGTGGCCCAAGTTTTTAATGATATCACACGAGCGTCGACTGCCGGGCTGGCCAGTGCCGTGCTGGGCATGCCACGGAGGGGTGCAGTGATACGGGAGAGATTATGCGCGTGCGCACAAAGATCTTTCCGGTGCGAGCATTTTCTGCTAGGCTTTATTGTTTACCGCACACAACCCCTGCTTTTTATCTGCTGGCAAAGCTAACTGCCTAGATCTGAACAGCTCTTGCTTATCAATCGCTTTTTTTTAGGCACACAAAATAGCAAGTGGCTGCAAATTCAAACATGAAACAACACAACCAGATGGCAGAATAAAGCTATCGACATTGCGCCACTGTTTATGCCACAGAAGGCGAGTATCACACCAGCGCTCGCTTTTCAGACATTTTTCTCTACCAACAGATAAGAGAAACATGGAGAAAGAGGGGTAAGTGGGCATTGGATAAACAATTATGCCAATCAGCACCGTGCGCCCTTTTGCTATTAGTAGGGGCTGCGCGCTGTCAACGGAATGGCCTAGCAGATGACGCTCGCACCGGAAAGATCTTCGTGCGCACGCGCCTAATCTCTCCCGTATCACCACACCCTTTCGCGGCATAGCGCTGGCCGGCCCAGCAATCGACGCTCGCGTGATATTATTAAAAACTTGGGCCACTGTACACGTCATTCTCAATGTGGCAACGGAGCGACGTTGTGATGGACGTGGGGCTGCTACTTCGGAACTGTCGTTCGTGGTACCGGCCAGTCGATTTTAAAGCACAGAACATCGAGTGGAAGGGATATGAGTTTGAAACAATCGCACGACAAACGGTTCACGCAAGTTCGTTGTCGTCGTCGTCGTCTGCCTCAAAAACCAAAAAAGCGGAGGAAGAAAAAAAAAAAAAATGGCGGTGGGTGTAGCTACATGACTTCTGGCCATGAGCTTCCTTGCTCGTGTTTTGGTTTCGGTTTCGAGCAGTTGAGTTTTTTAATTTATTAAAAGATATATGTGACCGCAGAAAAGTATGACCTAATTGGATAATCTCCTGACACTACATTAAATTGCCTGACAGAAAAAAAAACAAAAAAACAAGAAAGTTTTAGGGGAGTGTCAGTGTTTCTTTAAAGATATTTACCGTAAAATACTGAGCATGCACCCATGTCACAATGAGCGCCCACCACCTACTTTTCAAACATTTCAAATTCTGTAAAACCCTTAAAGTTCATGAGCCCTTAATTTTCGTGAATTGAAAAATTTGTGAAATTTAAGGGCACACGGAAATTTCTGTCCTTAAGAGTTTCAATGCAGGCATCTGGAATTTGCGAAATTTAGTGGCTGCGATTATGTCCTCTGTGACTGATTTGCGAAAAATGGGGGCCGCGAAAATAAAAGGTTTTACAGTATAGGCAAAGGACATGCCAAGTTTGACATGGCAGGGCCGGCTTAAAGCAAGCTTGGCGAGAGTGCCGTGGTTGTTTTAAAAATAAAAGGTTTTACCAGACCCCGTTTCTATGCGATTCGTTCGGATCAAACAAGGGCCTACCCCCTTTCTACTTTTCCACTGTTGGACGTAACAAGTGCCCATCCTAATTTTTTCTCGACTATCTTTACCTTTTGTGTGTGGCGCTCGTCCAGTATTTTATGGTGGGTGGTCTAAACCGAATCTCAGTGTTCCACTGGGGCATGCCAGATGCCCTTCGGTGTTTTAGTTTGTAAACCCCCAAATTACATCTGTTGATTTCCAGGCGGAAGAGCTTGTGTAAGTACATGTGTCTTGTACTTAAAGTGCCGGAGGTTGGGAAAATACAAACGTAGCGATAAAATGCTTATGCACATTGCACAATGACCCTTCATGTTCGTTTGCAGGCGGGAAGCCATGGGACGTTCCGGTGGAGGATCGCGTCGTGGCCAAGGCCATAGAGATGCAGCTCAAGTCAAGGCACCAGGATGCACTCCGACTCAGGGCGTGCCTGTCCAAGCTCAGGGGCACCAGCGGACGCTGCTCCGGTATGCAATTCCCGCCTTCCCTTCTTTCATTAGACATCCATGTTGTTTTGTGGACTGCAACATTAGTTTTCTGCTTAGCTCGCTGCCACTTTCTGAGGTGGTACCCAATGGACGCTGGAACTCCTCCCGTAGGGAGTCGTGATCTTAGAAGCTAAAGTGAGAGTGCAGGTAAGCTGGATTAAAACTGACAGTAACCCTGGAGCAAGGTGAAGAAGGTATGAACAAACACCAAACTCCAAACTTAGCTCAAATTTGATTGCACCAAGACATCCTTAAATGGGCCCACAGCCATCCAAGGCACATACCTAAAGCTAACACAACAAAAGAATCTGAGGGACTAGGAACTACAGTCTAAGCTCATTACAACATACCTGGTTACAACAGACATTTGGATATAACATACCGATTTGCGAAGTTCGGTTGGTTTTCCTCTACATACCACTGACTCAACTTCATATCTGCATACAACATATATACTCCTTTCACAACAAACCGAAATGTTGGTCAAAATCAAGGTCTGTTAAAATGAGCTTAGATTGTACCAATAGAAAAACAGTGACAACCAGGAGCATTAACACAAAGACACAACCACATAAACAGAAACCAACTAGGCTGCCATGGTTACCAGGCACAAAGGGAAAGGAAAAAACAACAACATACTTCAGGAGGACCCTATTCAACATACATTTATAGTAGCAGTCATTTTCCTGATCAAGGCCTTTAGTTTCATTCTTAGCAATACCAGAGTCAACACAAAGAGAAACATGTTAAGCTAATTATGAAAATTTATTGTCATTCTTAGCCACAGAATCTGTCGTTAATACACCTAGCAGTTTAATTCACCTGGCACCTGTTTGTCTTTTGTGACAGTATTTGCCTTAACATGTCGTAAGCCCCTCTTGATGTCTTGTCAGACGGCGTCCAAGCCTGCCTGGAGTTTTTGCTCTGCCTGTCCGAGACCAGACCTGCGAAGCCAAGCAAGGGGAGACGTCTCTTCGAGCTTCCCTCGATCATGGAACCAAGCTATCAGGTGAAGGATCCGAGTTGATCCTGAGGGGATCAGAATAGTCCAGTTTTAGAGCGATTTAACATTGATCAATCAATCAATAATTTTATTTGCACCTATACAAGATACTATTACAAACATCACATACTAAACTTTTCCAGACATCACCTTTACAGTTGGCAATTTCCGACTGGAACAAACTTCCAGCCAACATTGTGTCTTTAGTAAATGTCGACGAATTTAAAAGTGTGTGTTCTCAATACTGCGTAAATTGAAATGTATGTTTTCCACGTGCTTTCATTATATTGTTATTTTTGCATGACATGTGTTCATATTTTCGCTGTTCTGTTTTCCTTGTATACTGTTGAATTTCCCCCCTCATGTATGCCCCCTTGGGGTGCTTGTGAGCTACAAATAAATGAAATGAAATGAAAAGATGCCGGGAGGCAGACAAAATGCCAACAGTTGTCTGCTTGATAAGGTCTCCTGTCTTCTCGGCAAAACGAGCTGCAACAACAACAAAACAATAGCGCAAAGATAACTAACATCTTTTGACTGGTTTAAAAATAGAAATTAAACAGACAGTTATAGTTCTTACTACAGTGTTGTGAAAGCATTTCTTATTAATTTGGGGAGCTATATGTTCTATGTGGATATCATTTCGTATGACTTTGCCTTTCTTCCGCAGGCACGACACTCCGTGTGTTTGGTTCCAGGAGTTCCTGCATTCAAAGACTACTCGAGGTAGGGCCGCTTTCTTGGTTTGTCAGTTTTGTTGCCCTGTCATGCTCGTTTACTGCACTTTCCAAGACTGGCTTGCAGTTGATTGCAAAATTGTTGGAGATTAAATCACTCCCCACGAGCTATGACCTCGAAGGGGTTCCTACACGAGGCGCGCGTGATTGAAGGTCAGGGTCGGTTCTTATGACCTTTGGTCAGCCAAAGGCCTCGACTGATGTCAGTTTGTTTTTGCAGAACGAGTTTATTCAGATTGTGAAAAAGAGTATAATCCTCTCGGACATTCCGCAGCATTTTTCTCAACCCAAGCTTTTTTACGGCTGTAGCTGTTAGTATCCCTTCTCGACAAAAAATGCTCGTGCGCAAACGCAGAACTCCACTCGACAGCAGAGGCACCGCTCTCCCTCTCCCCGTCGCTCCTCGCACAAGGCAAGGCTCCTTCTCGCTCCCTTTCTCCCCTGTAGGCCACTGCTGTTCCGGAAAACCCGCATGATCACGGGGAGGGCACTCTTAACTTCCCCATTGTTCCTGCCACATCTGAGTGTTCTCGGACGACAATCTCCCTCCCCTCAACCTCTGGCAGCCGCCGTCGCGAAATACCAACGCGCTTGCTTTGTGCGGACGCACTCCCTCGCCTCCCCACTGTCGCCGCCCAGGTTCCATTCACGTGTGCTCTCCACGGCTCTACCGAACAGCTCGCGTACATACCTTCGCCTCTTCCACTGCAGGCACAGTCACGGGCGCCCGCGTTCTAAAAAAGCGTTTCAGGCAACAAAAAAGAAATGCATCTCTGTGTCCTTTTTTAACGCATGCAGCATCTTGCACGATCGCTCCACCAAAGCACGCATCTCCTCACACGTGTCTCCTGCATCCATCCCACTGAAAGCGAAGAATCCACTCCAAATGTTGTACAGCACACTGTCCGAAGGCAAATCTTCAACATGCGTTTTCTCAATGCAGCAGCTACTGCCGTCAATTGCAGCACACTTTTTGTGGTAGTTTCTTTTCTTTTTTGTTAATTAATGAACATATGCATTAGACATTACAAAATAGAGTGTGTACCATTTTGTTTGTTTTGCAGCTTCCCTTTATGTTTTGCTTGTGGAAGTGCTGGCTGCCTGGCTCTTCCATTTGCTTACATTCTCTTTTTGGTGTGCAGCGAGCTTTTCGAGCGCATTGACGACCTGAGCAACGCTACGTCTAAGGCATCGTTTTTTCCTGCAGTGAGTATATCTTTTTATTTTTAGAGCGCAGCTCTTAGGTGCCTGTTTCCGGCATGAGCGGCGTCGCCGTCGGCGTAACCAAGGTCAACCCAAGGTCATGTGACCCACAAGGTCACCCCAAGGTCACGTGACCCCCAGGTCAGGTGACCCCCCCCCCCCCCCCCCCCCAGGGTCACGTGACCCTCCCAAGGCCACCCCAAGACGTGACCCCTCCGAGGTCACGTGACAGGTCATGTGACCCCCGAGGTCACGTGACCCCTTCGCCGAGGTCACGTCACCCCCCCCCCCCCCCCCGATGACGTCATCGTCACTGATAACGTCACCGGCATCCGCATCGTCATCATCACCGATGACGTCACCGGCATCCGCATCGTCATCGTCATCATCACTGATGACGTCATCAGTGACGTCACTGATGACGTCACCGGCATCCGCATCGTCATTGTCATCATCACTGATGTCGTCACCGGCATCCGCATCGTCATCGTCATCATCACAGATGACGTCACCGACATCCGCATCGTCATCGTCACTGATGACATCATCGGCATTGTCATCGTCACGTGACCCCCCAAGGTCACGTGAGCCTCCCCTCCGGTCAGTTGACCCCCCCCCCTCCCCAGTACCCTTCCCTCCTCCTCCTCAAGAGCTGCGCTCTAATTCGGTGTTACAGGGAGTTGTAAACGGCTTTCACTTTTTTTAACGTTAATTACATTTTTTCACATGCCCGTTGGTTGTTGCTAGTACCGCACAATCGAATTTCATTGCTGACTAGTATCGACATCTAGTCAGAAGAGAGGTTTTCAGTTCAGTTCAACTAACTGTTATCAAGGAACAGAGAATCTCTACTTAAGCGATAGCACCCTCGGTTCAGTGACATAGATAGAGGATGCTAGCTTGTAACACTTTTGTGTTTACGGTTGACATGCTCCGCTTTGGCGTAACAAAGTGTCAATACTTTGAAACGTAGCTTGGTCGGCGGCTGTAAAGGTAACGACCCTCGCTCAAAATCATTGTAGCTGGTTATCCGAAGCTTCATCTCAAGTTGCAGGAAGCGTTTTTTCATCTTCCAGAAATCTTAAAACTATCCACGACAAAGAAAGATGATGTCGCCCGAGCTTTCTTTACCATATCTAAAGAAGTAGCACTTTCAAGCCGTTACCACCGCCAAGTGCATCTGCTTTGCACAACAAAATGGCGGCACCCACGAAACAACCAGGGAACAGAGCGCCGACGCTAGTTAAGCATAGCTCGTCTAGTGTCTCTAGCGGCACCGATCGTCGTTTTCAACACTCTTCTCGATCTCCTCTGGCTCCAGCTTTGTGCAGCACAGCCGGGCTTTGACCTGAATGGCAACCCCCTCTTCGGATCGTTTGGACGGCGGAGGGCAGTCGGCGGGACGTCGGAAAACGGGAGGAGCTTTGCTGGCTCGCTTCCGAGGATTGCGCCCCTCAACGCGCTCACGCGGAACACGTAAGCATTTAATTGACTGTTGGCCGATTTGAGGTCAGCGACCTGAGCCGTTTCGTCTGGCGTCCCGTTACAGGGTCGTCAGCAGACGTTTCAACGAAGCGAGGTCGACGAAGGTAAGGAGCCTGATCAGGGGCATGTGAATAAGACATTGTTGAAGTCTTCTGTTTATTGCAATGGAAATGAGCAGCACAGAGGTGATGCCAACGAGACAATACAAACAAAAAAACGTGGCACCATCGTGATGAACTTGTCTTTTTCTCGTGGCTATTTGTCTGTTTTGTTTGTCATTTCTACTGCATCCTGTCAACTATAACTGAAGTTTCTACTTAGTTTGTTTTTACAGCATATGTTCCAGGCCTAATGACATATACTGCTCTAACTTCTCAAAGCATCCTAGATGACTTCTACCGCCTGTTGCATCTCATTTGAGGCTTCAGTTACACTGCATTCTTCAGCGCTTCATGTGAAGCAGGTACTAAGGATGGTGTTTCATTCTGTGCGCCATCATTAACTGAGAATGAAATGGAAAATGGAACTAAATAATCTATGCATTGGCTCAGCTATTCCCAACATGCATATCCGTTACTTCAGTCTGCATTGGGACCTCGCGGAACTGTTTGCTCCAAATGTAGTTACTAATGAGATCGGAATTATCTTTCTCTTATAAGGCTACAGATCTGGCAAGTTTGTTAAGGCAATTGAATTGCATGAACAAGTGGAAAAGACCGATGAGCTCGGACTCTTTTTTTTGTTCCACTTTTCTTTTTTCTGCCTCGCACGTGCTTGCATGTGTACATATGTATGCGTGTGTGCAAGATAAGATTCATACAGTCGGAGTCACATTCAACTGGGGCACGAGAGGGAATTTTAATGCAGACAAACTAAAGCATAGCAGTGCTCAAAGCATTTGTATGCAATCTAAAGATGTAGCGTTGATTGAATGGAATAAAAGAAGACGAATAAAATGAATGAAAGCCGTTTACAACTTCCTGTTCGCCGAATTAGAGTGCAGCTCTTGAGGAGGAGGAGGGAGGGGGTACTGAGGGGAGGGTATACCCCTCCTCCCTCCTCCTCACCTCCTCATCCTGCCTGCTATTCCTCCCGCAGCGCGTAAAAACGTTGTACACGTCATCGGGATATCAAACGATATCACGATGACGTCATCGTCGTCGTCGTTGTCACTGATGACATCACAGTGACATTACTGTGACATCATTAGTGACGACAATGATGTCATCACTGATGTCACTGATGACGTCACCAGTGACATCCAGAGGGTCAACATTGTCATCATCACTGATGACGTCATCAGTGACGTCACGCGTCCCATAATGCATCGCACAATTACGCCAACGGCGACGCCGCTCAAGCCGGAAGCGGGCACCTAAGAGCTGCGCTCTAATAACTGGACAGTAGAACAAAACCACGCATGAGCACAGAGAGACAGACCAACGTATGTCAGGAGTAGGCTTAGCGTCTGCTTCATTTATACATATGTTTGCGACTGTACAGGTTGATTTAGGTGAATTCTTGATAATTCAGGGAAAAGTCTGTGGCTTCATGGAGCTTAAATTAATGACAGTCTACTGCATGTTGTTCATGACCGCAGTGCCTTCTGGAAAACGTTAGGAAGCGGGTAACAACATTCGTGTTCTTTGGTTCAGCCCGACGTCTTTAGCGGGGCACGTCTCAGGGAAGAGGAGGTTCACGTCGGACAGAAAACTGTTCAGCAATCATCTAAGACGGATGAAGACATCTGGGAATCCGTTCTTCGATCGAAAAGCAGACAGCACTTCACCTGGGAGACCCTGGGATGGTGAGTGACAGGCAGCATTTTCTGCTTCTCAGTCTTTTGTGACGTGACTTTCCTGCGTGACACTAACCATTTTGCGACGTTTTCACTACACAGTGTTAAGCGAAGGTGATAGTCGACGGTGATTTTAATTGTATTTTAAATGCAAAAGGTTGCTCACACGACCTGAGGAAAAACGACACTGCAATGGGCCTTTCTCGAGTAACGAGCGTTGTCTGCAAACTACAAAGGAAGGGCAGCCCAACGTGCCTCTGCTTGTCAGAACACATTATCATTGTGTCGTTGTGTCAGTCTTCATTGAATTTTTATGGCCCATACTACCCACAGTCAAAAAACAAACAACGTCGCCGAAATCGCCGCTGTCACTACGCCGATTCTGAACGAAATGCATTGGCATTTAGCGTGGGGGTTCTGGCTCGGCAAAAGATCGAAATTCCAACCTCACAACAGTCTGCACATTGTTGTCATCGAAGAGCCAATCTTCCCTCCCGGGTGTCGACGTTTTCTCGCAAACTGCATTGTCGCTGCACCTTGATTTTACGTTGTCAATTATCGTGTTTCAGGGGTGGAACGGCTGCGCCATTTGCGCCATTTTGCGCCAGACGCATTTGTCTGCGCCATCCTGTGCCATGTTTCGGAAACTGCGCCACAGTCAATACCTCGCGCCATTATGCACCAAATTGGAAAACGTGCGCCAAAAAAATTGTATTTTGTCTTGGTTTCGGTTTCTATCGACTCGATTGGCAACAATGATCGCGTTTAGCTTGGTCGGCCTTGCAATCCTTTTTTTCTCTTTATTCTCCCTGTGTATCCCGAGTAGGAAGTGTGCGAAAAAAACTCGGGGTTCGGATTCCAAGCGCTACACCATCTGCCTCTGGATTGTTATTCTTCAACCATAAGCGGTTAAACAAGTCGGTCGAGGTAAGGTCGAGTCGTTAAACGTCAGATTGCCTGAGGCTCCGAAGCCCGGGATCCGGACGTCAGTCAGTTGAAAACAAATGAGCAAAAGATTCCTTTGAGCACTTCATCGTTAGAAGTTGGAACCGCATTCCTGCAAGATAAATCGCGATTTGATAGATCTGAAACGCAGTCCGATCCGAAACCTTGCCGGCCAGCAGCTCTCACGCGAGCGGTAGATCTGCTCGGCATACGTTAACCTTGCTCCTGCTTATCGCTTCGAATACGATAACTCCGTTAATCGTAGTCTGCTGCTTCGATATTGAGTTGCGCAATAGGATAAACTCGAATTTTGTTGCGATATTGAGTTGCGCAATATGAGAAACTCGAAATTTGTTTCCCTGTTCTTCCGCGCAACTGCACGTTCGTTGCTTACGCACGTCACGTGGTTCGCACATAAAATCACTCTGTCGAGGACGTGTGGACTGTGCGATAAGCGGTGCTGGTTTGCATTTTGAGCAGCTGAAAGCCACTCAGAAAATAACAAGGCTCACAAAGTTCCAAGTTTTCGCATCTGTTACACTGTTATCCCATCTGCCTAGGTCCCTAACCACTCATGTTTATCTGGGCTGCTAAGCACAACTGAAATTGCTCCCGTGCTTGTCTAAGACACAAGCTGGAGTGCAATGAAAACTGATCTGAGCTGCTCCTAGCCTGCTCCAGAGCGTAGTTTTAGCTGCTCCCAACCTGCTCCAAAACAGCTGTTTTAGCTGCTCCCGTGGCTGCTCCCAAGCACATTTCATGAGTTCCACCCCTGTGTTTGCATGATTCTTACACTCAGGCAAATAGTTCCCACCCAGATATTGAAAAATTTAATTGCTGCTGATTCTACCGTGCAGGTAAATTAATGGACTTTGAACACATACCCTTATAAAAACCGATTTTATGAAACGCTTGCCAATACGCAAAAATAAATACCGCGCACAAGTCGCTATTGTCGGAATCTGGCAATGGTTCTTCACTGTCCACAGACCGCAGAAGGTCATCCTTGCTCTCGTCTAAAGCGTTTGAGGAGCCGTGCTTTTTGCGCTTGTACGAATGCACGACCGTTGCCTATTAGAGGGACGTCTTCCAAACAACACTTCGCGAGCTCGTCGGGTCGCTGGGATTGCAAGGCCACACAGCGCCGCTCTGTTGTTATTGTTTCCCGTCAGCGTGATGACGTTTCATTCAAATAAAGCCTCCTAGTGGAATTTATTTTATTTTTTCATCTTAAAACGCCAGACACGAGTCCGTAAAGGCGAAAGAACGTGCAATATGGATACCAAAATGGCGAATGTAAACAAACTGTCATGAAGTCGATTGGGCTAGATGCCTTATTCTGAGTATTCTGTTTTTCTTTCGAATTTTGGTTTTTGGTTTTGATTGTAATGCGCATGTAATTTTAGGCACCGATTTTGGCGAAAAAAAGTGCGCGTTAGAATCGTGCAAACACGGTACGTTGTGCATACCGGGGAAACAAAATCATGTGCCTAAGTCCCTGCCATCGTAAGAAGAGTGTGCGCTAATGGCGACGCGTCATTGGAAGCGTGTGAACAGACCCTTTCCCTCTTACGTAAGATGGAAGGTTGACATAACGAGCAAACGAACAGAACGAAAGAGCGCGGCGGGAATCGCACCAATACCTCACAAAACCAGTCCTGTCCAGTCCAAACCAAAGACGGCTGCAGCATGCACTGAAGCAATAAATGCGAGCGCATTTAATAAACAACGAAATATGAGCGAAGATTCTAGGTGTTGATAATGTTGGTCGTGCGGGACACCGCCCTCCGAAAATGGCAACAGCGGGAAGCAAGGCCAGGGGAGGGGGTGTGTGCATGCACGGAGGCTTACCTTAAAAAAGTCCATTTGGGCGCTAGCGTCATAAATTGTTTATAGAGGAACTTTAATTTAGGCTTTCTTTTCCAAACGTTGAGTAGCCCTTTGAGTTTGAGGTAAAATTGCCTTGAAGGGCAAAGTAAAAGTGTGTGGGATCAGGGTTACGGTCAGAGTTTGTCGACAGTATTTTGCTGTTCTGACACTTTTTGGTTCTGATCTGGCGTTCGTGTGCTTCAGCCTTGACGAGACCCAAAGTTAACGTATAAAGCCTTTTCAGCCCTTTTAAGGATGCTTTGGTGCCGCTGCATTCAGTGTAGTAAGGATTCCGAATATCCGTACTAAGCACTGCACAGTGCCTGGTACGGTAGGTCACGTGACTTAACGTAAAATACCGAGCAAGTGCGCACCCAAACTTTGGGGACAATCTTTAAGAACGGGTATGTGTGCTCGTTAGGTCCAAGAGCAAAAATGCTGAAGGGGCATACGACAGGGTAGACTTTGCCACTTTGCACTGGTGTGCGCTCCTTAGCTTTTTTGTTTTTGCATCGTCATGCTCGCGCCTCTGTGCTTTGCACCGACATGCTTGGAAAAGCATCCAAAGCAGGGGAGCGTCTCGGGTAGCAGTGTAGGGCCGCTTCTCCGTGAAAGCTGCACCAGCGTCGACAACGTAGCGCGAAACAGTCGAGCATGGTGCATTTGTTTACGCTTGTACCTAACCCGACATCTCTGAAATATGGAGGAGGCAAAGCGAGTGCCTTTTTACTTACAATAGGTGTTCAATAATTTTTGCCTCCTGGGCTGTATCTTTGAATGCAAAAGCTGTTTTGTGCGGCGTTTTGGGTTGTAGCGAGCATCATGAACGAGTGACACACCGGGAGCATTACAGATGTTAGGATTATATATAAAGTTTTTATATAAAGTTTAAGCCCCCTAGCGGGGCTCAATCCTGGGTCTGTACGGTGGCGGTCGGATTAAAGGTACACCAACACCCCCCAAAAACTCTTTTTTTTTTTTCATTTTTTGTTAGGCGATTTATAATGGTGTCGGAATACTACCCAATTAATATTTTGCTACAGAGTCACATATTTTTTTAATAAAGCCAAAAAAACGCAACTGCACGAAACTGAAACCGAAACCCCCGCACCGCACGGAGAAGTAGAGAGGAGAGAAGGGGGGTGAGTGGCGGAAATCACGCAGCTACGCCCGACCGTGCTATTTTTTTTTTTTCTTCCGCGCACAGCAGACAAAATGCGTTGCGGGATTTGTTTAACGTGCGATTCCTTTGCAGTAATGTTTCTTCCGCTCGCTGTTCTGTAGTTCGAGATGAGTTGTTTTGTACATTTCAGTGTTGGCAACTAGTAGTGAGTGCCTGTATGGTGGCTAATGAATTCCCGTGATCGGCTCCGAAAAGAATGCTCCCAAGATGTTGCGTGAAGAGCTGTCTCGCATGTCCTGCATCTGAAAGTGGCATTGCGCGGCAGAGGTGTCAAAAATGAAATCCCATACCATTTAGTTCACAATTGTTTTTTTTTAGTAATAATTGTAAAAAAAAGAAATGTTAACATCAAAAAATGTTTGAAAGAAAAAAAATGGTACGCCCACACTAGGGATCAAACCCTTGCCCGCTGTATGTGAAACGGACGTCTTTCCACTGAGCTACTGAAGGAAGTCTTTCGTTCGTAGTAATGCAGCTGGTCGACTTGCCGATTTCCCTCCAGTGCATGCACTCCCGGCTTACAGTCGGGCGGAACCCCGCATTGGCCACATTCGCACCTATAAAAAAAAAAAAAAACCGTACGCATGTGTATTCAATTTGGGAGTACACACTTCGTGCTTGACGTTTGAGCGAGTGATGCCTTCAGCCATGAGAAGTGACGACGGCTCGGTGACGTCTTCGTGCAATCGGCTCACTGGTCGGGCGTGTCGTAGGGGATGAATATCAATTCTTTTGATCGGTCCAAAATTTCTTTTTCGAAGGAAGACAGAATTTGCCGGTACCGTGAACGACAGTTCTGAAGTAGAGGTCCCACGCCCGTCGTCCGCTGCCACCCTCGAGTCCCACAGAATGCAAAACGACGCTTGAGAATTATGCAGTGAACGCACAGAATGCTTCCAGTTGTCTGTGCAACCTTCTTTTTCAATCAACGTATTTGCAGCTTTTTGGGAGCCACAAAAAATGGTTTTTATTTTTTTTTTTCATTTTTAGTATTGACTGTGTGCCTTCAATGACCAACGACTTTGATTAAATTTGATGGTCGTGTCTAAACCTTAGAAAACGGCCCGTGACGACGGAATAGAGAGTGAGCGCGACTCAAACTGGCCAATTCTCGATCGGCGGTTTTCGGGCAAAAAGAAACCGAATTTCGAGCCACAAATTTTGTTCTGGGTAGTTGGGCTCTCATATGTCACGTACAACTAAAAACCTTGGCGATCATAAATACCCTGTCAGTGTCCCTTTAAGGCCCTTGCCTTAGGTCGGACGCCATAGCCACTGAACTATACTAGCACAGCTGGTATGGACGGGTCGATGGTTTTATTCGAATGCAAAGGTGCCAGCGACAACAGCAGGCTCTGGATAAAAATAATTAGTTAACTAATTGAATAGAAAAATTAAGTAACTTAAAAAAATGAACAAAAAAATTAATGGAAAAAAATAGAAAGAGAGATAAATGAAGGTATAGATGATAATAAAGATAGAAAAATCTTGCACAGAGGACACACAGAGTGTGATTTTGTGTGGGACACATTATATGCTTCTTCCATGATCAAGCCTGTATAATTTTTTGGGACGGAATTGGAAGATGTCACATTCAAATGAAAGTTTGGAATCTCTTTCGCTGAGGCACATCGCCTTTCCAAATATTGTCCCCAGCAGTAGTGACATACTTTCGCCACCAACGAACTAGTCTTCGCGTGCCATCGTAGAAGAATGAGGATGCCTGTTGACGACACCGGCGCCACACTGGAGGAGCTGCAGTTCCGAGATGTTTTGGCCCCGCTTACCATGCAGACCGCACCTCGCGCCATTGGACTTCTGGCAGCTTCCCAACAACGAAGGATAATCCGAAAGCTACGCAGTTCGCGTCCGACGAAGAGGTCACCAATGCAGTGCGCCTTCGGTGTCTCCGACAGCCACCCTCTTTTTCTACGACGGCACGCAGAGGCTAGTGTACCAGTGGCGGAAGTGCATCTCCGCTGGCGGGGACTGAAATCGAAAAGAGATGTGCTCTTGGGAAAGAGGAAATTCCAAACTTTCATTTTAGTGTAACATCTTTCAATTTCGTCGTCGAATAAAAAAGTTACAGCCGAGAAGGCAAAACCTATGCCGAGCGCAAGTTCGTCTGCTTCCTGCAGGGGTAAGTCAGAACGCCGAGCTCTGAGTAGCTCTGATAGAGGGATAGTGGGTAGACCTCAGTGCTAGCTGCTTTGAAATCTACCCAATATTCTTCTGATCGGAGCCAATCAGAGGGTGTTCTGACATACCCACAACCCCTGCTCAAGAAGCAGACGAACTTCCGCTCCGCATCGAACACTCCTCATACTTTTCTTTCACCGCATGCAGCGTGGGTGTCACGAAAGAGGAGCCGTTCCTCACGGAGGCTGGGCAGGAAGCGGCGGAAGCGATGCAACAGTTCTGCTTGCAGCTGTCCTCGATCGTGCTGGGCAGCGAAACGGACTCTGCTGTCGTGGACCAGACTCTCCTCGTCCAACACATCGTGCAGCTTCTTGCCGGAATCCCGTCGGACTACTTTCCGTACGACGCGGTGAGGAGCGGTGTCATAATCTACCTAGGCACAAGTTAACTGCAAGTTGGTAATTAGTGTTTTTCGGTATTATTTTTGTCTGCGAATGCCCTTTTGTAGCAGACAAACTCCACTCTTCTCTCGCATTATCAGACAAACCATCTGCTAACTCTCGGCGTGTGAGGCACATTAGATCTCATTCTCGCGGTGACCCAAATCGAACCTCAGAGGCGGTTTACCGGTGAAAGCAGGTATCTCTCCTGGTGGCAAAAATAACCGCGAGAGAAATTTTGAGGTCAGGTGACCGTCTTTGTGGAGACAAAAGCTTAAAAAACCGTCCTCGAGGTTGTCCTAGAGGTCGTCCGAGAGGTCGTCCTAGAAGCCGTCCTCGAGGTTCCTAGAAGGCATCGCCAGTGCACGTGTTGCAACTGATATCGGCGTCGCAAAAAGGCCCCCTCTGCGACAAATGTGCATCTAGTGCGCATTTGTTATGGAGTCGGATTTTTTTAGCGTGCAAAATAACCATGTTTGGTTTGATGTTTTGGATAAAGGGGCTAAAAACTACAAAACCTCTTTTCATAGATCTATTAAAATGACTCCAATTAAAGCCTCGTTTAAAAAGAATGAAGAGGTCGTCAGGAGGACTTTGTGTCCACCGGCACGTAATAAAAAGCGGAAATTCAAAGTTGGTGATACTATGAGGTCACGAAAATATAAAGGGGTTTTTGAAAAGGGTTACAAACAGAATTATATGTCTGAAGTGTTCAAAATCAAACAAATCCTCAGTGATGGCATTTCATATTAAAATGTAGTTGACATGAAAGAAGAGCATATACTGGGGACGATTTGTGAACAGGACGTGGTGAAATACGTTCCTACAGGGTGATTTTTGTATATTGTTGTCATGTTATTTCTTGAAGGTCATTTTTCAAGGTTGGGGGAATGGGGGAGGGTCCAGAACTCTTATTTTCTATACTACTTATATGAAATGAATTATGTTTGCGTATTCAAGAGTGGTTACGTAAATTCATTTCTGGCAAATGTTGCAATAAGTGCAAATTAAAGAAAACGACAGGCAAGCCGTATGTGTACCGTGCAGAATTGGCTGAAACTCTAGGTACTCTCCCCCCCCCCCCCCCCCGCAACGGAACTGGGCATGTGAGTGCCTCTTGCAGCTATTTTAATCACCGGTAGAGATACCCACTTTTAGCAGCAAACTGGCCCTGGTGTGTTTAGTGAGACCAGTCCCATGTCATGCAGTTTGTCGGCCGCTTTGTCGTCAAGAAGGGGATCCGACTGAGCGGCATGTCGTCCGAAGCCCTGGCTCCCATGATGTCCGAGTTTGCGAGCTGCGGTGCGAAAGTGCGCTTTCTGGACACCATTTCAAGCCCTCCGTCGGAACCCGGCGATGTTCAGCGCTGTGAGTGGCGTCGTCCCTCGTTTCCCTTTTGTGCAAGCGAAGAGATGGTGTGGTGCACGTTTTTGCGGTTCTTCAGCACTTAATTCATCTACAGGCATGTGCTCCTGTTCAACTTCTTTAGTTATTACAGGTGCGAGCACCTATACCTTACTAGAGGCCCATAAACATATTTACATCTGAGCACGCCTTACTGTGGAACAGCGTCCCTGAAGCAATAAGTGGATTGCTCAGTGTGCGAAGCGTACAGTGCGCCACAGCACGAGACAAGGGAGTAGAAGCAAGCTTAACTTTACAATGCGGTGCACAGCTGTAGGACAAGCGGAGGTCACGTGCTTGCCCGGGACCGGTGGGGAGTCGGGGACACAGGAGCAGGTTATTCTAAGGTTGCGACGGTGGAGCCGTACAGAAGTCGGAGAAGCCAGCGGGATTGCCCCAAGACTGTCGTCGGGCGCCACCATATTTGCCATGGACTTCACTTGCTGCTGGCGAGCCGCATGCTACGATAGCGCATTCTTATTGGCTCTTGACTGCAGTTGATTGCGCGTCAACTCAGCCGTGTGTGCAAGCTCGACACAAATGCTCTTCGCAGCACTCCGTGTCCTCCTGCTGCACATGAATGCACCACCACGCTAATGCGTAAATGTGTGTATGGGCCTTAGCACCCTTTCCCTTCCCGTCACGTAGGCATGCACTCAACAGGAACTGCCACTGGCTTATGCTTTCTCAGCTTCGCAGGGTACTGAACAAAACGCATAAAAACTGCACTCATTCTCACACGGAGAAAAATTCGAGTTGCGCACATAACTAATTTGTACACTGCTCAAGGTCATTCCTGCAGGATTCGGTTGCTACAGAAAAGGACAATGCTTCTTGCGTCTGAAACATGTGCGCTTTGGTGAAATAACGAATAACAAGCATCTTAATTTGTCACATAGGGATGCAAATTCATTAACTCTGCTAGAAACCACTTTTCTTTTTTTAATTACGGCTCTTGAAGCGAAAGTGACAGTAGGCTCTTCACATCTTCAAAGAAATTTGAGTTTTTATTTCTACATTTTTTTTTTCTTTTTATGAAGGTTGGCACTCAAAGAAAACCAAGTTCTTGACTTATGTGGACAACTGAGTGAATGAGACAATATTCCGAGTTAGGAGCACTCTAGTGGAGTATGTACTTTCCCGTAGTAGTAGTCCAGGCTACCTTTTTGTTACCTTTTTGTTACCTTTTTGGTTACCTTTTTGACCAATGTCGTCTGGTTCTCGGCGGTCGGCAGGCCTCACTTTGGCCGCTTTCCGGGAGGGCCTCAGGCGTTACCTGCACCACTACCGGGGTGCCCTCCTGCCCATGACGGAGCACCTGGATTCCCTGACGGTGATGCAGCTTCACCACCTCACCAATGGCCTTAGGGACCAGATTGAGTGAGTGAGATTGTCTCGGTGGGGTGGATCCTTCTGATGGCTTCCTTTAACACCGAATATATTTTAGGGCTGGTTTTCATAACTAAAACGTCACAAATCTTTTTTTAAAGATCGGTAAGTAGGCTTGCGATAATTCAAACCAGGATATTCCATACATCTGGTTAATTCAAACAAATTTCGAAATTTTGGTTGTCCCGCTATGTGTCTAACGTATTCGTAAGACGCTTAAATTTGAACGGCGTTTTCGTGCAATAGACCTATCTCTAAATTATCCAAGCATCAAGGAGAACGCAGGGATTGGTATTCCACGCGCCGCACGTACTGGAGTCAGCAGTCAGTATTAACTTATCTAAAGAAAATACCTAAAACAAATGGCATCTTGCACGCGCGTTCGTCAGCGCTTTGTTTTGGTTATTTACTTCGAATCTTTTATACGAAGGAGGTGTGCACATGTGGCGCGTGGAACACCGATCCCTGCATTTTCCTTGATGCTTGGGTAACATAGCAATAGGTCTATTCATGCTTTTTGTTCCTGCGGCCCCGTTAAGTGCACTTCCTTCCGAGCATTGATGCACTGCAGAGAAGCAACACCCGCAGAGCCTGCTTTCGTGGGTGTTACTTCTCTGCAGTGCACCAGTACTCAGTGAAAAACGCATTCAATGGGGCTCGAACAAAGCACATATGAGCCATGAAAACAAGCACCAAGCGGAAATTTCCACAGCAACTTGCGCGGTTGTTGTGATGTGGTGGCATGGCGTAGGACCACGACACAGCATCCACGCAAGTTGTTACGAAAACTGCTGCGTGGTGTCCATTTTACAGCGTCTGTTAAGGGCTGGTTTCCCTAGGATAGTGTTTGGTTTTAAACAAATGTCGACCCCCGTGGCCGACACAACACTCTGGTTGCCGCCGTTGCTCATAGATGGCGTGTTGTGTTTGCCGGTTGTCTGCTTGCTGGTGTCGCTCATTGATCGTGGCAACATTTTTTCGGAGGAAGAAGAGCGGGAATGAGCAACAGCGCGAATGGTTTCGCAATTGCCGCGAGGCTGCTGTTGCCTGGAGTTACACTGCTTCGAGCGCTTCAGATTCCCTTGCGAAAGAAGAGCAGATCGCTCGCCTGGAAAGCCACTGCCGAGAACAGAAGCTACAACTCCGCTGCTCTTCCTTCTTCACCAGAGTGGAAAGGCCAAACGTTCTTTATTGCTCATGTGCCCCCTGTTTTACAGTTCACATTAGACAACTTCCTGGCCTGATGAACAAACTTAATTTTGCTTTGAGTTGTCATGTGCTGTATAAACAGTCCAGGATAAACAACATTTTTTAGGGATAAATGTGTGGCATACCTTCTTATGATCAGTAGGCCTGTGTAGTGGAAATCCTCAGATATCTGTTTTGTATATGTAGCCATTCATATGGCAAATCATAATTTTAACTTGCATCATTGTTTAGATAAATTTTTAATAATTCAAACAAAATTCGCGGCTTCCTGGAGTTTGAATTAATGAGAGTCTACTGTGGGTTGTACCAGGGATGCAGCCACACTGTGGCATGTGAGACGTCTTGTGCATGTTGTAGAGGGTATATGGGCACTAGGATACAGAAATTATATAACCAAATACACAACTTACATTTATTCATGCATTACAAAGCTTACATGCTTAACTTATGTTACAGCTAGTGCAGGTCTTACGGTCTAATCGTGCAACCGTGCTTGCTTCTTATTCGCTTCCTATGGAGATGGACACGTCAAGCCGTGGTCAAAGGGAGTGGGCGAGGATTGGCCTTCCTCTGTCTTGCCATAGACTCTTCACGCCATTTCTGAACCCTATGTGTCGAACACAGGGGTGCCATAGCCGAGCAACCGTAAAATTTCTGCAACAAACTACACACTCGTAAGCCTTATAACTCCCGATGAGCACCAGTTTGAGTTCGATGGATTATGCCTACTATGGCAAAGTGAGCTCTTTCGAACGTGACCACTCTCTCTTGGGTCGACAAACATACTGCCGAGCTATGCCTCTGTGAGCGCCGCGCACGAGGCTAAATTTAGCTCCGACCGCGTCGTGCATGGTGTGACAATGGCACCATATGCGCACGAGACACATGCGTGAACAAGCAATGGCTTTTTTCCTCTACGCAACAATACTGAAGTTAGGCACGCAGGTAGTACGGTGGCAAAGATATAAACGACATTAGTGTTACATGTTTCCGTTACATGCAGCTTTAGCAAGCGACCTCTTAAAGGGGAACTCCGCTTCATTTTTGATATTTAGAAATTATGTAGCCCTCTTCAGTATCATATAGGAAGATCCCATGTCAAATATTACGATCTAATTCCGTTTATATATTTAATAAACTGGCCAGCAAACCTTCAAGCGAGCCAAGTCGCTGAAATCTGCCAACTCTAGCGTGCGGCGCGAGGCGCAATCATCAGCGTAGTCAGTGCCACGGAGTTGGAGCGGCTAGGGTGGCCAACGTTGAACCACTACGTCAGAGGCATGACTACATCATTCTCATGTTTTGCTTGTTTTTACTTCTCAGAACAAAATTGAACGATGACGTCATGAGTTTCTCCTCCCGGTGTTGGCTGACTGGGTGTTCACGTGATCACCGTAACACAGATGCGCTAGTTTGCGCTGCCCTGCACGCTTATCGGTCTGTTTCTCCGCTCCCGTTCTTCTCTTTCGTCTTCTCCCCTTCCCCCTCTCCCCTGGGCCATCACCGTCCACGCCATGCGAAGCAACCTGCCCGCGTCCAATAAAAAAAAATAAAAAATAAAAAAAAAGACCTGCCTGCATTGCGTGTCCTGTTTCTTGCTCCCTTCCGAACGTCACAAGACCACGTGGTTTGACGTGACGTGGAGTTGAGCGGAGTTGCCCTTTAATGACCAAAATGAGACTTTTCACGTCAATATAATAACATGGCCAGTTGTCTTTACAAAGGACTGTGTCTCCCAACGAGAACCAAACCACTGACCCCAGACTCGGTGATCCGATACCCTATCTTTTCTGCTGGCAGAGGGCAGCTTTGGTTGGCATGGTTGTATTTGGTACAAACAAATTGGTGTTGTTGCAAAAGCTTTGTCTTTTCAATGGTGGAAGGAGCTCGCAACACTACCCATTTTGTGTTTTCCGACTCCATCTGTCGAATTAAGATACGTTTAGATTTCTTTCCGACGTCTTGCCGATTACCGCGTACAAACATGGTTCACTTTTTGTTCTATGGAAATGAGCAGTGGCTATTTAGTAGTACATTGTTAATGCAAACATATCATTGGCGCTTTTTTGTATTTTACTTTAAAAAGTTACTGGCAAGCACCAAATTTCAACGCCTTGATTTGTGCTCTAAACAAACACTTTTCCCACACTTTTAATTAAAAATGGCACTTGTTTGCATTAACTGATTCGTGCTATGTAGATATAGCTTTAGATATGTAGATATATAGATATGTAGATATAGCTTTAGAGATGTAGATATAGCTTTAGATATGTAGATATAGCTTTAGAGATGTAGATATAGCTTAGAAGCGAAAGACACCTATGTGTGAGGTGTTACTCTTGCTTGCTGTAGTAGCATCAGGTCCCTTGTTAGCACACTAGACTTTGGTTTCTTCCTTTGGTCCCATCCTGCTGTGAACTGATCATGTGAATCATAGGAGGTTTTGAATATATGTTAGCTGTATACGTTGCTTGTTGTGTGGTTCATAGCAACCCGTGAACAATCTCGTGCTTCACGAAAACCAATTCTATTCTCGGTAGTACGTCGTGCTTTCTTACCAGCTGAATATTTGTTTGTTAAAGCTGAGCTGCGTTGCTTCTCTGCTTCTAGGGGAGTGCTTAGTGTTTCTTGTTTTCTTCAGTTCTAAAGTTTTGAGGTCGGATATGTTGTTGGGGTGCACTTCTTGTACTACTGCCATTTTCTCGAGATGTGGAGATGTATGTGTTCAATCAACTCTTCCCCGTGCTTGGCCACATACTTTACGCAGATTGGTTGTCGATGGCAACCGTATGCCGAAATTACATTACACGGGTCTAATCAATACTTTTTCTTCTTTGTGTAGATTTCTGGCCAATTTCTGTGTAATGGAGGTACAGATGAGCGGAAGCGGACAGGAGGTGAGTCTTGGAAATTCGCTTTGGGGACAAATAGGTATTGGATCGTTCTTCTGCCTGGGTTAATCGTTTGTGTTGTGCTTATTTGGCATTTCAGAACCCGAATTTCTGCTCGATGAAAATACTTTGATCAAAGTACAAGGGGTTTGAGATATACTAGCAGTGTACTGTATTTACTCGCATAATGAACACTTTTCCCCCAAAAAATTGACATATATCTGTGGAGTGCGTTCATTAGGCGGGGTAAAACTTTTGCATTTACACATTTTGTGCAAATGTCATTTTAGGTGCCAATATGACACGGCAGAGCATGTCTCCACTGACAAAGGCGCACCCACGGCTGGGCTGGTCGTAGGCGCACCACAGTAACCATGCTCTATAAGTTGCGAACCTTTTCTAGGGCGCTTTTGGCGCGCCTTTTGCCTAAGGGAAAACGCCCTACGAAGCTCACTCAGCACGGAGAGCGATGCGACGATTCTTAGCTTTAACCACTTTCACGATTTCACTGTCCGAAAGCGGACCACAGATGACGGCGTGTTTATTGACATGAATGCATTCGATGGGTGAAGCATGTGTGGGGTTGGGCAATTCCTCGACCCCAGCTTCGTTAGGGGTGTGCGCCGCTGGGTTTAACTGTTGATCACTTCCGCAACCACGCACTTGCAGCTATTACGAGAGTGTGTATTGCTATGCTTGGCTTGGCTTGACTTGGCCTGGCCTGGCCTGGCTGCTTGGTGGCAAGAGCAAATTGGCTTGGCGGCTTGCTGAGTTGGATGCAGTTTGAGACTCGTGGAGCCGAAAATTAGAGGTGCGTTCATTATACGAGAGAAAAAAAAAAGTAAAAATATTGGTGCCCGTTGTGGGGGGCGCATTCATTATGCGAGTGCATTCATTATGCGAGTAACTATAGTAGTAAGGTTGTCGTTTCTGAAAAACAAACTTTACTCTAGAAAAACATTTTTATAGGTGAGTGTAATCTGTTTAGGAAGTTTTTAATGGAATTTCTTCTAACAACTGTGGAGCCCTATAGTATACAGCTTTAGCAGGGGTGGTGGTGATATTTCGCTTGATTGTTCGTTACATTGATGCTGACTGTTTTCCGACGCAGGGCATGAGGCTGCTGGGTCGTCTGCAACGCAAGGCGGAGGAGGTTCGGGGACTGCAAGGGTATATTGTGATGGTCTTCCTCCTTCAGCATGCCTGCAGGCCTTACCTGGGGTATGTGTCAATGCGCCATTTAAGCAGTGCTCTTCAAAACTACTTTAGTGACTCTGTGCATGACATGAATGATAATATTAAGTTCCAGTTAAATCATTAAACTGCATGCATCAGTCTCATTTCTTGGAATAAAATGTGTGGCAAAGATGGTGCTTTTTAGAGTTTCAGGATGCAGAAAACTATAAATTGGAAGCCCTACTTTTCTGCGGGGGTGGGGGGGGTATGGGGGGGCTAGTTCAATATTATCAGGGTGGAGAAATGCTCCTCGAGAACTGCAGTAAAATTTGTTTTGGCAAAACCATGGTAGTAATGAGAAATGCAAGACCAATGTTCCCATTATTTCCTGGTTTTGTCGAAATCGATGCCTACCTAGGTAGCCCACAATGGTAGTCTTAGTAGGGGATATTTTAACTTAGCACAAGACTAACAAGCACTATAGGGAAAGCCTCAACAATAGTATATTTTTATTGAAAAGGTGTAAACAAATATGCACAGACTTACCGCCACATTTGACTCTCGACTGCCTCCATGTCGTAGAGATTCTGCTTTGGCCTCTGGAGTGCAAAGAGCAGGGCTCAAGCTTATCTGTGGTCCCTTTCCCAGGGCGTCTTTGGGGCATCGTCACAGCCTTGATTGCTTTGCAGCATAAACCTCCAATATTTACTTCTTTTTGAGGGCAACTGTGTTTTATAGGCCAATTTTATATTAAAAAAAACATTATGAAGTCTCGTCACGAGGTCTCAGTACTATATCCCATCACGAAGACCTGTCACAAAGGACTGCAACATGACGGTGATATCATGACATTACGTGACACCATGTCGTTGTACGACAACACAGCCTTGTGACATCGTAACATCACGTGACTGTAACGTCGGTGGCACACGACATCATAATGTGCGATATGACATCACACAACGTCCTGACGTCACGTGATATGACGTCGCATAACGTCATAGCGTCATGTGATATGATGTCACGTGACATGATGACATCACTTGGCTTCATGAAGTCATGTGACTGCAATGTTGCGTGATGTCATATCATGTGACCTTAAGTTATGTCATGAAGTCATGGCATGCCACAGTCATGTGACATCACATGCACGTAGCATGTGCCCAGCTCAATCACAGTGCAGCTCGGTATTAATGCGAAAGCATTATATGCCCCATTATGAGAAAATCGGACGGCGGCGGCGGCGTGACTGAGCGATGGTGCCAAAAATGGGCGACGTGCAAAGAGTAAAAACACGTAGGAAATGCTTGGGTTGACATAAAATTTTTCGGAGAGGTTCCTGTAAAGAAAGTAAAGGAAGGTAAGGGTTTTGAAGAAACGTTCAGCATTTCCACTCTCGTGAAGAAGGAAGACCAGCGGAGCTGTACTCGATACACTGTGTGCTTCTTCTTCGTCGTTGTCTGTTTTTCGCGCTGTTTCCTAGGATGAATTCCCATCAACGCGCCCAACTATCCATTCTTCTATTATAGCTGGAAAAGTTGGCGCCATCTACGAGCGACGGTGGAAACCATACTGGTTGTGTGCTTGCCGCCGTCGCTTATAGATGGCGGTCGCTTTCCAGGTAGGTTTGTGTCGACATACACGGGTACGATCTTGGGGAACCTAGCCCTTAACAGCTCCGCTGTAAAAAACAATTTGGTACATTTCGGTCTGGATGGGAATTGAACCCTAGCCTCCGGGTTGCAAGACGAGCTCGCTTTCCCGACGCCGTGGTGGCTCCACGGTTCTGGCTGACTAAAGGTGTGCCTACCTAATGCTTGCATCATTGCACACGTCACGTTGCAGCCATCTGGCTACCTAAAGGTGTGGCTTGGTGCATGCGTCATCTGGCACGTGACAGCACAGCCAATGGGGAGGAGGTGGCGCCACGTCATGAGTGTGTAAAATGAGCGTGCTGTCTCAAAGGGACTGTAAAGGCCCGTTCACACTCTTGCAGCCGAGTACGACCGAGAGAGACAAGACCTGTTGAAACCTTTTAAAATTTCTTAGGACGAGAGAACGCACTGGCACGCTAGCGCCATCTTTGCGGTGACCCTGGAACTGCATTTCACAAGAGCGAAGGTTTTGCGGGATATCTGAGGTCAAATGTGCGTAATACCCATAAGAAAGGCTCATTTATAACATTGACAAAAGTTTTTTGAGCCAAGAAAGAAAGGATAATGCGCGAGAGAAATAGAAAATATGCTGGACCACCAAGTTTACAATGCTACCCAATAGATGGCGCCAGTGTGTCCTCTCGTAAGAGATATTAAAAGGTTTCAAGGCACCCAATTCTATGAGGTCGCAAGAGTGTGAACAGGCCTTAATGCTTTTGCATTCCCACATATAAGCAGTGTAAGGTGTCTCTGCCGAATTTCGATTTGTCAGCACGATCGAGCTAGCGTAATTTTTATGCTGTTTGACTCGGTGTCTTGCATCACGGTACCCCCTTTAGTTCACACCTAGCTACGCACTCATTCCGACGGTGTTTTTTCTCAGGTTCTTGCAAGACTGGCTGTTTAACGGAATATGCAACGACCAATACGGCGAGTTTCCCATTCAGCTGAACGAAGAGTCTGCAGCACTCAGAGGTGACTATTGTCATTTTTGTATTGTGTTTTCCGAAGGGCCTCTTACAATGCATTAATACTCACCTAGATTTGTGCAGGAACCTTACCAACTAAGGGCCGACAATCGAGGAAAAATTTTGCCGACTTGAAACCTTGTTAAAATGGAAGCTTGTGTATGTTGGTAAGGCATGACGATTAAAACTTACAGCACACAAAGATAAGACAGAATAAAGAGGACACACAGTCACTAAACTTACAACTGAAGTTTTATTGTCAAGGCGCAACCTTACATTTGACGACTACAGTAACCTAGAAAACATGCCCCTATTGCTGTCGTCATGGTGCAAGAAATTGTAACTCTTTACCAGATCCCATAAAAAGGATGGGGCGCTTACGCAGTCTTCCTTTAGGTGTGCAATGTCTTCACTTCGATACGTAATTTCTTTGGTCAGGGCATCGCCGTTTCTTCCAATGACTGAGCATATTCCGAAATTGGCAGCACACCCACAATCGTGACAGTGAATACTGAAGTGCCCCGATACAACCCTGTTTACATTGTATTAGTGTTCCCTTAATCCAGTGGTTCTCAACCATTGAAATTTTGCGGACCCCTTGCGGATCGGCGCAGGTGATGGAGGACCCCGTTCGTGGTGAGGGGAAGGGAAAGTTATAGGTTAATTATGATAGTGATTTAATATATGGTTATAACTAAGGGCTAGTCTGAAGCAGACTTCTCTCTCTTATTGACATATACACGAGAAAACTCGCTCGAAAATTGGAGCGTTTCTTCTCAATCTGAGATAAGACAACTTTTATTGCCAGGCTTGACTGATGAGGCTGGGCTTCGCGGTCCCCCTTTTGAGAACCAGTGCCTTAATCTATCGTTCAGGCATCTGCCAGCTTGTTCTGTGCATTGAGTAAACCGATTTTGATGCTTCTTAGTACAGCCCAGAGAACCCCAGCTGTTTGATTAACATTTCTACAAAGCTTAGACAACTTGTTAGGGGCAGGGAAGATGACAGTGTCTCTTCCTTCTTTTCTTCGAGCCACAAGAAATTCTATGCAAATACGGAACCCCAGGAACTTTATTTCTTTTTTCTTTTCGGAATCTCCACTATATTTACACCGCCTTTTATTTTAATTTTCTTCAATAAAGTGCCTGAAACCGGGGTCAGAAGATGTTTCGGATACACCGCCCTCCGAAGTCGGGACATTTGAGCATCAAAGCTGGCCTGTGCTAAATGGGAACAGGACTTCTTTAATTAAGGCATTCGTGAAGAGCAAATTTCTGATGCCCCTTTTTACTAATTTGCAATGGCAAAGTAGTAAGCTAAAAGCGGTTTTAGTTTACGGGGTTCATACGACCAACAGACGCGTGTTCTGAAAAGTGAAGATGGAGGTTGAGGCAACGTATGGGCCCATTTGCAGCCAGCTCGTGCGTCAAGAATAGTGGAGCCAGGGAGTTACCAAATACAGACAAGCATTTGACATCGAGCGGTTGGCGAGGTGGTTGGTACAATCTAAAATCACAAGAAAGTTGTCAATATACCTAAAGACTTCAACCACTTTTGAACCAACTAAAAGGCTGAAAAGGTCTTTGTTGTGATGTGCAAGGTGTATGTCGCCCAGAATGGGTGTAACGCAAGACCCTCTGCAAACTCCCTTCCTTTCTACAAAGGTGCTCTGTTCCCATGTGGCAAAAGTCAATTTAAGATAAAAGGAGAGTAACTCGAGAAAACCACCGACTGAGAGGTGAAACCACCGACTGAGAGGAGAAAACCACATTCTGGGAGGTGATTGACCCAAAACTTTTTATGCCCGCCTTGACACTGTACAGAAATTTCCCATGGGGTGACAAATAAAACAAATCTTTGATATCCATGGAGCAGGCATTGAGTGAAGTTTTAAGGAGAAAGCATTATCGAACCCATGGAGCGGAGCCGGCGGCGTCTGTAACCGCAAAGAAATGCTAATTTTCCCATTGGCTGAGCAAAATGGCTCCTTAGATAGCCATTGGCGGCTGCTTCACGAAAGCACGCGCGCTCAGCCGCCTCTATATCATCGGCGGCCACAACCTCAGCAGTAGCGAAACATGGCCGTCCACGCCAGTACACTGCAGACGAACTAAGGGAGCAGAAGAACGACATTCGGGCGTTCGCATTCACAACTCGTAAGATGTGCTTAGGTGTTCTCGCAATTTTTTTTCTTTGTAATATCCCTTCGAAAACAGAACTCGACCACTAAAAATAGTTTATGAGGGAAAAAAAGAAACGACCGTGAAGAACTTGAGGGGTGACACCACCTTCAAGTGTCGACTTTTAAGCCAGTCGCTCAATATTGATGACATTTTGAGGGTCTATTCATCTGGTTGCCTTAATGCACTCTATAACAATAAATCTCCGTAGGACAATTTTCCGGTAAGCTACAGGGGGAGCTACACAGCTATTGATGTAAGTCGCCTCCCTTGGCAAGGAAATCTATCATATAAAATTCCTGCAGAATATTGAGCATTTCTAAGCTTCACCCTTAACTAGAACATATGTCGGGTGCAGCTATCTATTTTTTACCTTAAAATTTGTCATTTTTAATTCAAAATGTCAGTTTGAAAAGCATTCCACATAATGGGGCAATTTCTCCTCATCAAAACTTTACGTTTTTGCAATAAGAACTTCATTTAAATAGAAAAATCAATATCTACCCACATTCCTCATTAAATTTCAGTTCAGAGACATCTACAGCAAAGAACACATTCACTAATTCATTGAAATATAAATGACCGCATCTCCACGTGGTGAATAATGTTGATTGGGGCGAAGCTCTGTTGGTGCTGATACGCTGAGCCGCAGCATCCCGAGCTTTTCATTCATTTTCGTCCATGTCAGACCATCATGTGTGGTATGGAACGTGGTTATATACGCATTTGAGCATTTGACCGCAGCGCCCTCTCGTCTATAAACGTTGAGCCAATGCATGCAAAGTTTAACGCGATTATATACGCATTTGACCGCAGCACCCTCTCCTGTATAGACGTTGACCGGCTACGTGCAACGTTTCATCCATGACATCCCCAGCTCTTGAGTTACTACCACATCTCAAAGCCCCCTCCTCGTCCCGCAGCCGTGGCCGAGTGGTTAAGGCGATGAACTAGAAATCCATTGGGGTCTCCCCCCATAAGTTTGAATCCTGTCGACTGCGCAAACATTTTTTTCTTTTTTTAAGAAGACAGATGGGATGGCAGTCGATGTGAGCACAAACGCCGGACAAGGCTAGACCCTAAAGAGCTTCGCCCCTAATAGATTTCCTAAAACGAAAGTTTCTGCAAAAAAGTGAAACTGAGAAAAACCTGTTTGAAGTTTCTACATTACTACATTTGATATTACTGGTGGTGGTGGCAACTAAAAGGCACTAAGAGCATAGGTGGTGCCTTCTGCTTACGCCCAATCTCCTGCATGGCTTTGCTGAGTGAGTCCGAGCTTAAGACGCTTTCTTCGAGTGTCATTTTGTTGTCAGCATGTGGACATTGATTGTGAAATGAGTGAGGAATTCGGTTTGCTTGCAATACACAACCCAACATCAGCAAGAATGGGCGGGGCAAGCGTCATTGAAATACAAAGCAGACAAACCCACGTGACTTTCTATAAACAAATGCTGGTTTTAGTCAGTTTCGTGTTCAATCAAGGCGGGCTTTTCGATTCACGGCCATATGCATAGCCTCTTCTACGTGAGAGCTGGACTTCTATGGTGTTCTTGCCCGAATAGAACTTACTCTCGATTAAAAGAAACTGTGACGAAATGCTCTTTCCAACAGGAGTATGGTCATCACTCTAGGGCGTACCGGTGCAAAATAGCCGGTCGTTTGTGGTGCCGAGCTCCAACACATGCGTCCATAACTCTGTTACCGGTTATGTTCGATGTTACACCGGATCCTCGTTGTGCGACCGATGGCAATGTTGGCTGCTTGAATGGTGTTCTTGGCAACTGACTGGCAGCATGGCGGGAAGAAATTTGCCCACTTCAAGTAAATTCTATGTGTGTTGAAATTCAAAAGATGTGTCGTCGTGTCCATCCCCGTGTCTATTCTTTTATAGCAACATGTAATATCACCAATGGGCTCATCTTCTAAACTTAGGACTCTGTGCTTGTTGCAATTTGTTTATTAGGAAGTCCTGGATTCTGCATTCTAAAGGCCCGCTCACACTCTTGCGACCTCTTAAACCTGGGTTCCTTAAAACTTCTTAAACCAGAAAACACACTGTCGCCACCTATTGGGAAGCGGTGTAAACTCGGCGGTCTGGCATATTTTTTTTTATTTCTCGCGCATTATCCTTTCTTTTTTAGCTCGAAAAACTTTTGTCAATGTTATAAACGAGCCTTTCTATGGGTATTACGCACTATTGACCTCGGAAATCCCGCGAAACCTTCGCTCTTGTGAAGTGCAGTTCCAGGGTCACCGCATAGATGGCGCCACAATGCCCAGTGTGTTCCCTCATTCTAAAAACATTTAAGAAGTTTTAAGAGATCTCGTCTCTCTCAGTCGTACTCGGTCGCAAGAGTGTGAACGGGCCTTAAATCTCTAAGTGTGGCTTTCCCCTTTACGGATTCTGTCATCACGGTGATGACGTGGAACTTCATGCAGATGCAGAGTTCTGGGAGAGCAGTTTTGCTCTCCGCTTTGGCGGCGACAGCGCCGAGGAGGTTCCATTCTTAGACGACTGCCTGGACGACGTCTTCAAGTGCGCCAAGGCGACCATGCTGCTCAAAGTCTGCAGGCCTCAGGTGATCCCAGCTCTCACCTCGCCTCCAGATGGAGCGCCTAACCCTTTTGAGGGCCGGGTTTTCCTCCCACATGCTAAAACGAAAATCTTGGTCTCAGTAACACTGTAGCATGCTCTGTGGTCAATATTTATTTATGAAAGACACTATTTTATGGGCAAGAAGGTAATTGATGAGCCTGCGACATATTTTTTGAATTGTACTTTTCTAGACACAGAACCATGTGGTGGCACCTCGACTTCGCACCCCGAGGTCGCTCTTTCGGGCTGTCTTTAGTTCTCGCCCTTTGTTTATTCAAAATTGTCACTTTTTTTTGTTTTCATATTTGTCATATACAGAGTTCATTGCTATGATTTCTAGATCTCTGCATTTGCCACGAAGCACAAAGTAGAACGGCGTAGATTCACCGTTCTGTAACAATGAAAGAGCATACCAAAACAGAAGTCGCCTAATCCAGGCACTTCGAAAGTATTTTTTGGCAGTTTAGTGTCTCTGGAATAGATTAAAAAAAGAAAAAAAACAAAAAAACATGCTTCTATTTTGGGTTGATGTGCCGAAATATCGGAGTCACTCCCAACTCAAAACATGTCTCACCGCAAAAATATGTCCTGCATGTGCTAAAAAAAAAAAAAATTTTTTTTAGGGACAGTGTGTTTTATGACATGTGTCACCTATCCAAGCAAAAAGAAAATAATCTTTAGGGAGTTCAACTTTACGTTTTCGTACTTTTTCATTGCAGACCCCGCTCTTTCGAAAAGGTATGGATCGTCCCACACTGAGGCTGGCTTTCACCGGGAGCAAACTGGCAGAGATCGAGGCCGCCTCCCAACGTTACCTTGAGGACACCGGGCGGGAACTGGAGCTCGGGGTGCTGCCGCGGCTGCGGCCGGGACATTTCCCCGACGTTGAAGGTGGGTCTTTAAAGCTTTCTTCCGCTCGTAGGCCACTGTGGTAATCCGGGTCTTCTGCTCTCGAGCGGCTATGGTAGTACCAACCAATCGATCCATGGTTGTCACCTGTACCATATTTTCCAAACTATGCAGATAGCAAGTCGTTTGTTTCTTGCTCAGAGGTTGCGGTGACGTCTGAACGACGGCGAGCTCTTATTGACTTTGATTGAAAGGATAGTGGGTAGACCTCAATACTAGATGCCTCGAGGTCTACCCACTACTTTTTTTTTTATTAGTCAAGAAGAGCTTGGCATTCTGACATCATCACAACCCCTGTGCTAGAAGCAGACAAACTTTCACAGACAAAACACGTTTAAGAGTTTAAATTTGATGTGGGACAGATTGCAGACAATACAAGTTTTTTTTATTCTTTTTATCGATTATTGCATTATGATGAGATGTTTCGAGAATGACAAAGTATGTTAATGGGTATTTTTGCATGATACAAGCTTTTTGTGAGCTAGAAAGCAGACATTAGTCAAGATGGGGTGCATATATTGGAATTTCTAGGCGCAGACTAGGCGCCGGTTGCGGTCTATCGACGGATACCTTTTTCAAAATTTACTTCTGCGGACTGTAGTCCGGAAAATACGGTACATTTTTATAAGGGGGCGACTTTGAGACCAGCAAAGCTGGAATCTTTGTACCGTATTCTAACGCCGCATGGCTCATTGTAAATATCGCAGAGAGCTTGAACGCCAAGACTTGCTTTTAGGATATATTGGCTTTAGCGAATCAAGCGGTCCGGTCGAGAAAAAAATTAAATAGCTACAGGTATTGGAAAATGTAGAGTCCCCCCCCCCAAAAAAAAAAGTACTTATGATGGCAGGATAGTGATTGAGCCAAACAACTTCTAATTTGAGTTCATGGAGAGAATGGGATGAGTATGCACACTTGCGTTCGCCTAGAACCGAATTCTTCGGATCTCTTACAACGAGAGGGCACGCTGGTGCCATCTTTGAAGTGACCCTGGAACTGCATTTCACTAGAGCAAAAGGTTTTGTGGTATTCGCGAGATCAGACGTGCATACTATCTATAAGAAATTTTTGTTTATAAAAGTAAGAAATCAAGGTTTTAAGGCTTATGGTAGTAAGCCTTAAAACCTTGCGACGGCTTAGGGTAGTAAGCCATCGCAAGAGTGCCAACCAGCCTTTAGTAGTTCATTTTTCTCCTTTTGCCCCTCAAGAAAAGAAAAGGAGACTGATTATAAAGTCCCACTCGCTCTATCTTGACTCAACATCCTTTGTCACACTTTTGCATGGTTAGGACTCTAAGTGGACGATGGAGTCGGTAAGCTCAGGCTTGGCCGCCATGAGCGCTCCTTTGTGAAGCGTTCTGTGCTAGCATTTGTGGAGCGCTCGTTTAAGTCAGATGCATTGCGCTTTCCAGTTCCAGAAGAATGGCCGAAGCCCTGGGAGAGCGGCGTTCGAGTTGAGGAAAAACTTCGGCTCTACTCCGTCCCGAGGCAAGTTGAGATTTTGGGTCCAGTGTGTAAGGCTCAGCTCTGTTAACCCCCTCTTTGTACCATCAAACACTGTGGTGCTTTGAGCACTGCAAGTGTTTGCTCATATGCAAATATGAATACTAGTATGTGAAGAAGGAAAGCCAGCTGGTGGAATTTATCATTGTTAACAAACTGTGAGCCAGTTTGTGATAACTGAATGAAGTGTTTCTAAAAGAAAACATGATGTTTTTCTTTTAGAAACATTTCACGTTTCCACACTGGATGATCATTCCACATTTCGAGTGTGCTATGCATGATCCTTACAATAAATATATCCTTTAAATTCCTCGCAGCCGTTTTCATTTCTTTCGCTTCATGCATGCGTGCTCATGCATAACTCAAAAAGTCCCGAAGCTGCAACAAGAGTTCTTTGGTGTGAACATGGTGCTGTCACTCTATTCTAATGAATGATCAGCGGTCACGTAGGATACATTTTCCTGTTAGCTTACAGGCATCATACTGCAATTTTGGACAAGCCTACCCTACTCTCCTGTTTAACCAATGCAACAGAATGTCCACTGTTGCAATGCTACATAAATCGCTAATTATTCTGTCACTAAGAATATGAAAGCTCATTTAATTCATCTTCGTTCGTCAAAAATGTACCAGTTTTCCCTTTAAAATTGCTTCATTTACCTGACATACTTGCATAGCCCTAACTATCCTAATTGTTGGAGTAACACCCTAATCGAGGATAGCCATTCTTTTTTTTCCTTTTCCTCAACAGGTCGCCTAGCTCAACCTTGAAGAAACACTCAATCTCACCATCGCAAGACACTTCTGCGCGGCCCTCCGAAGGCTCCGAGACTGCTCCGGATTTGATCTACTCCGTGATCACTGGAACGCACATGGCAGTGGGTGGAAGGTCGCACGGACGTCGGGTGGAAGAGTCGGAGCACGTCGAGCACGGACTTTACTGCAACGAAACCGGGACGTACATGAAGCCGGCACAGCGCAGCGCTCACGGACACGCGTCTCGTTCCCAACTCGGACAAATCCTCTATCCGGATTTGGATTTGGATAAAGGAGGGTGCACGGAACGAATGGTTCTGGAAGCTGGCGCGGGAGAACCGGTACCCAACTCCGGCTTTAAAGACGTCCTTGAGTCTTGTCGATCCGACGCCACGGCGGCGGAAGTTGAAACCTCTGAAGGGACGTGCTCCAGTACCGACCAGAATCGGAACGTTCATGACGCAGAAGACGACACCAGCAAAGCCGGCGAGAGGCTTGCAGAATCGATGCCGGATTTCCATACCGACGAGAGCGACGAGATAGTGTCAAGCATTTCGCAGACGTCGGCGAGAAAAGTCGGCAAAGCAGATGATGGGGGTGGTGCCAACGAAATTGGCGACGAATCAGACGACGACGCGTTTGACGACGAAGACGTGGAGAGCGATCAGGTCGAGGACGGTCGGGACGATGTTTCGTGTGGGCAGAAACCGCGAACGTCCTCGGGTCCTACCCAGGGACAAGGGGGAGGTGACATGGTGGGATGGGCGGAGGGTTGGAGGACTCCATACGTCGCGACGACATACCGCCGGGCATTCCCGGAATGTGGTAAGCTCAAATTTTTTTTTTTTTTCCCACTGGTAGTTTATAGAGACTTCCCAGTTGCACTCGTGGCTTCGGCATTGTGCCAGGCAAGAACTTTGGTACACACTCGCGCGACGCCAGGCAAACCTCGTGCTCTTAACTCTTGCCAGGCGGCAGTGTCCTCTACTTTTTTTGTGGTGGCAAGGGACGCTGCTACACATTCCTTGCCGTACAACTCAATTTGCACATACTATCGAATGTAAAGCAGCCCACCACTCGTAGTTGTAGTACCTGTCTCAATTCTTGACTCTTGAATGCAGTGCATTCCTTTTTGTACATGCTTCAGTGACCACAGGTCTGTGTTGTGCGAGATAGAATGGATATGCATAAAAATGGCCATTGCCACGTGCAATATCGTCTATTGCTGTCACTCTTTTTGCACGTCACAACGAAAAGATGCAGATTTTGTTTTTAATTTCTGTTTTCCTACTTATTAGAGATATGCACCAGTGTTTACCTCTTGCAAATTGCTCTTTCACGTCACAAATTTGCTACACCTTGTATGAGTTTTTGTCTGACTGAAGCAGTTTTCACTTCTGGTAAGATCGCAGTATTTTACACTTGTTTCTTTTTTGCCTGCTGTAGTAGTGGTGTGCCATAGAAAAAACTCTGTTGTGCGCTCAGACACTGTTTGTTTATAGTCTACGATATTGCGGGGATATCTAAGGCTGTCTCAGTATGTGCCCATCGATAATCTTCATACTTTTCTGAGTTATGTCTTTGTTTTGCTCATGAGCTTTCTCTTGCTATTTATATTGCTATGCACGCTTTTTGATTGTTGATCCAGCTGATTGGTCCTTTAATATCGCCTTTGTTAATGACCATCAACATTATCGGTAGCCATCTGGCTGATAGGTTTGCATTGGAAGAGACCACATAAGCAGAGTTTTTTGCTTATGTTTCCTTTTAGGCACTGGGTCTAGGTTACCTAGCACCCATAGCTTAATAGCAGGAAAACTATTCAGTAATGAATTGTATTTTACAGTGCAGGAGCCATTCCCCTCCAACCTGTTTCCCCTGGCTGATCACGAGCCAGACGAAGAATCTCTAGCCGACTGGAGCCAAGACAATGGGTTTGACCGGCTTCCCTTGGAGGTGGTGCTCAAGCGTTCTCTCCTGCCGCCACTGACTGCACAGTGAGTTAATATTTTAGCTATATATAAGAACCGATAGCAAGGCCATGGAAGAGTGCGGTTGCAACGAAGAGTAGCCATTGGTTTGACGTAATAGCGTGCGTGACCAATGTCATTGCACCGTGCAGAGTGTCCTAGGGGGTTGTCACCAGTGCACTAACATCCCTACCAGCACCCCCTTTCCTCCTCCGCTGCATAGGAACAGGGGCTATGTAGCAGGGTGGGAACTATATGTAGTTTTGTTACACCTTCATTGCATTTGACAACATGGCCATGCAATATCTTTTTCTTTTTTGCCATCAATCAGCAGTGTTTTTTTTTTGTAGACAGGCTTAAAAAGCAACAGCTCTGCAAAGGCTGTTCCCCGTAAACCTCACATTCTATATTTGGACGACCTTGCAGTAGCCGTTCTCAGAAAGCAACACTGTTGGGTTTGGGATGCCAAGAGTACCTCATGCAAAAAGTTTCAGGCCGAAATGTGGTTCATTGTTTTACGGTGTGGTTGCGGTGGGAGGAAGGGGGGGGGGGGGGGGTATTAGACCTTTAGCAGTCACAGTTGTAGACAAAGCTGCCAATTTCAAAACAGGGGTATCTTTATGTGGTTTGAGAGAGTCTGGGCTGTCGCTTCCGTTTCCAGAATTCGCCTGGTGGACAGGGCGTGCGTGACATTCCTCATCAAGGACCTGGGCTTGTACGCGCACCTGGAAGCCCTGAGCAACTTCTTCTGCTTCCAGGACGGCGAGTTTGGGCAGGGCTTCTGCGATGCCGTCTGCGAAAAGGTGACCTCTCACTTTGGCAAACGGCCATGATTTTTTACTTTGGCAAATGTCAGAACCTCTTACTTCGCAAACAGCCATGACCTCTCACTTTGGCGGACAGCATGGCCTCTTACTTTGGCAGACAGTCATGGCCATGACCTCTTACTTTGACAAATTATATGACTTCTTACATTGGGAGAACGCTTTAACCTCTTACTTGGCAGATGGCAGGGCCTCATACTTCAGCAAACAGCCATCAGCTCTCACTTTGGCTGACAGCATGACCTCTTACTTTAGCAGGCAGTCATGGCCATGACCTGTTACTTTGACAAATTATATGACTTCTTACATTGGGAGAACGCTTCAACCTCTTGCTTGGCAGATGGCAGGGCCTCATACTTCAGCAAACAGCCATGACCTCTCACTTTGGCAGGCATCATGACCTCTTACTTTGGCAGACAGTCATGGCCATGACCTCTTACTTTGACACATTATATGACTTCTTATGGGAGAAGGCTCTAAATTCTTACTTGGCAGATGGCAGGGCCTCATACTTCAGCAAACAGCCATGACCTCTCACTTTGGCAGGCAGCACGATTTCTTATGTTGGCAGATGAACACGGCCATGACCTCTTACTTTGGCAGATGACATGAACTCATAAGGGCATGGTTGAGGTCGGCATTGTTTCTGCTGACGTTTTTGTTTCATAGTTGCTGAGGCACTCGTAAAAGAGCCATTTAGTCTTCGCTAAAAAAGGCATGGACAAGGCATGGGCTGGTCAGCCGTAACGTTTGACAGAAACACCAGGCCTCATCACAGCATCTTTGAGCTTTCCTTCACTATGTCGTTAATTATGTTTATGGTTTATTTTTATGTTGGACTTATAGCGTTCTGAAATTCGCTGTGGCCATTCTGATTGGCACTCGAAATAAAAATAAATTACAAATATATGCCGGGTATGATGCAGAGAAGTGCACTTTACAAGACTGCCAAGGATGAGTGAGGGCTTTCTCAAAGCAGTCTAGGGGCGAATTCTGTCCGTCTTCTCAAAGATTTGGTTGCACGTTACATTGCCCCGTGACAAAAATATCTGGGAGATGTTCCAAGTACCCAAGTAAAATATTGCACTTGAAGGAAAAGAATGGCCACCTGTTGGAATGTTTTCCATCCAAAGATCAGTGTCTCCTCATGTTTGCTCGTTGCGTTTCATAGCAGCCAATTTTATTTAACATTTATTTGTATATACAGTCAAACCTGTATATAACGAAAAGCAGGAAACGCTACAATCAGTTTGATATAGCAAGTAGTTTGGTATAGCAAAAAACGTTTACAATGAACTTCCGTGATGAGTTCGTTGTAAGGCGAGAGCTTCTCTTTCTTTCTAATCTTTCAGTTCCGCCTTGCAACGCGGCGCTGGAAAGATTTTTTTTTAAATGTGGGCAGAGTTTTTATGCTTTGGTGATGAAAAGGTTTTTTTTCTATGCGTGCTTGCAGGGTACTTTTTTATCTACTCCCCTTCTGAATTGCTTCTCTTCGCTCAATTTTGTTCGAAACTTGAGCTTTTGGAATTTTCTTTCTTTCATACCTCTTTCTTGGGGAACGGACAGGCTAGAAGACGATTGTCTGCGCGTTTTTGGAAGCCTTCCGGAGGGGAAAAAGATTGATGTAGACATTATGTTGTTCGTTCTAAAACATACTTTTTACATGCATTTTTATTTAAATTTTTAGTGAGTTCGATATTGACAATAATTCGCTGTACGGGGGTTCATTCTAAACGGGTTTCACTGTAATTGCAGCTTTTTACATTTTTTGCTGAGCCCCGCGAGAGTCACGGTCTGTCTGCTTTTTCAGCTGGGAAAGCCACTGCGGTCCCCTGTGGACTTCCTCAACCCCGCAACGCTCAACGGCGTGCTTCAGCACGCTCTGCATTCTTCGCTACGAGGCGACACCCCAGAGGCGTCCAACCTGAGCCTGGATGCCAGGCGCATACCGTCGGCTATCGCACCAGGTGCGTAACATCCTTGTAATAATAATTTCATGGTAATTTGTGACTGTGCCTTCACTATCACCTGGTAATTAACCAAGCTAGGTCTACGAGAAACAAACGTGATCTAACCATCATTGAACCATTGTGTACTAGTACTCTGTTTAACCCTTTGACAGTTGTTTCCTCTCATATACAATGGCGATTACACATTTGCCTAAACGAGAGACCGCATGCACTGCGGGAGGTGTTTCTATCTGTTATGTGTTTGGTGAACTATAAACATTACATTTGCATTGTGTTTCGCTTTGCTGGGGCTATTTATAGTTTTGAAGTTAGATGCTCCGCGCACATGGTACGTGCGAGATGGTTGCTTTGCACGTCAGCCGCTCTGGCAGTAGGGGCAATCGGAACGCCGGCCCTTCTAATTCAGACTTTCAGAGCTTCTCAAAATTGAATTTAGAGGATGAGGGCTTATCATTCGATGGAGAAGCTCTGTGAAGTATGTCCGGTTCGGAGTCTGAAACCACTAGAATGTCGGCAGAAGGGGACGCTTCCAATTAAGAGCCGAATGGAAGAGAGGTGACAACTTTATGCTTTAGTATTTCCATTTGTTGCTTTTAAGCCTGAACAGCTTGCAAGCACTGTACGTGATCCCGCTAGATATCTAAGGAAAAACTGCGCATTGACCCTTTCTGTGTACTATTTCTTTGGAAACAAAACCCAACCGCTGGGAAACTGCTTTCGGGAAAAAAGCTTGACCGTCAAAGGGTTAAAGCATCCTTCTTCCCTAACACAATAAGCAAATGAAACAAACTCCCTAAAAGCATTATTAGCCCAGAATCGCCGACTATTTTTAGCGATGCGCTACTTGAGCACTTTCTGGTCGGGGAGTGGCCTGCATTGCAATGCTACGATTTGTTTTGTCTTTTTTGTTGAATGTATTTTCTGCCTTGGCATTTATACAGAATGCTGGCAGGGTAAACAAATAAAGAAAAAGTGAAGAGAGCAGCATACATAGCACTCTCGTCAAGTTTTGTGTCCCTGATCATGGTTTCCTTCCGTATCTTTCAACAGGACAGAACATCCTGAGCTGCCTCGTGCTCAAGTACAAGGTGAGGAGTCCAACAAGAGCCACACCCAACCATTGGCATGGAAAACAATATGTCCGCAGGCCGACACGGTTGATTGTTAAACCAGCATTAACTGGGCTCTCAACGCTCTGTTGCAAATTGCCGAAACTCCTTTGGTTTGGAAGCATTCGTCAGACGTCATGGGGAAGTGCCCTGTACACTGGCCCATAAAGTGGTTTAAGAGATTGCCTAGTTATGGTCACAACTCAATCTACGGCCCCTAAGCATTCAAAAATACATAACCAAGACTAGATTGATATGCGCCCGATTTCCATATTAAAAATGGAATAAAAGATTGTGACGTGCTCGTTTTTTTGCTATTCAGCGCAGGAACCAGCGGGTGCCCTCGGATGCGCGACAGCCAGTTGCAAGCGATTGCTTTCGGTGCAGCAAGGGGGCTGATCAACGGCGCGCTCGTCCTTGAATGTGTGCGATTCGTGCGCGGGAAGCAATCGCTTGCAATTGACTGTCGCATATCAGACGGCGGTTTCTGCGCCAGATCGCGGAAAAACAGGCGTGTCGCAGTCTTTGATCTCATTTCTAATCTGGAAAGGTGACATGTATCAGTCTAATCTTGGGTCTTATAGGTTGTTTAGAGCCCATAGATTGAGTTATGCCCATAAATGGACCATCTCAAAAACCACTTCAGTGCTACAGGACCACGAAGATACAGTCGACTTGCGTTCATTCGACCTCGGTTAATTCGATTTGTAGTTTGATACGACACTGTTTAACGGTCCTGACAAAGGCCCATACATTTCTATAGAAAATGAAGTCTCGTTTGTTGGATCTTGAAATATAAAATATAGGCTAATGACAAGCACGATTGGCTGCACCCGTTGGCCAAGAAACCAGTTTTCAAATTTTGAAGCGCGCGCCGAATTGTGAGGAGAAAGAAAAAGAAAGCACATGTTAAGACGGCCGAGTCTCAACAGAAAATAACCATTGCAACACCGCCGCGGTGCAGCGTCCGCAGTGGTGTTGCAATGGCTGTAACAGCGGCGCCGGCGCACACAACCAAAACAACCATCGCAACACCGCTGCAGAGCAGCGAGTGCTCCTCCGCAGCGGTGTTACAAGGGTCACATTTATTGAAGGCGCAATGGGGGACAGCCGGTGTATCACTGGTCCATGTGTTAACCCACCTGGCTCCCCTGTTTATGCCGTTTTGTGGCAAAAGTCTGCGGATGGGACAAAAAAAAAAAAAAATTAAACCACCTAGCTTACTCCCACACGCCGCTTCGCGGTGCCCTGCCAGCGGCCCAAGCCTCGCTGTCCCCCATTGCACCTCCAAAAAGTGCAACCTGTGTTGCAACGGTGCCAATCACCATTGCCATTGCCACACCGAACTCATGGAGGGCATACACGGCCACTGCCACTGCCATGCGGCGGTGTGCAAAGGCTCAATATAAAAATGTTAGCCCACCTGACCTAAAGCGCCGAATATTCAGAATTTTGCATGCATCTTTTAATTCAACTTTTAGATAATTCAAGCCAATTTCGGATATCCCGTCAAGGTTGAATTAACGGAAGTCGACTGTAGTGAGTGACTGCCTTTAAGTTGGAGATAGGGACAGTTGGTCGCACCCCAGGTCAGAGAGCGACCAAGAAGTTGGAATATGATTGAGCGGTTAAGGCGATTGGCAGTGTCATAGCTCCGACAGCATTGTCCTGTTTTGTATGTTCTTCCTTGTAGTCCGTGTTTTCTGTGCTGTTTTCCCCATCATGTATACTGTCATAGCTCCAAAAACGGGGACATTGCCTCTCCAGTCCTTTGAGTTGATATTTTTAGGGGCGAAGCTCCTTAGGGTCTAGCCTTGTCCGTTCGGCGTCCGTGCTCACATCGATTGCCATCCTATCTGTCTTCTTAAAAAAAGAAAACATTTTTGCGCAGTCGACAGGATTCAAACCTGTGCGGGGCGACTCCAATGGATTTCTAGTCCATCGCCTTAACCACTTGGCCACGACTGCGGGACGAGTAGGGGGCTCTGAGATGTGGTAGTAACTCAAGAGCTGGGGATGTCATGGATAAAACGTTGCATGTAGCCGCTCAACGTCTATACAGGAGAGGGCGCTGCGGTCAAATGTGTATATAATCGTGTTAAACTCTGCATGCATTGGCTCAACGTTTATAGACGAGGAGGCACTGCGGTCAAATTCTCAAATGCGTATATAACCACGTTCCTTACCACACATTCCATACCAATGCAACCCGGACCTCAGCACTACCTATGAGCAATAAAAAAAAATCGGCACCATCAGCGCACTACCTATGAACAAAATCAGTATCATCAGCACCACCAGAGCTTTGCCCCAATCAACATCATTCACCACATGGAGATACGGTCATTTTCTTCTTTTCTCTGCCTTGTTGTTACTAATTTAGAATTTGATGTTTAGATAGATGCATTCTTATACCCATATTTGTTCCCCATGTTCTGCACTACTGCACTGAAGTCTCTAGTTTAAAGATATTTTTGCGAGTAAAAATAAATTTGGACTCACCTTTGCAGGGTCTACATCGAAGGACATCACTTCAGTAATACTAACTGGAAACATAAAATTAATTAAACAATGTTGTGCATTCGATGGACAATTGTACCATGACCCCATTTGACCTTTCACAGTGTGCAGCTCCACACCTAGCATAAAAGTTATGAATGATTCGTAGCTAGCATCGGGCTCACATCGGCCGAAAGGGGAAGAGCCAAGGGTTTATGTAGGATTCTGCCATTTGGTGCAGAATTGAACTAAAGAAAGATTCTTGATATTTTTAGTTGTGTGATTACACCGCATTTGTCGGCAGAAAGTTTGATAAAGTCTTTGAGGAATCCAAGAGATGTAACCATACAAAACGTGAATACAGTTAGTTATTTTGGGGAAGTGGCATTCACCCAGGTGCACCCTCTCCACACAAGTCTAAGCTCGGTCGTTCTTCCGGCCATCGCTATAATTGTCTAACTCTTCGCCGGGAGTCCTCAAACTTTGCAATCTCATGGAAACCCCTTCTACCTCGGACGGTAGCCAAAGGAACTCTCTCGGTCTTAGCATTGATGCTGTAAAGCAGTACAGGAGGCAAGAGGCTTTGCTAATGATATTGCGCACACTAAAGAGTGTTTGACTCGTTGTTATGCATCGGTCAGTGGCTCAGACCTGCTAATATAGTGCTCAAACTGGGAAACCACTTCACTTTGGGGCAGGTACGGTCAAGGGAAATAGGGGGCTTGGGGGAACCTCGTGAGGGTACTAGGAGCCTGGTTCGGGAACTTGCATCTTGTGGTAAATGACGTGGCGAGAACGGCAGGCCGTGTCTCTCTAACGCCCGGCATCCAGCATGTGCCTCACGCACTCCGCCACGCCTCGGCTGCGCGCGCGCTCGGCTGGAGGCGAGACGACTGAAGCCGCTCCCTGCTATCCTCACCTCATCGGTAATTGTAGGTTCCGTAGAGCACCCTTGTGCCATGTTGTTCTTCTTCATTGTCCGAATATACGTATGCCTTTTGTCTTTGTGTGGCAGATTGACTGGCCTCTGAACATCGTCATCACGTCACCCTGCCTGCTCCGTTACAACAAGATCTTCGGGTTCTTGCTCTACATCCGAAGGACGCAGTGGGCCCTCTTTGACATTTGGTGCAATCTGAAGCCCTCGGGTGCGTGAGGGTTTCTCCCAAAGTGCGCAGAGATTTCAGTTTTTGCGAGTTGTATGCGCCATGCAGTGTATCTGAGATATTTCTGAAACAATAAAGCCACATAAGGACCGTGCTCAGTAGAACATAACATAAGAACATAACATATTTTCCGGACAATAGGCCACACCCAATGTATAGCCTGCAAAAGCAAATTTTGGAGGAAAAAATTAATATTTTTTTAGATAGTTTCCACCCAGTGCCTAGTCTACATCTGAAATTCTCATGCACAGTACAGTTTGACTAATACCCGCTTTATTAGCTCGCAAAGAAGCTTGAATCCTAAGCAGTCATTATCGACATACTAGGTCACTCACAAAATCTGTCATGTCCTGTCATAATAATGATGTAGGAAAAATAAATAAATGTATAGCCTGCACCTGTAGATAGTCTGCACATGGTATAATTTGAAGTTTTAAATATGTGTAGCCAACTGGCCCGCGGGTCATAAACCCTGTGGGCCAGTGGAGTCTAAATCGCTCATTCACTTGCTTGTTTAGCCTCTTTATTTATCAGAAGCTTGGGGACAATGTGCATTCAGTAGTGGAATCCTTATTCATAACTGGCAATCACATTGAGATTGTGTCGCAACTCAGCCGGAATGTGGTAGTAATGGTACTGTCTGTGCCCTCTTCTTGTTTCAGCCTTACCTCGGAATCCACACGGATCGCCCCAATTCCAGCAGTTGCAGCTCATGCGGTAAGAAATCCTTTGTAACGAGACATCCAGTTTTGTCTCACTTTCATCTCTGCTGAAGGTTCACACTAACCTTGGGTATCTGTGTACGGGTGATTTCATCTCGCATCAGGCAGGCTAAAAATAAAATAATCTAATTCTTAGTTTTACTAACAAAAAAAAAAAAGTATGTTTTGGGGGCATTTGTTTAATCTGTGTTTATTCTCTACTTTAATGTTACACTTCCAGTTTGTTTAACCTCTTATTGACCATTCCGATATAATTGCTCCCTGGGAGCTATTGCCTTTGTCTACTGTAGTGTGTATTGTGTCCTCCTAAGCATATACAATGGTGCATGCTTCCATATATCAGTGATTCGGCACTTTCTTTGCAAGGGCAATAAGTAGTGGTGTGTGAACCACGACCAACTCTATTACTTCCGACCACTCCACCCGCGAAGGCCACAGCGCGCGCCTTGGCGACGTTCTATTTCACGCATCTGCCGAGAGATGGCGATCCGTCTCAGCTGTACTCAGCTGTACTTGGTGCACCTCGGAGCATTGCTCGGAGCCTCGGGAAGCGTTCGTTCTTGCTTATTTCCGAGCTTGTTACATGTGGTTTGTCTCGTTCTTGCTTTTGGGCTAAATTATTTTCTACGCTTGCGGCAGTTGAAATCGCGTGTCGGTGGTCAGATATTGAAGAATGTAATACCCCTGTCAGATGGGCACGTTAAATGGCATTTAAGCAAAATGACATTATAGATCGGCCAATTTGCGTGTTTAATACGCCACGCTGCGCGTGCACCCGCCACATGCAGAGCCAGCATCAAGAGCCGATTTGCCAAGCGGTGAATGACATTCGATCAAAATGACATTTACTTTCCCGACTGACAGGGGTATTAGACGGGCTCACAGGAGAAGGGTCAGAATGGTCTAACTGCTGGGCATTTCAGATAAGATCGAAGAACCATGTCCGGTGACCATTTTTAATTTCGGTGAAAAAACTATATTTTGCTGGCTTTATGCCCAGAAGAATAAAACCAATCCTTGTTTTAGGAAAAAAAAAAGTGTCTTTGCGAAAAACATTTGTAAGCGCCCCCTCAGTCACGTCCCGTTTTGCGTATCGCGCGATGTTGACATTTCGGGCGGCTTCCCCCAAAGAACTGTTCTGACTATGGGCCTAGAAACATTCACTGACAAATTAGGCATAGGAAGAATTGACAAAAAGTATTAATCACCGAGTATTAGGGTAGTTATTTAGAGAAAAAAAATTGCAAACACGGCAGGCACATTGCGCAATAACGCTCTGGATTATAGAATATTTTTCTCCATATCTATAAAAGCTGAGGTCTTCAAACTTTGCCAGTGTGTTGCCCTGTATGTAGTTAATTTTTGCATGAAATATTGTTGTCCTGGTTAGCGGGAGAAATTTACAAGAATTGCTCACACAGAAGCATTTAACTAAAAATGCATTATTTTGAAAATCATTTAAAAAAAAGACCATCATTAATATTATTTAAACTGTCTGAAATTAAAGTGTATAGTATGTACTAACAGAGTGTACAAAAAACATGATGCAATATTTGTGTGGCTTTTGAGTTGTAAAGCGAGAAACATGGCCAAATTGACGCTAACGCGGTTGCTATAAATGGGGCGTGCCCATACCCACTCTTCACCATTTCATTAGTATTAAAAAAAGCGTAAAAATGCTATGGGGTGGTCAGGAAAAGACAAATTGACAGCACAGAGGTGGACGGTAGTTTTGAAGGGAAAATTCGTAATACATTTTCGTAGAACCGACCCAAAAATGCCCATGGGCCCGAGCGATCGAGGTGCGCCACCAACATGCTTCGCTGTGCCTGTTTCAACAGCCGGTGTATAGCGTCTCCGTCTATGCGACGTAAATGAAGCAACCGGAGCGACTTTGCAAACAGATCAGCCTACAACCTTAACAGTAACATGATATAGGAAGCAGGACGCGGCAGAACATGAACCTGTGAGGCGCCAATTGATCCGCTGCCGTGGAAGGCCGCACAACGCCTAGAAAATAAAGATCCATAAAAAAAAAAAAAAGAGAAAGAATTGCGATTGAATGAGATTGTCTGTAACTTAATTTATAAGACAATGGTTTGGAGAATCGTGGAATCCAATTTAGGTATGCTCATTGGACCTGCACAAATGATGGTGCAGAAAGAACAAGTACCAACTACATGAGCTGCAGAGCCACAAATACACATCAGCGAGGTGTATTTTTTCCGCAATTTGACATGGCACCAGTGCCAGTGATTAAATCTAGGGTCGTGTCAAGCTCCAGACAACGTTGTACAGCCTCCGACGGCCCACCAAGTCATGATCAAGTCGGCGTCAGAGATGGTTGCCCCACTGAACACTAAACTGCCGAACGTGAAACTAATCGAAAGCAAAGGACTGGGACGTTGTGCGTGGAATTCAGCCCTGTCACTTTTTCGCAAAGACAATTTTTTTTCCGAAAACAAGGATCGGTTTTATTCTTCTGGCCATAAAGCCAGCAAAGTAATTTTTTTTTCATCAAAATTAAAAATGGCCACTGGGCATGGTTGTTTGATCTTACCTGAAAACGCACTGCCGCGTACCGTTCTGCAAGTGAGAACGGGGCAAGGAAGTGGGAGTCAGCTTTTATGAATTTCCCACCACAAGGATCCGGGACGAGTGGATAAAGGCCGTCAGTAGCAAAGGTAAATATTATTCAGTTTGAGTAGTTCACTAAACAACACCTATTTTCCAATCAAGTTAACATAAAAGCACGCTTAGAACTAACCTTGCTTCACAAAATTTATGCTGAAAATTCATCAACCCCTCAGTACCAATAACCCTCGAGCTCTTAGGAAATTTCAAGTGAACTCCAATAGATCTGTGGCTATATTTTTCGCCCAGGCTGAACGAAAATGTACATTAAATCGCATGTTGCCTCTTTTGGGGGTCTCTGATGGAAAGACTCTCAGTTCAGGAAATTTTTATCAAAAGAATGAGGCGGAAGTAAGTCGTTCATCGACAATTTGCGGCCGCGCGGAGAGCTCAGCCTTTGTTCTGCTCCCGAACTCTACAGCTGAGCTGTGGCGCCATCTAGTAGAGTGGCGCGAAACTAGGCGCGCTCCGGGTGAAGTGGTCGGAAGTAATAGAGTTGGTCGTGGTGTGAACAGTGGTTCGAATCGCACTGCATCATTCATAACCTTCGTGGTGCCATGAAAACATACAAACTATCGGCTCTTTTTGCTGTGTTGAAGCTAGGGATCATGCTGTGCCATTTGATTCGCAGCTGTACAGAATTCACATAGGTACTCCCAGTAGCGAGCACAGGAAAAGTGTATATGTGGTACTTGACTGTGTTGTGCGTATCTTGTTTCTATCTCTTTTTGCATTCATGCGCTTGTGTACGCCGTAGATATGCAGCTAGAGCGATTATAAAACCCACGAAGCTGTTGTTCCAGCAGCTGTTGATCTTCAGAAAACACGCTTGGGCCTATGTATTTTTCAGGCACGAGATGCAGCAGTTTGTGCAGCTGCTGCAGGGCTACGTGGGCGGGCAGGTGATGCAGACGTCGCTGGCCGAGCTGCAGGACGACCTGGACAGGCAGGTTCGCAACGTGGATGACCTGCGCAACACCCACCTGCTCTTCCTCAAGCGCCTCAGCCAGCGGTGAGGCCCGTCGACGCCTTTGGTACACGAGGCCGAGACCCTCGCAACTTACGGTGTACTTGCACGATGGACCTTTCTCTGTGGAGGCAGAGGGGCCAGAACGAGAAGGCGGTTCGGAAAATCCGACCGCGACCCCTCACATGAGGGAGTCGCTCATAGTCGGGTCGGCGATCTTCCTTTTCACGAACATGTTAGTGACCTTCACAGACTTAAGGCCCGTGTAAACAGGACACTCCAGAAGTCGTGAGACGACATCACTCAGTCAAAAGTATGTTCCCCTGTGTGTTTTACAACACGAAAGGGAACATACTTTGTAACCAATGTTGTAATTTTGTCCTTAAAAGACGCCAGTTCACCCCAACAGAGTGCTCCAAGAAGTGACGCAGATAAGAATCCATAAATATGCACAGTTCACGGTTCATACCATAATAATAGGCTCTCACATAATCGTGGATGCACTTGACAGTCATAGCATGAATGATTTTTGGAATATTAAAAAAAAAAGTATAAGATTAAGTGGTCGCTAAGGCCTGGTAGACAAGTAATCAGTGCTGCAGTTCTGCAAGATCACGCAACATTTTTAAAACCAGATCCAGAATATTGGCTGTTGACGACGTACCTCTCGTGGGCTCAGTAACCAGTTGTGAAATATATAAATCGGCACAAAAATGTAAGAATCCGTTGCTTTGTAATGAGTGAGGAAAACAATAAAGGGTATCTTCAGACCAGTTAATATTCGGATAATTAAAATCGCCAAAAATAAATAGCCAGGAATTTGGAAATCTTGACACAATCCTGTTAATAGTGTAATGCAACAGCTCAACAAAGCCATGGCTAAAGTTAGGGGGGCATTAAATGCACAGATGAGAACGCTCTTGTAACTTGAGTTGCAAAGGCACACATGATTTCTAGGGTAGATGCTAGATTAACATCAAAAGACTGAGTGTTATCAGTCACAGCTATCAATATGCCTCGGCCGGTCTGAGGTTCCCTACCATGCCGATAAACGTTGTACTTATCACAATTGAAACTTTCATCGTTACATTTTTACCATGCTGCACCCATGACACACTTACGACTGACGTATATAACCATTTAGAACAGATTTGTGGTAATGTTAGTCTTGATAATTTTAATAAAGATTCCAACATTTAAAAAAAAATTAGCTTTAGCTTCCACATTTTGAAGCCAGTTAGAAATATCTGTGATCTTATCTTCCATTTGTTTTTAGTTTACCTTTATTTCATTTGCAGCTGTCAGCGGTTTTCACTGAGCTTCCTGAAGAAGTTTGCACACGTCGTCAAGTTGCTTGTTTCGCGTGTCAGGACTCGGATTTTCCTCGACAACACCGCACAAAATCAGCAACTTTACAAAAGAAAAGCACTGACATACCGTCGAGACCGGTTATAACGAAGTCAACGGGAATCGAAAATCACTTCGCTATATCCGCTATAGCCGACTTCGGTTATAACAATGTGCAAAAGGGAATAGGAAATTGTGATTGCTTCGCTGTAACCGCTATTTCGTTATAACCGACTTCGTTATAACCGGTCTTGACAGTACCAACGAAAGTAACTCCCCTTGGGCATGGGAACACCAGAAGGCAAGCTTCACTTGATTTTCTAGCATGCAAGGAAGGAACGTTACTAACCTGCACACAGAAGAAGCGGATAACGTTAGCCGTCTGCATCACAAGGCGTCTCCCATGCCCACTGAACGTGTAGGCGGTCAGCTGGGTCGTTTTAACTACTGGCGTAAACATGCCAACAATGAAAAAATGGTGCGTAAAAAAATGATAAAGATGTGCATCACGGAACATTCAATTTCCGCCCAAATGTGGCACTAGCCGTCCGGACCAGATGCCAAAGTTTCAGGACTAATTGTTGCCTTATTCAAAAGTTGGTGATTTTCTAAAAATTTCAGCAGGAAAGTGGTGCCCGTTCTCTCATTCGTGAGCTTTGTTGGCCACTGTTTTACCATAGAAAACGTTCAAAAATCGTTTACAACTTTTTAAAAAGATTCGAGAAAGGATAATTTATTTTTTCAATTAAAAAAAAAAAAAAAAAACATTTTTGTTTGGAGAGGGGGACACCTTGTACATTGGGCGACATGAACTGGGGCGCATTCTCTCGCAGGCTGCTCCTGGCACGCAGAGCGACTCCGGTCGCCAAGCTGCTCCGAGAAGCGCTCAGGACGGTGCTCCTCTTCCAGGCGGAGCTGTCCGCCCAGTCGTGGCTCGTCGAGGGCGGGGAGCTCCGCCACCCCGCGTTCCGCAGGTTCCAACACGCTCACACCAAGTTTCGTCAGACAGTCAATCTCTTGCTCACGAGTGAGTATGTGCACCCGAAGCGTTTGGTCCGTTGCGAGTATCATTTGCGCATCCTTGTTTACCCATTGCTTACACCAAAAGTTCCTAATCCTTTTAATGTCTAGGAACCCCTCGTATTTGCCGATTGATAATTGGGAAACCCATCTTGTTCGCCGATATCTTCCAGTGAGGGCAAGCAGCAAGTGGTCCTGCACATTGCTGCACCAAATTCTCAAACAGAGATTGTTTTGTATTCATATGTGGAAAGTAATTTAATTCCCATTTAATTCCCATTTACTCGGATTATCCGAGTAAAAAAAAAAAAAAAAGATAATGGGGCGAAACAGAGCATTACTGATGCTGTTTTATATTTTAGGATGATTTCTGAAAGCCTCTCGGTTCTCACTTGTAAAGTAAAAGCAGTTGAAACAGTCTTGAATTCAAATAAAGCTTCCCTGGATGTTTAGTCAAGGAAGCCACATTTCAGAACACGCACAGATTGAAAGCCTAGGCGTTAGTACCGTGACATTATTAGCGCGAATAAGAGACTGCCGGTCTTTCTCGGTTTTTCCCTGAAAATCGAAAGGCTGTCATTAAAACTACGGGCAAGTTGGGAAGTCCTCCTTCGAGGCAGCAACCCAAGCGGTAAAATTCAGCATTTGCCAACACCCCTCACAAGGTCAAATGCGAAAAAGTGCCAATGTCGCGGTCGCGCCAACGATGTTACACAGCGCATGTTGACCCCTACCAATGGTGTTGGCCAATGCGAGACTAACCCTCCGTTAACCCTTTCGTCTCTCTCCCTCTCTCTCTTTGCATACCCTCCTCGCCTCTCCCCCTCACCCACTTTCCCGTCTTCTGCTTCACACGCTCGTTGTTGCCACTACGCACTCACCGAAACACTGCACGACGCCCGACCACCCACGCAGCTTGGCTGGCCGACGCCGTTGGCGCCCCAAGGTACAGAGCACCGTTGTTCTCGATTTCTGCCGTTCGTCTTGCAAGCTTCTTTCCTCCTTCTAGGGACTTTTGCACTGCTGCAGCTTGCCTCCTCTCGCGTTTACTGACCGTCTCCTTCCAACTTTCACACAACTAACTGCCGCATTTCTGGAAATTAGGGCTTGGCATTTGATTGATTAACCTATCGATTTTACCCGTTAATTGGCTAAATTGTGACAAACAAACGAAGAAGTAAAAATTCAACACTTTCTCTCCTGAAACGTGAACGAGCACACATCCGTAAAGGCAAACTTTAGGTGAAATTTTGGCCTAAAGTAAACTGTAGGGGCGAGATTTGTAACTTCAAACAAGTGGAGAAGGTTTACGTGTCCTGGCCACTTCAACGTCACGCGATTGTCCATTTAGCGCAGCAAACACTATTGTGAACCATAGAAGGAGTTCGCTCTTGACAAACCTCTTTGCCTCTGCAGCTAAAGTAATAATTTTCAAGTCTTTTGACTGTTGTCAGCTATGCATTAAGGTTGATATAAATTCCAAGATTGTACGGTTTCCTGTAATATGAAAGACCCAGCGGGAGCACGTGGCTGAGACGGCGGCAGGCGGAAGCACTGCGCGCGCTTCATCGGCGTCATGCTTAGAGTTATGGTCACAAAGGCTCGAAACAAGCTAGTCATCACTGTTTTTTTATCGGTTGTTTCTGGTGTAAAATGTCAGAACAGGCACTAACAAATAAGCATATTTTAAAGTTATACCCGAGTCTCATTATTAAAAGATGAAATTCGTTCAAGACCGCACTCATTGGTTAGAAGAATGGCACAGATCTCGCACTTAACACAGATTCCGAATAATCGCCTTGGTCAGGCCAAAAGGACATAGCCATTATATGACACTGACGAACTGCTCTCTGCCGCAAAACAAAAACTGATGAGCGCGTGTTGCGCTTTAGCTGAGCCCCGAGCGAGTTCTCCCCTTGGGGCAAAATGGAATCGCCCGGAGCGCACGCAGCACCCCTGCCAGCCACCCTCTCGACCACATGCTCCCAGTGGGTCTTTCATATTGCAGGATACTGTACATTGCCCCTTTCATCGCATATTCAGCAGAATCAAAACATTTAATTTCGAATTTAAGAAAATATTATATATGGGAATGAATGAAAGGCAGAAGGGCTCATCGGTGCGAGACAAGGTGGCCACAGCCATCTTGTCTCGACCGACGAGCCCTTTTGCGTCGATTCGGGGTCGGCAGTCGTACTGCACCAGCCAAATTGCTCGTCGCCGCCGAAGCCGCGTTGCCTGGAACGCGTCTTTGACTGGCGTGTCTGCTGCACCCTCAAACGCGCTTCCTCGATTTCCGCCCGCTGTTGTCCTAGAAGCGTCGTGCCGTCGCCAACCGTGATCCCGGCAGTGGCGCAGCGGTGGAGACGGACGCAGCAGACGCCGGTTCCGCCGCAGGTCGCTCTCCCGGGACATCGTCGGTTGCCGCTTGAAAACCACTTTCGATGCGCTGGCAGAACGGGGTGCCAAACACGCCGACCAAGGTCGCATTCCGGGCATCGCGGTTGAAACCCGCATCCGGCGAATCTCGTCAGCTACCTTGGTTTATGAAAGTCTGACGAGCCGACACGGGGCTCTTGCCATCCCCTTCCGTCTCCTTTCTTCAGCGCTGACGAGCTGGGAGGAGTTGCAGTGTCGGCAGAGCTGCTTCAAGCTCTCATCGGTTCTGGGCTCCACCGCGTTCCTGTGGCCTGACGCCGCCGTCCACGGTCAAGACGTCGGGGGTTCCCCCTCGGAGGCGCAGACGGCGCCGTCCGACTGCTCGGGGGTTTCGTCGATCGCTTGCAATTTGTCGTTTTAATTTGTTTGTTTGTAAACTCTGAGTGCCAAACTCGAAAAAAGTGACTCCGCGGGAGGGCGTCTACGTGGAAGGGGGTCGTTAACCCCTTAAGTGCCAAATTTTTTTTTCTAAAAGTAACCTAAAAGTGCCATATTTTTTTTTTATTTTGAATTGTTACTCCTCTAGTATTACACATAAAATTTGAAAAGTTTATTGCACAGGCATCGGCGGAGGCGAAAAAAAATATTTGCCAACTAAAACGAGTGCTGCCATCTATGATCAGCGCCGCAGAACTACTCGGACGAGCCCAGCTCGTCCATGGAATTGAGGGTTACCGAAAAAAACCACTGACAAGCTGAGCTCTTCCACGGCATTTTTAGCCAGAAAGTGACCGACGAGCTCAGCTCGTCCAAGGCACTTAAGGGGTTAATCCTGCTGTTGAATCGCAGTTTTACATATGTACATATGAAAGATCTTTTTGAACTAGGCACCGTTTCGGCTTGCAATGGATGCTTCGAGCCATCCCCACAAATCCAGCGCCGTGTGCATGTCGTCAGACGCTGCGCCCCACACGTCACGTAACACTCGCACGGCTTTGGATTGGTTCCGACGGCTCATAGCCTCCACTGCGGTCCATTGTAAGATGAAACAAAGTATGCAGCATTCATCAAGAATTTTTTTTTTCATTATTATTTAATTTTCTAGATGTGTGTGCTGGTCTAATTGCCGAAGACAGTGCGACCAGCTATGCTACTTTCCGTTAATTGTATTGGCGGATCAGATTGCGCCATAAATCCAAAACTGAGGTGGATGACAAGTCAGCGTTGATATTCTGTCGACGAGCCCGAAGAAATGTCGCACCTAGAGTTCCTGTATAGGGGCTCCCTACGGGAGCCAGAGTTGTGTGTCTCTTTTCCACGTGCTGCTGCGCCGCTGTTAGCTGAGATCTGATCACGTGAGGAGCAGGATCAAAGGCCGTGCAGGAAAGTAGATGTTACACGCACCCCGACGTACATTCCCGTGCTTTTTAGCGCGCCTCGAACGTGCGGCGCCGCTATTCGCTGAATTCAGTCGCGTGAGGAAGAGGATCAACATGTTGTGCAGGAAAGGTGGCGCTACAGGGATGAACGCGCGACTCTGGCTCCCTTGGGAGCCTATACAGGAACAACAGTCACGTCCGGAAAGATTTGCTCCAGGAGCCAAATCGTTTGTCCTGGCAGTTTTTTTCACACGTTCAAGAACTGAATAAAAGTTTGTTGACAAGCAAAATCACTGCATTTCCGATCCCAGCACCCCCTATAGTAGTAGGTTCACCACTGAGCTGTGGGAGCACTGCATGCCCCAGACCAATAGGCTACCTCCCTTTCATCACCTGTCCCTGCTCTCTGCTTGTGTAGGTATGGGGTGGTAGCGTGATCATGTGGAGAAAGATTGATATATGACCAGTTTAACGAGCACGTAGCTCCCGCCGCGCACTAAGCTTAGGAATAAACGAAGTGTAGTGGAGTACAACTGGACTTCCACACGCACGAACACCTGTGGTTACTGCTCGGATGTAAGTCACCAATCGTCCTGCGGCAGCACGTAGGTATCATTATCCACCCTCAGGAAACTGAGTCCCGGCCCGAAGAAGCTGATGACGTAGTGCGAGCCGTCAGCCGGTCCCACGACTTGCATCGATATGAGGACGATGTCGACTAGTTGCCCGAGGAACATGAAGCCCAGCGTGCAGAACTTGGCGAGTCCGATTGCCGGGTAGCCGAGGTAGAACCGGTCGACGCCAAACATTCCCAGGAACACGGACAGCAGCAGTGCCGTCTCGAAGGAGTAGCCGTTGGTGTAGCGGCACGGAATCGGCTTCTCAAAAGTGTCCGGGCCAGTGCCCGTGCCGTTCCTACAGACGATGCCGTCGGCGGTGACGCACTGGAGTCTGGCGGTGTCGTCGGGCCCGCAGGACCGGGGCTGTTGCGTCGCAGGGTCGATGTCGGGCGGCAAGCACGAGTACTGGCCCATGAGGAGGGTGCTGCAGTTCGCCTCGTACGGTGTCAAGTTCGCCGAACTCGTGACGAGGAGACATATTACGATTACTGGGACCCAGGTAAAGCATTTTTGGAGACGAAGCGTCAAGTCCATGGTTCTGCGGAGTGTCGATATGCTTCGTGAGAGGTGAATGTCGAAGAAATCATCACAGTTTACTGAGGAAGAGTCGAAACGAGCACAGCCAATGGCACAGCTAACGTACCATACTCGCGTGGCTAATGCAGCTGTTTCGGCCCGTTTTGGATTTTTGCTATGGCTTGGCTTGGATAGAACACTAAATCTTTAGACTTTGTCTTTACCGGTAGATACTACGCATTAATAAGCTTTCTTGAATAGGAGTGTGTTGCGCGTCATCTAGCAAGTGTGACACACAAATAATTTTAGCGCTAAATTTGAATATTTCAATATTCGGATCTGACATCCCAGGCTTGTACCTTGCGGTTTGGCCGAGATGCTGAGCAAGTCCCATCTCTCGATCAGCGCCAGCCAGATTTCTGGCGCTTGTTCATCTGCAAAATAAATATACGAAGATGAGTAATCTTATTACTTCCCCAAGCTCCAACGAAACATAAAACCTATGTTGTAAAAAAAAAAAAAAAAAAAAAAAAAAAAAAATAATAATAATAAATAAAAAAAAAGCATAAACATTTTTGCTCGCTGTGCCTATCCATTCATTGTGATTGAACTAGCAGACGAAACTAGGATGGCGACAAACGAATCGGTGAAGCAGTATATCGACGTTTGCGTCAAGTCAATTCGAGAAATTTCAGTGCAAAGTCAAAATCCAGAGTTTTTGCGCTCGTGCCAGACGGCGCTTGGCGTGCGTACCTTGCCGACAATGATCGAGGCGCTAACGGAAAAGATGTGGAGCCTCGCGCAAGCTCATCACGGAGCCGTTCCCGACCCTGACTCGGCAGAATCGTCAACGCTGGATTTTGATACCATCATCGCGGACCCAATGATGAGCGTTCAAGGAAACTGTGGTGGACACCTCGTGGACTCGGGTAGTTTCCGCGTCGATTCTTCTCCGGGTGCGGAGGCTTCGATCGCAAGTCAATGCAGCCAGTCGTCGAACAATATGACGTCGCCGAACGAATCCAGTCAGCCTTCCACTCAAGACAGCTTGTCGCAGACGGATTCCGACTTCTTCGATGAACTTCTGAACGTTGCCAGCTCACTGAAAACTTACCGAAAGATTAGCTTTCGATAGTCGCTTTGATTTCCGAGCATTCAAACGGTCCTTGGAGGGTAGCTAGGCCCTGAAGTAATCCTGGAGTACTGGATTAAATTAAAGTAATATGTACCTCACTTTTTTGAAGCATGAATAAGGCATTTTGTCAAATCAATACATGTTGCTAATGATGCATTCTTTTTACGAATGGCACATCTTTTGGGTTGTGCGTGTTCTGTCCTGCAATGTTTACCCTGCAAAGCGTTTCCGGGCATTTATTTTAATTTGCATCGCGTTCGATCGAACTAGCAGTGGGATTCTAGCAACACATTAAAAATAAAATCGAGAAGATATCTTGTGTCACATTTTGAACATAATAGGTGAAATATGTTCAGAATTTTGAGCACATTCTTTATTCTTCATGACGTCCTTGGTCTGTCCCAGAGAGAGAGAAAAATAAATCTGTAATCAAATAAAACGGATCACTGTGCAGATTTTAGCAGCTGCAGGACCAGCGGCGACTACCCCAGACCATGGATTGAAATTATGAGCAGCATATAGACCTTTCTAAAAAACACTCGACCCCAGGGGCAACAAACCGTTCTCGAGCCCAGTCACTGAGTTTGAGGCTAGACTCTTGCCGGCGTCCCCAGTGTGATTTCAACAGGCACAGCCTGCATAGGCACAGTTTCAAACACTGCTGGCGGCTAAATTCTCGTGTTTTCCCGCTACATTTTGTGTTTCATGGTACATGTATGTTCCCGAGGACATTGAAAAAGCGTTGTGCCACATTTGAAAAAAAAAAAAAAAAAAAAAGCTGTAAACTATTTTTGTTGGGTACGCGCGCGACAGAAGGAATGCGACTGGAATGTATAGTTTTTTTCTTACGATAAGTTTTGACGGCGCCGCGGGATTCGCCGCATGTGAAACGACAAAGCGCTTTGCTATCAAAAATCAATTGCAACAGAAGAGGGCCGAAAGTCATGCATTTTTCACGCTCACAAATAACGTGTTTACCGATGGACAGGACACCGACATACAATTGAGGAAGTGTTAACATCCGAACAATATATCGTACGTACCACACAATGCAGCGTTATCCAAAAAGAATTTATTTGAGAAAGATCTCAAATAACACAGTCACAGTGGACGACAGTCACATCTTGACGATCGGACGGAATCTGAGATGATTTCGTTTTGGGGCACGTTTTGGGGAGAGCTTCCTTTTTTCACAACCACACCAAGGCAAAGAAACAAACGCGACTGACCCGTTTCTCACCCCAACCCGGACAACTATTTTTGGAGATGACTTAGGATTCTACGCGGATTATCTCTGGGAGGGGGAGAACAATGTTCGCAAAATCGCGTCGAGGGTCGTTCGACATCCTTCACCTCCTTCGTTTCCCGTGAATGTCGAGCAGAAAAACTTGAATGGCAGGCACTTACCAGCCTTATTTCTCACAATGGAAGATAACACAAAAAGGGTACGCAGCAGGTATAAAAAAATTGAGTGGAAACTTTCAAGAGGAGCGAGAAAACGTTGAATGCAAAACCGCAAAAACGTATGTAGAGAACCGCGCTGAGCGGGTCTTCACAGTCCCAGAGAGTGGCAGACAATTCCCAGCTGATAGAGGGCGCGAGACTTGCACCCGCCGCATCAGCATCAGCAACATGGCGGCGGCCTAGGAGCGTTTTTTGGAAAGGTGTTTAGTTTGACAAAAAATATGCTCTCGTCCCCGACCGCCAAGTAGGCATATCCGGTATGGGCGACGAAAAAATATCAAAACGTTTCCACCTGCAAATAGTAAAAAAATAGAGGGGAGGCAAAACGAGAATCTGTGGCGGTTACGTTTATATCCTAAATGCCTTTTATCAGTGTGGCGACGGCAAAACAATGTTTTCGCCCATACTGGAAGTGACGATAGTTCAAGATGGCGGCGCCCTTGCGGAAAAGGAAAATGCGGAGCGCAAGTTCGTCTGCTTCGGGGTCTGCTTCTTCTACAGGGACGTTATTACCATAACAGTTTTACCTCGACAATTGGAAATGTTGAGGTCACTTGGAAAAAAGTGAATACGATTTTACGGGGTAGTCAAAGAAATTAACACCTAGAGAAGTTGTATATAAACGGCGAAGAAATAAAGAATACTGCTTTAGCTGATATGTTTAATGACCATTTTGTAAATTTAGTGAATATAAATTACGATGATGATGCTTGTAGGTATATTAAAAAGAGAAGTGCAAATTCAATCTTTTTGGATCCGGTTGACGATTCCGAGGTTTTTAAAGCATTTATGAATTTAAATAATACTCGTAGCAGAGATATAGATGATGTACAGATTAAACCTGTGAAATACGTTTTAGAGTTAATTATGCCTTATTTGACTTATATATTTAACTTGTGTATTTCTGAAGGTGTATTCCCTGAGCGTATGCAAATAGCAAAAGTTTCTGTGCTGCATAAGAAAGGCGATAAAAATGATATAAATAATTATAGACCAGTTTCCATACTGCCTGTTTTTTCAAAAGGGCTAGAAAAACTTATTCATACACGGCTCTCAAAATTTTTTGATAAGCATCAGCTAATTACAAAGTCCCAGTTTGGATTTCGAAAGCACCGTTCCACTGAGCTTGCGTTACTTGAAGAAAAGGAATTTATTTTACGTAACCTAGAAGATAGGAAACTAGTTTTGGGAGTTTACATTGACTTTACGAAAACTTTTGACTATTTGAACCACACGCTCTTATTACAGAAACTTGAATGTTATGGAGTACGCGGGCAAGCCCTGCTTTTATTGCAATCATATCTCGAAAATTGTAAACAATATCTGTGCTGTAGTAATTTTTCATCCAGTATAAAACCCATAGTCTCTGGAGTACCATGCACAAGGAAGTATATTAGGCCCTTTTCTCTTTAACGTATATGTAAATGACATTGTGAATATTGACCAAACAACTAAATTGATAATATATGCTGACGATACAACACTTCTGTATGCTGTGGACGATCCTGAGGAGCTCGTGTCAAAAGTAAACCTATTGTTAGGTCAGATATCGGTATGGACAAAAAAGAACGCTTTAAAAATAAATACAAGTAAAACTAAAGCCGTACTATTTCGACCTAAGCATAAAATTCTCCCTCCAATAAACACTATTACATTAAACTCGGTAAATATCGAATTAACTGATAATTTTAAAACACTTGGAGTAGTGTTTTCCCAGAATATGTCCTGGGATAGCCATATTGAACATTTAAATAAAAAATTGTCAAGAACTGTGGGTATTATATGTCGGCATCGGTATTTACTTCCTACATCTGTTAAAATATTATTATACAAATCATTATTTTATTCCCATTTAAATTATTGTTCGTTAGTTTGGGGTACTACCACTGCAAGTAATCTTGAGAAGGTGCACCTGATTCAAAAAAGAATGTTGCGAGTAATTGCAAACGTACCTTATCTTTCGCACACGGAAAACCTGTTTAAAAGTTATCATATACTCAGCATTCACAATCTTTATAACTATAGGCTATCTACAAAACTTAGAACAGAATTTCTTTACAACACATCATCCCTGGTAGAATTGTCTGCTTTGCAACAACATATCGTACCATACCAAATTCGTAATCCAGATTACTGGCACGTACCAACGTGTCGGCTAAACACTGGAAAGGAAATGTTAGCATACCGAATCCCAAAGCTTCTAAATGTATTGCATTCTAAAGGTGTCTTTATAGATAGATTGAGCCTGGGTGGATTGCGATCTGTCATGCATGATGTTGCATATATTGATTGATGCGATTTCTTTTTTCTTAGTTTAAAAGTGTGTTTCGTGTTGATTTGCGAATGTCAACTCATATGGTGCTCAGTGGCGTTTTCTAGTTTCATGTTGTTTTCTTTGTTGTTTTTTTTTTTTTTTTGTATTCGTTGTGATTATGCACGATTTTTTGTATATTGATATTTCCGACGCTTCTGCAGAATGTACTGGGGCTGAGAACTCGTCAAGCCGCGTAGAGCGGCTTTTTTTCTTGGCTCCACCATTAGGTGTAATGGAAATAAAACTGTTATTATAATTATTATTA